CTGAAAATCAGCCACAGAACAGCAAAGTAATCTGATACTCATATGCTGCTTCCTGTAGGCTGCTCCAGGATTAAAACTTCAAGTGGGCCAGGGTCCATACCCTTAGAAGGAGCAAAACTGGAGCATGGTTCGCATGCATGCTACGGGTTAACTGTGTTGGCAGGATGCATGTTTAGAATTTTTCATTTGGCTTGTCATAGTCTACTTTGAACCATGTGATCCTTGATCCATTTGAGATGGTGGGTTTTACTGCAGCCAGTCACCAGGGGGAGCCCTTTAAATTTTGGCTTCACTCTGGAGGAGATGTTTTGACATCTATGTATTTAAACCATTCATGTAAAAAATTCAACACATCAGCACTCCAACAAATTTTGCTCCGAACACAAAGCACAAAGGCTTGTGTATATTTCATTAGTATGGCTGATATCTAGTCATGAACCAAAGTTCTGAATATTTTATGTTTCGACATCATGATACTGTCTGATTTATGGATCAATAATGAACCACCAAAGCATTTATCAGTCATCCTGACAGGAGCATGAAATGTTTTGGCAATTCATTCAATAACTGTCCAGACATTTCATCTAAAAACTCAAATGTCAACTTCATGGCGAGGCTGGAAGAAAAGTGAAGGAGACCATGAAGGTTAGAGGAATATTTTATCTGGAGGGTGAAATTACAATTCAAAGAGAGAATTCAGTATTCACAGTCTTACTGTGTAAAGTCAAGCTAAAATGCAGATTAAATAGTTTAACTCTGTCTTTAATAAGTAAATAAATAAATATGCATGCATGGGGAGATGCCTGCAAGGGGATATATAACAGTAATGTGTTGTCTTCTATTAAAACACAGGTACATTGCAGCTTCTATAATTACCTCAGGTATGCTCAACAATTTTCAGATTTCTAAATGTGTAGTGATTTTCATTTCTTTGCTTGGTGTTTCTGTTTCCTACAGCACTGCTTGCAGTACAGTAGATATAAGGATGCAGATGCAGGCAGGATGGAGTCACGCTGTCTGCTGCACACAGCCTCTGTGGTCATTCTCACAACAAATTAACCTTGAAACATGTTTTGTGCACAAAGTTTGGAGTGTCATTCATGTGCAGAAATTTCCTACTATTTGTGACAAGAGCATAGTAGAGAACCTCCACCCCTCCCATCAGTGTGTGTCAGACAATTTACTGAATCACTTCTTCCTTTCCTTCATCCACTGGGCCAGAGCTGCTTGCCTCAGCACATCACAGCCTCACACCTTGCCTGTCTGAGCATACTCCTGCCTTGGTACCCTCTGACACACACTGATGCTGTAATTAGGTGTGGGCGGTACAGTGCCAACAGATATCATTGACTTTCAGGGATTAATGGCAGCAGGGCTTGACAGTGCAAACCTTGTCTGCAAGTTCAATGTTTTATCTCCAACAGCATGTTTCTCCTGACAACTTTCTTTCTGTCTACTTGAAGAAGATTATTGTTTGCATTAACTCTAAATCAAAAACAAAAAAGAAATCAAGGAACACATGATTTTTCTTGAATATATGTTGTTACTATCTATCTATCCCACCTTTATAAAAAAAATAGCATGTTAAATATATAAATTGGAAACCAGTCGTTGAACTGTCTTTAACACTCGTTAAAAAAGGACAGTACTTCTACAAGGTGGCCAACCATGTAGAGCACATTCGCACCTCCCCTTATTTGACCTTGTGGGATCATAAAGCAAACAGGAGGTAGTCTGAAATGAAATTCTCTGCGTTAAACATCCAATCACTCATTGCACAATTACTACAGGCCTGACACTTTACTGAATTTATGTGGCAGATTTACCATCAGAGTCCCTGATATAAGACAGCACCACATTTTTCCTCTCTAATCATTTGTCAGGACCTACAATGTTAAGTTATACTGGCCGACAGTGTTAAATCCTAGTGGAATAGGGACTATTGATGACCTGCTATTTGTGGGGATGAAACCAGGCTGGTGGTACAAGGTCAGTCGTGTTATATAAGGTAAAATGCCAACAGATAGAGGGAGAAAAGTCCTCCTTTGCCTCAAACAATGGAGCTTAGCAGAGAAAGTGTGATATTTACTTTGACGTGAGCAACATGAATCACAGCTGCTCGAAACAGCACACAGAGCAAAATGTTAAGCTTGATTAGTGTTCGGATATTTTTTCTACGACTACCTGCATGAAATGAGCCCTCCACGAACTTTTCATCTGAATCTACTGTTTGCTTTTTTTCCCATAACTCTGCAGACCAAACAGCTGGAAGCTCAAGTGTGTCATCTGTTTCAATAGGCAGCACTTTGCGCTGACACTTTAAGTGGGTTGCATTAATGTCTTCACAGCCCCTATAATTAGCAAGGCACAATTTCACAAAGCAGGTTATTAGGCACCGACTGCATGAGCAACTGCAAAGCTGATGTGAGTTTGAGCATCAGCGTCACCTGTTTAAAGGTCCCTCCTCTCCCTTGTAACACCTAGTGAGTTAAAGAGAAAAAGAAGGATAGTAATGAGGAGGGAAAAGGGCACTACAGGTACCCAAATGTCTCTCCTGAACATGGGATCATGTGACAAACCAAACACTACATGTGTTCCTCTGCGTGAGTGGAGCTACATATTTTATGGGTTGGTAACTGAAGTGAACTCACGCTGTTTGAGCAGATGTTTACAAAGACAAAATCCCATAAATCTGCAGGAGGAGAGTGTTCGCACAAGCAACAATGAAACACACTGTGCATCTTCCATGGATGCGCAGGAAGTGTATAGATGTGTTGTTTAATATTTGCACTGTACCATTACCTCAGAAAAGGTGACCTAATGACTCTGTGTTTAAAAAAAGTGCAGTATTGTTTTCCCAAATCATAACTTATTGATTAAATTTTTAGTGGAAAAAATATGAGAATAAAAACATTAAGTCTCAGGGGGTCTACATTTTGTCCCTATTACTTTTTCAGTGTGTGCTCCTAGGGCATATAATAGAGGTGGGAGTCACTAGTGGCCCCCTGATACGATATTATCATGATACTTGGGCCACCATACAATGTTATTGCGATTTTTTTTAATTTTGTGGCATTTTTGAGAATATATTACGATTTACAATTTTTTTTCAACTGTTTTGCTAATTTAACATTTGGCTTTCTTTTATGTTTTTCCTATTTACGCTGTATTTTCTTTTCATGTACCACATCTTGCAAACCTTTTGTTGTACTAACTTTCTCCTGCTCTACAATGTCACCTCCGCCAACCTCACTGAACAAACAGTTGATTCTGTTTTTCCATTGTCACTGATTTGACTCCATGTTTGAAATTAATTTGAAAAAATTGATCGTCGTAAATGAGACAAACAATATATCACCAGACAAAATATTGCAATACTTTGGTGTATTGATTTTTTCTCCCACCCCTAGTACATCATGTTAAAAAGTATGTTAGGTTGGCCTCCAAGTGAAGAAAACCTGACCAAGTCTCTTTCAGGTTTTTTTTTTTTTTTACAGTGAAAAAAAGGTCATGAAGAGCCTGAGTGTTAAGTGTTTCATTGCTCCTTTAGTGTAGAAAACTTGATCAAGTGCCATATAGGGTGGGATTTCAGCAGAGACAATATCAAACAGTAACGCTTCAGGGCATGAGACATGATGAAATTTCTTCAAAGATGTCCCTCCAAATGAAGAAAAGTCACCCAAAACATCATCTTCCAGGGGCGACAACAACAACAAAAAAAAGACCTCACAGTGGAGAAAACAGAAGTGTCACCAGCTACTTAAAACACAATTAAATAAAATTGTGTTTATGTACACGGTAGGGACACTCCAGTGGAGAAAACATGACAACACACCGGCTAGAGGAACTCTCCAATGAGAGGAAAAAGGGTACAGAGCTATATGGGTTACTCTATAGGAAACACTCTGTCCACTGATACCCCCCATGGCATGTCCTGTTTCGTTTTTTTTTTTTTTTTCTTCTGCTGCTGTCCTCACACCGCCTGAGTCCGCCACTGCACTGCGGTACAGCTTTATAGCCAAGTATATGCAGCATATTAACATGGGACTTAGCACACGTTGGACTGTGACAAATGTGGTGGCTTTTGTTCACTGAGGGTAATGAACCCCCCACCCACAACCGTAGCCTGACACCACAACTTTTCTTATGGGGTCCCATTTATTATTGGCTCCTATAGGGATGCATGGTGTGCCTACTGAACCAGGTTAGAATTACCTCTGTGTGCCGTTAAAGGACACTCAGATGTGGGTTACCTCACAGCCGCAGACATTAAAAGTTTGCCACTAGCTTTTAGGTTTGTTGCATGGTGAAAATGTTCATCAGTAAGCAGGGGTTGTTTTCATCATGTTAAAAATAGATTATTAATGGAGAGGGCAGTCACAGAATGTCCTGTTCCTGTAAGCAGTGTAATTGCCAGGAGCAAACCAGACAATAATTGCATTAAATAAATCATCCTGGGACATTTTCTCAGGACATTCACAACACATGGGACACAAAAAGTGTTTCATTAGATGTTCCACAAATAGCTCTGTTGGACGAAACTTGATTACAAGTTGTACAGACGTGCTAACAAATGAAATTTGAATTACTTTGTGCGAAAATGTGGATTAATCACGTCTGCAGGAGCTGGAGGGAAATGCCAGTGGGAGTTGGAAGGGTGGTCGCGCGGAGGTATCATCCATCATAAAGCAGCAGGATCCATGTCTCCTCAAGCAACCTCTAATCACTGCAGAACAAGACTAATTAGACAGAGGAACTGTTTCCTGAGCGGCACGTAGACACACAGCACCGTCTGCCTCCACACCGCGTGTTGTTGCTGCTCACATAAGGTGCATCCACACAAACAAAAAAAACCGCACACACAAACACAAAGTGGTTCTGCATACCTCATTCTCACACTATTTATTACCCGTTGCCTCTTGGTTGACTCGGTTCCCCCTCCAGAGCTCACTTTGGTTCATTCCAGCGTCTCTGTACCCTCCGTGCTCAGCCGTGTTTCTGCTGTCATCACGGCTGAGCACGCGGCTCAATCACTCCGCCGACACGAGCTGCAAAGTGAATTTCGATGGACAGATTAAGACGAGCAGAGACCGTCTCGTGCAGGACTGTGTTGTGTCGGAGTGTTGACGGGGTGAGTTGTTTGCGGTTGTAAAAATCCATCCGCCGAGTTTCGTTTACCGGTTGAAAATGTCGTTTTTGTTGTTTGTATTGGGATTCAAAAGTGAGACTGTGTGATTCAAATGGTTTGTAACAAGTGTTTTGGCGGCTAATTCGTTAAAAAACTAGGGCAAGCAGAGAGGAAACCTCATGGGATAGTTAAACTCGCTGTTTGGCTGTGACGGTACTCTTCAGGTGAGTATTTGGGTATTTTCTAGATATAGTCCAACGCACATGTAGGTTACTGTTAATGTTGATTAACAAGAGTTGGAAAAAATTCTCTTGACACATTGTTTTGGAAACAAGCTCAACAAATCCGCTTGTAGAGCTGCTGAAATACAGAAAGTTTGATGTCATTCTTACTCTGACAGAAAATTTGAATATCATACAAAGCAGACTGCACATCTGCATACCTTTCTTCCTTTATGGTAAAATGTCAGCATCAGAGAGACTAACCTTGGTTTGAAATTGTAGCATACAGAGTCTATCTCAAAGAGAGTGCCATTCACAGGTTTGCAGCCTGAACCACAATGTTGTGATAGTGTAAAAAAGCTCAAAGATTAAATGAAAGTGAGACGCCAAAACACCTTTTTTCTTCAACCTGAATCTTTCTGCAGCTGGCAGCCTTCGAGGCTTTGTTGGAGAAATGTTTTTAATACCAGGCTGATTGCACAGAAGGTGTTAAAACCAAAACAATGCTTCGTAAGAAAAAGAAGCAAAAGGCAAATGTGTTCGACTTGCAGAGCGCTCTTACACCAGTGAGAATCTAACGTTTTATAACAGTGTATAAAGACAAAAGTTCTATCTCTGTCCTACTTCCATCAAAAACAAAGGCATAAAGGTCTGAGAAACAATGTGAAGCGCACTGTCCTAGACAGTGGTAGACCTGAATTGACACACAGCTTTATGAAAACACAATACACCCGAATGTATTCAGTTATTTGATAACAGTGAAGTGTCCTCCTGTCTGTCACTGTCTCCCTCCTCACTCCTCCTCACAAATACAGACACAGTATACATTAGCATGTGTTTTCTGCCTTGTGTTTCTGTCTTTCGCAGCGTGAGTGACAGCCGCCGTCTGATGGAGCAAACAAGCATGTTTGATTGCCTGTTCCCTTCATAACGGTTGTCCAATTTCATGGCTGTTAAGCTTGTTAATGAAAGCAGGAAGAAGAGAAAGCAAAGGGTATATCCGTGTGCTTGGCTGGACCCTTAGATTATAGGGCATGGTTTGTGATGCTAACAAACGGTGTCACATGTCCTATAAATACACCTAGTGACAAAGACACAGCTTGTATTGTTACAACCTGCCAGGCCTTATTTACAATCGTCCTGACACAACCCACTGAGTGTTAAAACATATATAGAGAGGGAATATATTTTTGGTTTCTTATTAATTCTCTTGTACAAAAATCAACATACCCTTGTAAATTAGAGAAGCTATTGATTTATTCATCATATTAATGCTTCAATAATAAGGCTGAGTGTAATGTCATTATAGGCTAAACAGTCGCATGAATATGATCCAATTGATTAAAGCAGCTATGTAAATCAAACTCAATTAGAGGCATTTATTCTGGCTGAATTATATGCATTAGTCGCACTAATTATGGATGTCGCCGATACACCCAGAGGCCGAGAAAGAACGTGAGTGAGTCATCTTGAGCCCCTTGTTACAGTGCCTTGAAAGGAGACATGTAAAATGAATGATTGTGTAAAATATTCAAGATTACTTAAAGGACTGGTGCAGTAGAGACACGGGGTCAAGGTGATACGCTGCGTTCTGTATCTTTAAAAGCCTGGAAGGGTTGTAAGAAGAGTGGGAAGGAGTTGAGAATTAACATTTATGCATAAAAAATATCTTTCTGATCTGAATAAACATCTTACATCAGGCGAATCTGAATATGTTTTCCACATCATGGTGCATAAAATCATTATTGCCACTGGTGATGCCGCTAAAGGAGAGGCTTGTATGATTCAGATAAGTTGTAGTTAATATGATGATGTATTCTTGTGGGTTCTTAGCATCATATATTACTCGTGTGTCCTTTGGCTAATACATGTTTTTAAAGCACTGTGAACATAGTCAAAATAGTGTATGATGCAGTTATAAGTTTGAAACCTCTAGCGGACAGATAGAATAACTTATTTCTGCACAGTTACAAATTGTGTGCTGTAGACCTTGACACTTGCTTCAGCGTCTTATATGAATGCAGTGAGAGCTGGCATGTCAGATCTTTTCTTTTTTGAATGTCAAATGGAGACAATCCGAAGTAAATACAGAGTTTCTCTCCAAGAGAGACATATATATTGAGAGAAATCATGCAGTTCTGCCCATAGCAGCCAAGATCATACAAAACTACACCCTGGTTAGTTCTATTGGAAACAAAAGTTAGATATTTCTGAATGGATGTAAAACAAAAACGCCACTTAAAAGTCTTCATTTTGTCATGGAGGCCTGACTTTGATGCAAATCAAAGGACATCAGTGGGAGGATGAAACTGAATATTTATGGTCTCTGCAGACCCAGAGATGTCCCAGAGTACTTTTGAGCCTTTTTAACAGCAGATGAAATTGCACTTGAAAGTTGTAGGCAGGTTGCTTGACAGCTGTGAGGAATTCAAGTGCTTTTTACTATTGTGAGCAGACTATTAAAGCACCTCTCCGGTGGACGACTCAGCTAAGTACACTTGAAATTATGCGATGATGCAAAGGCACCATTAACATTTACTATTTTTTTGTTGGAAGCGGACCTTTAATCTTTAGCAAATGTGAAACATTCCAGATTTTTCCATCGATAACAAATGTTTTTAATTTACAAGACTTGAACATACAACAGTTACATTAAGACAGCTCTCTTTTCCTCTGCAGAATGCATGAACAACCTGCAGAAACTATTCCTGAATTACACTGGCCCTGGGCTGCAGGGCCGTGAGCAGCTACCATGGCGTATCCAAACACCAGCATCCTGACAGCTAACCTCAGTGGAGCTCTAGACGGCCATGACTCTGGTGGAAACATCTACAGACCCTTCTCTGTCTTCAGCGTGCTCACCCTGACTTTACTGGCGATGCTGGTTGCGGCCACTTTTGTGTGGAACTTACTGGTGCTGGTGACCATCTTAAGGGTGAGGACCTTCCACCGGGTGCCCCACAACCTTGTGGCTTCCATGGCGATCTCAGATGTGATGGTGGCCGCTCTGGTCATGCCACTAAGCCTCGTACACGAGCTGAACGGCAGGTTGTGGAAACTTGGCCGTGTACTTTGCCAGGTTTGGATCTCTTTTGATGTGCTCTGCTGCACGGCCAGTATCTGGAACGTGACGGCCATCGCACTAGACCGCTACTGGTCCATCACCAGACACCTGCAGTACACACTCAAGACACGCAAAAAGATCTCTAATGTGATGATTGCACTCACTTGGCTGCTGTCGTCAATCATTTCACTGTCGCCTCTCTTTGGGTGGGGGGAGACATACTCAGAGGGAATGAAATGCCAAGTGAGCCAGGAGCCGTCCTACACCATCTTCTCTACTTTTGGGGCGTTTTACTTGCCGCTCTGTGTGGTGCTGTTTGTGTACTGGAAGATCTACAAGGCTGCCAAGTTTCGGATAGGATCACGCAAGACCAACACAATAACGCCCATGGCTGAGGTGATTCATTCATTTTTATTGAAAAAAAAATCTAATCCCTTAAAATCCCCTTAAGTCATATTTGTTTGTATTTGTCTGTCAGAGTGTTGGGAAATCTTTATTTACTGGAAATGAATTCAGAACAAGAACTGTTCTTGTAGAAAAATAAAAACTATTGATGGTTCAGGAACCTATGGTCCATTATCTAATGTCTAATGCCAACTCAAATCAATCAATCAAATTTTATTTATATAACGCCAATTCACAACAGTCGTCATCCCAAGACACTTTCCAAAGAAAAAGAGCAGGTCAAGACCACGCTCATTGTTTGATGAATCATCACGACCCAACCTAAGATGGGATTTGGCCCATCTCATCCAACATGAGTAACAGTGGCAAGAAAAAACTTCCTTTTAACAGGCAGAAACCTTGAGCAGGACAAGAGAGAGAGAGAGAGAGAGCGGCAATATTAACTCAGCACCAACTCAGGATTTTTAACATTGCACCAAAAAAACACTTAAGTTAACACAAAATGTGAAATTCTACAGGTTTTCAGACTGAAATTATGATATCATCAGCAAAGACTACACAAACTTTTCTACTTAGCACATTATGCTGCGGGTTAGAATTGAACTGCTGAGCCAAATTTGCACCCCAACAAAGCATGCTTTTTTTTACAGCTTTCTTCCTTATTGTGTCATTACCATGCATTTAGAGGAAAGTGGTGCTATTCTAGTTTGATTGAAAAGACTCCTCATTATAATCCAACAAGTGACTGGAGGAAGTGGGTGGTGTATGTTGGTCTGTGTATCTCATAACAAGTGAGTCAAGGTCTCTGTTGGGTCAGGGTTAGAGAGCAGCACAAGACTGCAAACTCCACTCAGTGAAAACAGATGACAACTACAAAGAGCTTCACAGCTGCAGAGAAACTACACATTGTGGTTGTTGCTGAGTGCGGTGTAACAACACATTACAGTTTCACAGTATTTCAAGACAGAAAGTTCCAAAGTGAGAATGTGCTGCAGATTTTATGTCGCTGAGGTAGGTATGCATATTATGTAAAGGTTGTTACACATGGCACATCAATTTGTTAATCAGACGGTAAATGATCAGTGCACGGTAAAGTCTAGACATCCTAGAATGCTGATTTGAGAAATCGTCTTAAATGTCATCGGAGGAACGTAGTGGGTTCTAAGTTTGGCTCTTACATGCAAAATTAAAACCCTTAAAGCTCAGCCTCTTGGTTGACACTGCTTTGTGGTAAGACATGGTTAGAGTGTTAAACCACATGTTCTCATCAAAAGTAAGATGTGTTAGCTGATTATTTGTCTCTATGGCCTACCTATGAACAGAGATCTACCTAAGACAGGTTGCTTTTCAAGTTCAGAGACAACTGCACATTGTGGGAGAAAGCAGAGAAAAAGAAAAGTAAGAGGGTGAGAATGAAAATATTCAAAAGGGTAAATAAATATAGTGGAACTGCTAGAGTTTAGAAGCAGAGGTACAATTTAAACATATACATAGCAGTGAGATCAGCAACTTGTGAGGTAGAGAGACAGAGGAGAATAGGAAGTGCAGGGAGAAGGGATGCTTCAAAAGAACCAAATCGATATCCAACTGCCACTAACAGAGCAAGCATCGGCCAAACTGTCAGTTTCCATGTCCTCAGTTGTTTGGGTAGAGCATTTTAATGCAGCCCGTTCAAGGACACAGGGATTGACGATGCTTGTAAATGCTGTAAATGATGTTGGCCAGTGTTGCGTTCTAAAATAGACATTACAAAATCAAATAGAGAGATTGTTAGCTGCAATTACAGGATGGAAGATAGATTACCTGAATAAACGGGTAGCTGTAAACAAGTTAAGCTCTCATAATACAGGGTTGATATACATCAACAATTTATGAGCTTATCAAGACCTGTCAAAAAGCAGCTAAAATGCCATAAGTAAGAAACACATAAGAACCTCCACATTAACAAAGAAAACAAGCATACACAAAGAAGCACGAATCACAAAGAGCCATTATGACTGACATCTCTGCCTTTAAGACCATGGGCACAGACAGCCGTGGAGGTATTGGGAATATAGAAGCAGGAACAAGATTGTTTTATAAAATTATTACTCAAGTTAATTGGAAATCTTACTCCTGCCCACTGCAAGTTGTACGTCTCTGAAACAGACATTTGCAAGACAAGGTATTCCTAACAAGACCCACAAGAATAATAGGAGAGCGGGAAAGACTATTGCTGACAGTGTGACATTATGCGTATCGCATCTCGTTCTCACACCCCTCAGAGAAATGGACATGCTGTTCAAACACAAAAATGCATCCTCAAACAGGACAACCCACTATTAGCATCCATGTCATCGCTCCTTGGGGTAAAAGATTAGAGCCAAACACCCCCTGACTTTGACAAAATCTGGTCCCTGGGTCGACCATTGAAACTTAACAATGCAGTGACTTCACAGCACAGTAGTGCCTGGACACTTTGGATCTCTGCAGCAACAGCGAGAGAGGACCTAAATGCAGAGTATGAGTTTTAGTGGTTAAAAGCAAAGACGCAAATACAAAAGTCTTATTAATCAGAGTATAAAGTTGCAGCAACACTAGAGAGAAACCTAAATAACCAAATTAAGATGAAATGCACAACTAAACAAGAAAACCACAAGACGCCGAGAGTAAAAGTATTAATCATTCTGAGTAAAGAAAAGGGAAAGGACCCAAAATGCAGACAAAAAAAGGATTTATTTAAAAGAACAAAATAAAAAAGAGAAAAATCCAAAAGGCAAAATCCACAAAAAAATCACTGGGGCAAAATCACAGGGAGCAACTGGGGAGACAGGTATATGCACACACCGACAAACAATAAACCAAGAAGAATAGAGGGGAAGACAGGGACTATATACACACTGGGAAACGAGCAACAGGTGAGGTAAACGAGCAACAGGTGAGGTAAACGAGCAACAGGTGAGGCAAACGAGACACAGGTGAAACTCATGGGTGATTAACAAAGGAGGGAAAATTGGGGAAGTAAAACCAGACTAAAAACACAAGGAATAACTACTACAAAATAAAACAGGAAACAGAACAGGAGGATAATAGGGTCAAACACAAACTGCAAACTCACAAGACTGGACTACAGGGAACAGGAACACTAGGGACAATACACAAAATGTACTTAAATAAAACCAGTAGAAGAAAACTAAATTAGACAAGAAACTGTCTCTTTCAGCAGAAAAAAAATCTGTCCTTTTAATGCTTTTATTGACCGATCAGAATCAAGATCTCATCACAGCCATGTCACACATGCAGACAGATACTCCTTGTTGCAGCTCAGTTAGCTTCAGTAAGCAGATACAAAGAATCGCTCTTCATCGATTCACATGTAATTGTATTTGTCCAGACAAACTATCCAGAAGTAATCTGGCAAACATAAGTATCTGATGTATAAGCGTAGGGGTAAATACTAGCCGTGATCCTGCTCATCACCACCAGCTTGTTAATTTGCTTTGGCAGAAGGTAGGGGGCTTTAAATACCACCTCCGGCATCTTTAATGGGCTGCTGCAGCACCTTCCTGACTGTGGCGTTCCTCTAATCAGCAGACACAAAGGTCTAGATCTGTTCCGCAAGCATTAGCACACATTTAATCAGGCAAATTTTCCCCCTGAAAATTGACACAGCACCCACTTTTCACCTGGCCTTATGGTGGTTTATGCGGTTTGAAAACTACCCAAAGTGCCTCAGAGATAGAGTTTACAGCAAGCACACTTTTCAGTCTATGAGAAGTTTGTATAAAACATAACCTCACAATTGGACAGTCAGTGGACTTGGCAAACAAAAGGGAAAAATGTTTTGTAGAAAATACAAAGATTTTTTTTTTATTTATGTAATGCACATACTCATGAATTCCCATTAATCCTCTAAGTATCTCAAAGTTATGTAAATTCAGCCTGAAATTAAGGCTGTGCTCAAGGAGAGCCAATCATCAACTAAATAAGTGCCATGTTTTATTGCTTTGATGGATCGACTTCAAAGTCAAGTTCCATTACCCAGGCATTCAATTTAGCCTTAGAAGCAATTAAACTCAGTATGTTTTATTAGTCTTTTTGCTTCCCACAGACATGCGCGCAGCTTGTGCTTGTATTAAACCGGTCTCATTACCCAGCCAAGGTATCCTCATCATTCACCAGAGTACATTGAAGAGCCGAGGCACCGAGCCCTGCAAAGTGCCCGCACACAGAGTTGTGATGTGAAGGATGGCATCAGCATCCAAGATAATAAACCTTTTGCTCTCATCCATCAACAACACCCACACAAAGACATTAAGAGCGCCGCAGCCGCACACATGGCACCAGAAATAGAGTGTTTTGATAAGGGAGATGCACTGTTTCTTGGCCTGGGTGCACAAATAACTCAGCGTTACTGTAAGAAAGGCCGTGAAATGTTTGCTGTCACTGCAGCTATGAGAAATGATTAATGTGAAGACTCTTTGTCTTATTAACTTCAATTTTTACATTACATGCTTCAGTCAACCTCAAAACAAGCCAGTTTCCTGACTGAAATATAGACCTTCAGTCCACCGAATCGACTGTCCCTCTTACATAAGTCAGAGCAGACGAGATAATATTCTCCTCAGAGACAAAGACATCACTCACAGTTTATGGACTTAATGCTGCTGGAAATTGCCATGAGATAATAAGCCAAGCATGAGGACGATAATGAATCACAGCAAGTCTGCCTTTATCCTAACTTTTCAAAACGTAAACAAACTAGCACATATTTAAAAAACAAATATACAAGAGTTGTTCTTAAGTTCTTTTTGCTTTAAAAAGCAAAAGTACAGAGGTGTAAGCTAGCTAGCAGCTCATTTAACCTTCGCCTGAAATTCTTTGTTGTAGCTTCTTTTCCAGCAATATAAAGTTGTGGGTGTTACTTTTTACACAGCTTTATAGATACAAAACAACAAGAAAAGTTGTGCCTCCACAAAAAACGCTACAGGCCAGCCAGTAGTGCCCCACTTTATCTATTAGTGAGCTATTGTTACAGTACCTGCTGTTATAATGTTACCCACAGCTTGTGGTCCTGTGTTTAAGGTCTTTACAGATGGCACAGCCCCAGGTTTCAGGAACAATTTAGATGCATATTTGGCTCATACTGGCCTTTGTTTGGATAAGACAGGACCCAGTGTCCTACACTCACCCTTTCAGGGTTCCAGTCTGCTGAAACAATTCATTTATAATACAGTATTACTCATAATATACAGCCCTATGGATCACAGCCCAGAAAAAATAACCTGTCCTGTCGTTTAGTTTGAAAAATTGATGTTAGGTGGCCAGTTCATGTAAACTACTTCACAATAAAATGATCCCCTGCACTGAAATAATCGAATCTTTGCCACAGGATGACATTCAGAATAAGTGCTCCATATAAATAAAAAACTCTGCCCCCAGTTCGATGTGGGGAAATGATCTCTCCATATATATGTTTATATTTAATGATTCAAAACCATATGTTGTTTTTGAGTGAGCCTGATTAGATTTGGTGTCAGGGATGATTATAGCCTCATCAGGGATCTGCTCCGTAAAGGAGGATCTGCAGTTAAGTGCACATTTCACTACTGCACCATTTGGCATATAATGTTAAGGTTTAAAACCTTCTTCCCAGAAGTCATTTGCTTTTAACCTCTGGTCTCTGCTGTAAATGGATTTGCTGCATCCATTTTATCAGGTGAAGGTCCTGCTGGCCCATATCGATTCAGATAAATTCACTCCAGAGAGAATGAGTTTCTTCATTCCTGTGCAGGATCCTGTTTAAATGTTGAGCAGAACTCAACAGTCAGTCCTTTTACTTCTGACTGATTGGGAGGGATAGTTTGTCCTCATGAAAGCTGCTGAATAACCCGGGTGATTTCACTAGATAGAAAAAAAAATAGAAAGTCAGCCTTGAGCTGTGCTAGGCAACAAATGAGTGAAGAGAAAGTCAGCAGATTGAAGTTGACATTTTCTCTTCCCTTTGAAAGCTCTGCCGTGTGTTTATGAAATGGCAAAGAACAAGCTTCTGGAAAATGCAGATGAAGACAGAGCCCGAGCGCCGCACTCTTTGTATGTGAGTTTGTGTGTGAAATGAAAGAAAAGCTGGGGCTTGTTGATCCACCTGTTGATTCACACCTCTGCTCAGCCGGCTATAATCCATCTTTTGTTGAGCAGCCACACAATTTACACTTCAGCGGTTTCTTTCTGAGGCGGACTTCAGGAGAGATATAGCTTTTCTAAAGCTAACTAGGTCTGTCTGATTGATTCATAAATCAATAGAAGAACTGATTCATTCTCTTTACGGTCGCTTCCTAGGTGAAGGAGGAAACACAGCAGCCGCAGATGGTGTTTACCGTGCGCCATGCCACTGTGACCTTCCAGACAGACGGCGACACGTGGCGTGAGCAGAAGGAGAAGAAGGCAGCGCTTATGGTTGGCATTCTGATCGGTGTGTTCGTACTTTGCTGGATCCCCTTCTTCATCACTGAGCTCATCGTCCCACTGTGCTCCTGCGACATCCCACCCATCTGGAAGAGCATCTTCTTGTGGCTGGGCTACTCCAACTCCTTCTTTAACCCGCTCATATACACTGCCTTTAATAAGAACTACAACAACGCCCTGAGGAACCTCTTCTCACGGCAGCGCTGAGCCACTCTGCACACTCAGCAAACAGACACACTACACCAGCACACACTCTTTACGACAGAAAGGCACTAAAGTGTCTGTTTTCATCACTTCATCAACTTCAGAGGGAGGATAACGGGAAACTAGGACTCCAAGACTGTGACTTTTTCATTAATGTTTGGTTTGATTTATGATTATTCTGAGGTAACCACACAGCTTGGCAGAGATTGCTGTCAGAACAAGTGTTTCTGCAAATAGAGAGGAATAAATTAGCTGTGCTGCGGCAGTGATGTCTATATTTTGGTTTATTTCAGGCTTATTAGAGAGAAAGACATTTAGACTCCCTCGTAAACAGTTTCATCACTATATGAGAGGCTACTGATAGTAGGCTTAAAGTAAAGCTGGAAGGAAAAACCTCATTAATCACAAATCGAAATAAAACTTTAGAGTTTAACCGTAGAACAAACTGCTCAACGCTGCAGTTAATAATTCAAGCAAAAACTGGATTTATCTCTGGGAAGAAGAAGGGTTATTTGTCCACAGCCTCTCAGTACAAGGATAAAATATTAAATGACTGCGAAGTTTTAGGAATTTACACATGAACCCCTCAGCTCCTCATGCACTTTTTATGTACACTTTTACAGATATACAGTATGCGCTAATCTCTCCTTTGGTGCCAGAGAGCTTGACGCTGATTCTCTTTACTCAGGCACCTACTTCAGACTCCTGTGTCTTTAAACTAAACAGGGAAATAAACAGAGAATACACTGCAGCTATTTATAATCACAAGTAACTCAAGATAAATACCATGAAACATAGAAGGTCTGTGACCTGATCTACAGCTAAAAAAGGGCAGTTCAAACCAAATATCTCTAATGGTCACAGCACTGAATTGCGCCTCAGTTGGCCTAATGATGTTCTCCAACTGTGGCTCTTTATCATCTTTTACAGACCGCCTCTGTTTCCTGCACAAATTGCCACTTTCTTCTGACAATGAACAACACTGTAGAAACCATATATAACTCTATTTATAATGTAATATAATGTAAAGTGAGGATCTAAGCATGATAAACTGTTCCTCTGCTAACAGTAAGCTGTAGTTTTTTAGTACATATCTCGTAGAGCGAAAGGTTAACGACATCTGCTCACTCTTTGGAACGCTGCTGTCTGTTGAAAACAACGTGTCTTAAGATCAGGAGAGTTTGGGTTACTACTACTCATGGTCTTAGATTAATCAGACTCCGTTTTTGACTGTCTTTGGCTAAGTGTGCATGGCGGATTTGATGGCATGAGGTTTGAAGAATTCTTAACACCTGATTGGTTAAAAATGTCATCTAAAAAAATACACCCTGGTTCCTAACTGGGGTGGTCTCTGTGGCAGTGTTGTAGCACTGGAGTCCAGGACTCACTTGGACTTGGGCATTAACTGGATTCATACTTTGACTCAGACTGTTGCATTCCCACTGAGCATTCTTTTGGTCTAAAAGAAGTCTAACAGATGTCTAAATGTAACCTAGAAGACTGGTCTAAAATCAGACTACCAGAGGTCTTAAAATGAAAGTTTTTTAGACGTCTAAATTTAGACCAAGTTTAGACTAACTCTAAATCTGGGCTAGCTCTATACTACACTGTATATTGCTCAACGGCTATCATAATTATTTTGGTTAAGTACTTGGAGATGAGTTATGCAACTCACAGTTGCTTTTTAAAATAAATAGTTATCGAATAATGGGTTAAAGTGCAACGTCTATTTTCCATCTGAAAATATACAGAATCTAGACGGTTGAAATTAGGTCTAAAAAAAGGTGGTTTTTTTTGTCTAATAGCCGTCTGTTGCTCAGTGGGTTGCCTTTAGTCTTCTTCATGTACAAGATTTTAATTATTTATTCAGTTTTGTTTGGCTGCTTGCTTGCTACCGTTATTTTATATTGATGTATAAATTCACCAACAGTCATTTTAACTCTGACCTTCATGATAAGTCAGGGTATTAAGACCACCATATATAGCTCCATACACCAAACTGTATGGACATAGCAGCTAACTTCATGGTATTCTATTCATTTATTTCAGTCATGATGTATTAACAGTGTGTGTTGCTCTGGGGACACATTGTTTTCATATGACACCAGCACTTTAGTGACGAGTTAATCCTAAGAATTCTTTTTAAAAAGGTTTTAAATATAATTTGTTCGATAAATTTTTTGTACACTATTTAAAACTGCATTTTGCAAGACAATAGCAGTGTATATTGTAGATATTCTAATTCAGGATTATTTATTATTTATACAGCCTTTACCTGACCTCAGCCTGTAGCTTTGATTTGTACTTTTAGATTAAATTTCACTTTACCTCAAACACACACAGACTTCAGATGACAAAGCGTATGAGTAAGTTATTTAAGATGTATAATTTTCAAGAGATTACATTGATAGCTTCAGTAGTAAAAGAGTGACAATATTTAGTCTTTAATACATGCAAAGTTGAACAGAGTGATATATAAAACATGAAGAATCATAAATATATATGAAAAGAAAATGAGCCCACTGTAAGGGCCAGATCAGTGCTGTGGTGATTAAATAAATGCATGAGATAGACAGAGACAGTGATCATCATTATTAAATTCTTCCAGACAGAAAATAAAAGACAGTGCTGGTGAAATGTCCACTCCCTCCTAGCTCTTCTTTCATGTTCCCCTCTCATGTCTTACCCGTGGAGCCCGTGGTATTCTGCAGGACTCAGATATTTAAATTACCTCTCACTGCCTTCCAGATTGCCTGAGGACAGTTCATCGTTCAACCTTTGCCCCCCTCTGGTCTTGCTCTGTATGATGACCCAGCTCAGGAAAACAAAGTGTTTCAGAAACATGTTGGTTTTTTTAAACCCATCCTTGTATTCATTCTTAATGTACAAAAGAGGGACACAAATGTGGGCAATTACCTCATTCTTAGAAATCCATTTGTGTATTTAAATCTAAAAAAACAAACATGGAAGTAGAAGATCTTTTGAGTGACTAATCATGTGCAAACCTGTCTGTGGTTTTTCAACGTGTGCATGTTTATCTCCTGCAGAAGCCTTGGATGATAAAATTGTAATAAACGATTGCTTAATTTGTGTTACATTGCATCAAGCTCTGCACTTTGACATAACAGAAGATTCAGCCATTATATTTCTACCAGGAGGTACACGGCAGGATATTTGCTGACACTGCAGACACATCAGACTCATACTGCACTTTCAAAATGTTTATCTAAATTCAACACGGTAAATGGAGGCAACATTTCCAAATCAATTTAAGGCAGTTTAGTGAATGTAAACTGAAAATTCATTACTTAAATATATGCACTCTGCTGGGGAAGAGTGCAGCCAAAAGATTGGGATTAGCCATTCCATTGTCAAGGTGAAAAGCAGACTATAATTATAATATTAAAGTTTCTGTGAGGAGTTTTTTTCACTTTTATGAAATAAATGTATATCTATACTGATGCCTTTTTGTGATATGCAAAAGCAAATGAGACTGTAACAAGACTGATGGTTCATATATTATTATTTGTAATGCCTTGAAGTGGTGTGAGAGGGTAGATGTCAGCAAAGCAGCTTAAGAAAACTGTTTTATTTATGATTTCCTCATAAATTAAACACCATAAACAATAAATGTAATCATTGAAATTCAGAATGAAGATGTTCTTTTTCAGAAGACTTAAGCTCATACAGGTTAAGATAAGCAATGGCTGCTTTGTTCATGAGTGCTGCTAACATTGATCGAAAGTAACATGAAAGGGATAAGGGTCAAACACACCGTAACACCAAGTTAGACACCCTCCTCGAGAGATGAATGTTACCGACTGCTTGCTTCTCTAGTTATACCAACTTTAGTAACAACCGCACGATAGCAATACACAGTGGTCTGAGGAGCCATAAACAAACCTCAACCAAAACGCCACTCTATAGCCACAAATAATGCTCAGAACAACACCTAACTTCATCAACAGTACATATAGGGTCCCAGCCATAGTACTAGCCACCAAATATATTTTTAACTTTGCCTAATTTCTTTCACAAAGAGACTAAACACAACTCACCTACTCTCTTCCAGCAGCTGCTTGTTTGTAGCGAGAACTTGGGCCAGTCCATTACTGACTGCAGCGGGTTGGCGCAACTTGAGGAAGAACATTTATGATCATGACGTTATCATTTCCTTGAAGTAAAAACCACTGTATCAATCATTTTGCACTGCAGATGCAGTAGTTCTTCTGCCTTAGCATCTCGGTCTGATTGCATTTCCATGAAGAAATGACGCCCCTTATAGACAAAGGAGCCTTTGCTTACCTTGTGCGCCACATAATCAAGTTGCGTCTTCTGACCAAATCAAAAACCTTCTCTTTCTAAATTTTAACAATCAACCATTGATCCATTGCTTAGCTGGTACCTTCCCCCTAACAGCAGTTTTAAGCATTAAAAATTACAAAAAATATCATAAATCACGCCACTGCTGGTCTTGTTTGCTTTTAGAAATCATAAAACGGCATCAATTTGAATTTCAATCTGTTTCTAAGCTGTTAAAAAAAATTCACTTAAGCTTTAAATAATACATTTGAAAATATTGACCGTAGAAATCAATTTTAGCAGTTTCAACTCATTTTCCATGTGAAGGTTGTGAAAGTGAAAACACACTGGTGATGGAGGTGCAGTTGTGCCACAGAGCAGAGAGAGGATCATCTCTATCTCTGACTGAAGACAAAACAGCAAAAACAAAAACGGAAAGAAACATTTTTTGGAAAGAATTTGATACGATGAAGTTAAATAAGCAGAATCATTTAGGGTTTTTTTTTTAAGCGTGAAGGTTGGATTAAACAAAGACTAAATACAGTGTTTGGCTCTGATAGTACATTGGTATGAGGGTCATTGCCCAAATACTGCAAGTCATTTAAAAAGCAGGCATTTGTGTGTCCTTTATCTCTGCTGACACTGCCAGCACGCATGTTTCAGAGCCAAGAGTAAGTCTGCTGCTGTTCAAAGGAACACATCCATCCACATATTCAGGCTAAACAGAATACATGAAAATGTGAAAATGAGGTTCGGCGAAACTGACTCAGGATTAGAAAAAAATTGCTCTGGGGAAAGCGAACGTGTTTGGCAGCTGAATTTAACTGAAATATAGGAAGTGCAGCCTCATGTTTAGTGATGGAGTGTAGTTTGTTTACATGCTCTGAGTCGAGGAAAATGTGACAAAGGAATAAAAAATACAACAACACACCTGCCAGATATTGTTTCACCACTGAAAACAAAACCAACTGCAGGAATATTTTCAAATATAACCATCCCTGAATTTTTCCTGCAAGTTTTAAACATAAACTTTGCACTCCTTGGCTGCCCTTATCTTTACAACAAAGAGGAATTACTCTCTCCCTGTCTGGAGGCCATGACTACTGTGTGACTGTGTTGCTCTCTGTGCTCCACTTGTTATTCTGCGACAGATCAGTTATATCTTAACAGAAACTGCACAGCAGGATAGTGGAGGAGAGGATACATATATATGTGATCTGAACGAGCACAGCACTCTCGCTCTCTCACACTCTGCCCTGCTCGGCTCCTCGCTGACTTTTAATTCAGGTTCTCAGGGCAAAACAGAGGTGATTGTTGGAGAAAGGAAAACTCTAAATTCTAAAAAGCTCCAGCTGAGATTCAAGCTGATAATCCTTTCTCTGCCTCAAGACAGAGTAAGGACGGACAGAGAAAACTGGATTTTTTTAAACATTTCTCCTCATGTTTTAAAACAACCCTACTCAGGCATTTGGTGAGACAGAAGGTTTATTCAGAAAAACAGGAATTTGTTTGAGAAGGTTTCATACTCCTTTGCAAGTATTAAAGCTAATCACAATTTAATTGAATTTGATTTAATATTTTTGACCTTACTTCCAAGAGCTCAAAAGTCAAATTTCCTTCCAATGCAAAAACATGCCAGGAAAGAAAACAAACTAAATATTTGAGCAAATGTAGAATCCAAAGATTGTAATTAAAGTCCTTCCTAGTGACACCACTCAGTTTTTTAACAGTGGTGGCAAAAATCCTCCTCACCAACAGTTTCAGTGTGACCATCTCTCATTCATGTCAGCCTCAGGATAAATCTAAAAGGGATATTCCGGCATAAAATTAATTTAGAGTCAAACACACCATAACACCGAGTTAGACACCCCCCGAGAGATGAATGTTGCCGACTGCTCGCTTCTCTAGTTATACCAATTTTAGTAACTTCCGCAGATAGCAATACACAGCGGTCTGAGGAGCCACACACAAACCTCAACCAGCCACTCTATAGCCACAAATAATGCTCAGAACAGCACCTAACTTCATCAACAGTACATAGAGGGTCCTAGCCATAGCACTAGGCGCCAAACATCTTTTTAACTTTGCCTGATTTCTTTAGCAAAGAAATTAAACACAACTTGCCAACTCTCTTCCAGCAGCTGTTTGTTTGTAGCGAGACCTCGGACCAGTCCATTACAGACTGCTGCGGGGTAACGCAGCTCAAGGAAGAACATTTATGATCATTTCTTCAAGGAAATGCAATCAGACTGAGACGTTAAGGCAGAAGAACTACCGCGTCTGCAGAGCAAAATGATTAATATGGTGATTATTACTTCAAGGAAATGATAAAGTAATGATCATAAATGTTCCTGTACTGTATTGGCGGAGAGAGAAATGAGCTGCACTGACCCCAAATCATGAACCAGAATGTAAACATGTACATTTTTGCTGTAAAATGAGCTTTTTTGAGTGGGTGTGTGTGTGGCTCCTAAATTGTTTTCTTTTAAAAACTGACACCTGGTGAATATTTGAAGCTAAATGTTACTTAAAGCATGCTAAAGTGTTATAAGTGCAAGTCAATGTAGTCCATAGCTGTCAAGTATCCCAAATTGGCCTGGAAACTGAAATGGGGTAGTCAAGTTTTTCTCTGACCTGGCTGTGTCGAGTGTGTGTTGTCTGTCTTGTATGCAAATTAGGTGTGCCATCACATGCTCCTGACTGGAAGCCAATTGGGAGCACATCCTCAAAGTGCTTTTTCCTCGCTTCTTGCTCGGATACATTCTTAGCGTTGTGATATTTCTTGGTTGGCAATTTTTTCCTGGTGTTTGAGGAATTAATTGTGTACTGTAGCGTTTCACTGACGTGGAGAAAAATAAAGAATTGTACAAAAGCTGATTTGTTTAACATTGCTACATTTTATGGTGTCCTTGTTGGCTACAACATAGACACCATAACACAGGGTCATAATGTTTTTCTCTGGCTTGGCTGTGTCTAATGTATGCGTGGTGTGTGTGTCAACTATCTTATATGTAAATTATGTGTGTCATCACTTGCTCCTGATTGGCCAGCCAATTGGGGGTGTGTCCTCATACCACTCTTCCTCGATTTATGCTCAGATAAGTTTTCTGTGTCGTGGTTTTCTTGGCTGGCAGGTTTTTTTTTTGGATGTGCCAGTCTTTCTTGGGAGAAAATTCACAAATGTACAAAATCTGATTTGTTTATCGTTGTTACGTTTAATGATGTGGTTGTTGACTACAACATGGACGCCATAAATCGTCCATGGGGTCGTAATGTTTTTCTCTGGCTTGGCTTGGATGTAAATTAGGTGTGCCATCAAATGCTCCTTGGAGCGCGTCCTCGTAGTGCTTTCCTGGTTTTATGCTCGGATAAGTTTTTAGTGTTGTGGTTTTTCTTGGCTGGCTGTTTTTTCTTGGTGTGTGGGGAGGTACTTGTGTGTAGACTCAGTGATGTCACGATTGGTTTCTGAAGGGGGCAGTAACCATGTTTGAAATGGTGACTCCATTCAAGTTTTGGTCAAGAAACAGGTAAAGACGTGGAGCTGAAAGCAAACAGCTTCATCGTACCCACCTGCTGGGTCAGGCCTCTACTTCTGGGCAAAGCATCTTTAATGTCCTCAATATATGAATGCAGTCACGAGTTATTCAGACCAAAACCCAACTGTAGACATGTTTGATTATGCTTTGATTAATGGGCAATTAACTGTGGGCATTAGTGGGAAATTTCTTGGTTTTTGCAGCCAGCCTAAAGTGGACACTTAAGTAGAGGCAGACAGACAAATCGGTCAACAGATTAATTAGGCTCATTACTGGCATTTAAATGTAATTGGCTTATTTTTGGCCAAGAATACATCACCATAATTTTTCCGAAAAAAAAAAAAAAGATTTGACGACATATTAAATTTATGACTGCCTAGTCTGATTATAATGCAGAGAATAATGCACTTTAACAATAATAATAATAATAATAATAATAATAATAATAATGTTAGTATTTACCTTATACTGTTTTTTTCTGGAAACTTTGGATTGCTAGACAAAAAATCCAAAAGTCCCCTTACTGAGCCAAATATATTTTTGTCTATTTATTTAATAAAACATTCAGTGATAGTCACATATATTGTTTCTCATTTGTTAGCGTTATTATATTCAGAAAAAACATCAATGTAATATTTGTGCTTTATATCAGCCAACCTACCCTCTCATTATCAGTCACTGAAAAAGCTTAATCAGTCGACCTCTACATTTGAGGACCTGCAGCTTTTTGCTCTCCTGCATTGGCTTCATTTTTCAGCTCCAGTGGTTGCCACTTGATCCAAACCCAGTTTAGCCTGTTAGCAAGTAACTGGCAGCTGTAGCAAATTATGTTCCAGTTCACTGCTGCCGACTTTTTGCTATCTGAAATCAAGCGAACAGATCACCTGTAATTTATCTTGAAATACAAATGTCTGTGAATGAAAGTTATTAGAAAACCTTTGATCCGAACCGGAGCAACAGACCCACACGGGTACATTAGGAGCAAGGTTGCTCATGCACTTGTAATCGAATGTATATCTGCTCTATGGGCTGTTGAAGAGGGATTGTTTTTATGGCAGAAGAAAAAAAACCAATACAGCTTTCATCAGCAGTTTTCTCCTCCACGGTTTCCTGAGTAATAAAAGACGGCACAACAAACAAGAACAAAATGTGCCCGTTGTTTTTAAGGGCCAGCTGTGCATGCTGTTATAAAACTCTTTATGAGCTAAAGCACTTGTGCAGTGAAGTTTTCTTTTGGCCTCCAAAGAAAAATAAGATGAGGGGGAAACAATGTCAGTATAGTCGAGATGGATCACTGTTTTTGATGGAGCATCCCAGCGCTGAGCATCGATCTGCTACCTATGCTGTACTGCGTGTGTGCGTCTTTTCTCATCTGACCCCTGCACTGTCATTCATCACCATAACTCTCACAGTGAGGCCATGAATAGTTAATATAATCTATGAGGAAAGCATCTCAAAGAGAATGAGCGGGTGCTGCTGTGCGTCAGTCCCACGAATGAATGAAGATAAGGTGATGACATTTGAGATGGAAACACCCTGGAGTCCCTCCATCAGCCTTTCGAATTAGAAATGCGTCCTATTGCTATCACAATGGATGCTTCAATATATGGTGGCACAATTTCTTTTGAAATAAATTTCCTATACATCCTTTTGAGTTGTTCTGATTCAGATAACAGGATCTGAAATGCTTCAGATCCTTCCTAAAATCTGACATCCTTTGATAACAAATACGCTACTCAGGTTATCAGTCCTATACCATCATTTATCAATGTTCCCTCGTATTTATAACCCTTCTTCTTCTTAAAAAAAAGGAAGCAGCATCTAAAGCATAGAGCTAACAACTGTGATTGTTTGTTTTTGCTTTCAAATATACTTTCAGAAGAGCAGCTTAGAGTGCACTTGTAGCTTAGCTAAGAAAAAGTCAGCAGCTATTGTGTTTTATCACAGACTTTTAGTCAGTACTTTTTGCATAAGAAGATTAAAACCAGGCTATCTCTTAAACATCTTTGTTAAATGAAAAACTTCAAGAGTGGCACAAGGACAATATTCTTGCTTACATAAGCTAGGCTTGTTTTCAAGATGCTTGGTTAAAGGGATATCCGAGCATAAAATTAATTTATTGTCAAACTCATCATAACACCAAGTTAGACACCCCCTCGAGAGATGAATGTTGCCGACTGCTTGCTTCTCTAGTTATACCGATTTTAGTAACGACCGCAGATAGCAATACACAGCGGTCTGAGGAGCCGTAAACAAACCTCAACCAAAAAGCCACTCTATAGCCCCAACTAATGTTCAGAACAGCATCTAACTTCATCAACAGTACATATAGGGTCCAAGCCATAGCACTAGCCACCAAACATCTTTTTAATTTTGTCTAATTTCTTCAGCAAAGAGACTAAACACAACTCACCTACTCTCTTACAGCAGCCGCTTGTTTGTAGTGAGACCTCAGGCCAGTCCATCACCGACTGCAGCGGGGCTGACGCAGCTAAAGGAAGAACATTTATGATCATTTCTTCATGGAAATGCAATCAGACTGAGACGCTAAGGCAGAAAAACTACCGAGTCTGCAGTGCAAAATGATTAATATGATCATTATTACTTTAAAGTAAATGATAAAGAAATGATCATAAATGTTCTTCCTTGAGCTACATCACCTCGCAGCAGTCCGTAATGAACTGGCCTGAGGTCTCGCTACAAACAAGCAGCTGCTGGTAGAGAGTAGGTGAGTTGTGTTTAGCTTATTTGCTAAAGAAATTAGGCAAAGTAAAAAAGATGTTTGGTGTCTAGTACTATGGCTGGAACCCTATATGTACTGTTGATGAAGTTAGGTTCTGTTCTGGGCATTATTTGTGGCTATAGAGTGGCGTTTTGGTTGAGGTTTGTTTATGGCTCCTCAGACCACTGTGTATTGCTATCCTGCAGTCATTACTTAAGTTGGACAAGTTAGACACGGGGTGTCTAACTTGGTGTTACGGTGAGTTTGACTTTAAATTAATTTTATGCCAGAATATATCTTTAAGTTAGACTGTAAACAATGATAGAACAGGCCTAACTGTGCAGATGTAAGCTGTTAATCGATAAATTCCCTGATAGTATGTATTTAAAGAAGCATACACTCATTTTTGAGAAGGACGTGGTAGCTAATACTTACACCTTGGTATTACACAGGAAGTATTACTTTTGTGATATCTCTAGCATCTATGCACTGACGTTGTTTTGTTATAGGGTTACTCTGAGGTGAAAGATAAAGGGTGTTCTCTGTCTGCATTTCAATTTTACACCCCAATGGACTTGTTCAAACCAATGCAGACATGGAGAGAGAGAGGGAGAGAGAGAGAGAGAGAGAGGGAGAGAGCGCGAGAGAGAGTACAGTGATACCTTTGAAAGAAAGGAGGGAAAAAGATATTTTGCAGACAGGAGAGTCTAAATGCTGTAACAAGAAGGTTGGCTCCCGGTGAGATCAAGCAGGTGGTGTTGTAATTTCCAGATTGCAGAAAACCACAAGAAAACTAATTCAGGAGGTGATTGCCTGGAGTTTGGAAATGGTAAGCAGTGGGAAGTCTCACCATGTGTTCATCAAGGCTCTGACTCAGACTTATATACGTAGGAAAACAGACAGGCGTCAAACAGAAACACGAAGACAAAGAGTTTACTGTTCTGTTGTTAAGTCTAAGTGGTTGTAGAAGTGAAGAAGAGGTGATCCCCTCCTTTTTCCTTTTCATGCTCTGTACTGTGGCATCAAGGCTGTAAAAGACAAATCTGTTTTCGACTTATAGTCATGTGGTTTATATTCAATAAAATGTTTAGAAAGAAAAGAAAAGTGGAGATATATTAATGCTAAAATCATGAGATTTAAAAGAGGGAAAAGTGCATCATTGTCAAAACTGCTGACATACCAAGACTAAAGGTCCTTACACACCGAGAGCGTATTTTTCGTATGATTATTTCGGATGTAAATATTTTTTTTTGAACCTGTATCCTGTCAATACAAGCGTTCATATCAGCAACGTTTTCCCCCCTTGCGATTTTGCGGCATTTATTTTTTCCTATCACGGTCAAATTTTCTGAAGTTTCGCATACTGTGTGTCCACTTCTGACCAATCAGATGTCTTGTTGTTGCAACGTCAGATTCACCGGTATATATAACATGGCCAACTGGCTGATTGTTTATGTGTCGGAGAACAGAGTGCTTTTTGATAAATAACACAAATATTACAAAGATAACGACCTGAAGGACAACTTGTGGAGAATCATGTTGTCGGATTTCTCATATGACGATGGTTTGTGTGCTTTAACAGTTTGCTAAACATCTTTGTTTTAACTTTGATCAGTGCAAAGTAACTTTAGCTCGTAAGCTAACATGTTCAGATACAACATACCATATGTATTTTCCTGGGACGCGTCTTTTTTTCTCCCCTCGGCAAGTTGCAAAATCGCATCGCGCTTGATGTGTATAGTCAAGCGCATCAAAATTTGCCTCCGAATATTTCGTAATTTCACATTGTATATTTGCGTCGTCCCCGATGTGTAAGGACCTTAACACTGATCTCATGGGCAACAAAAACTCAGAGCAAAAATAGCTCTGCCTGCAATCAATATTATTACTTTCTAAAAAGTAAAAAACAAAACAAAAAAAAAACAGGTAAACTTTGAGCTTGCATACAGCCGTGAAGATTGGTCACAAGTTTCTGTTTTATGGCTGATAGTCCTAAATTTGTTTTTCATTTTGGGAACGCCGAGTGAGACTCTACTGTGACATCAAAGATGCAATTTTACCAGTAAATTTCCACAGTTTCAAAACATGTCTTTTTGTGCTGTATACTCAGGTTTCTATCAGGTTTGAAATGATTGGCCCAGTTGTCAAAGAGAACTGTGCCCAGTTCATTGAAAATGCAATGTTCAGCCTGAGTAAAATTATCTCTTTTGAAAGGAAACCAAGCTAAGATAGTGAGAAAAGGATCAAGTAGACGGTGATTTCTTTTTTGCATAACTGTGTTGAACTTTGTGTGAGAGACCATATATATGTTCTGTCACGTTATCTGTCCTTTTTTTCAGCTTATTCAGTCTTCAAGCGTGCCCCAAAACCACAATCAGGCCAGGGGGTGTGTGCTCACCACTTTGATGTCTGACTATGTGCATATCGGTAGCGTTTTATCATTGCTCACATTATACGAGAGCTTGTGGGTTGAATTCCCTTGAAGGAACATTTCAATATGAATGAGATCTATTGCACAGGAACAAAACGTGGTTGATTACCCTGCCGGATGATCAGAATGTCCGTGTGACCCAAAGCATCAGCGGCTTTCTTTTGGATTTTATGGTAAAAAAAAATCCTCCTCAGATCTGCAAACCAACAAGGATTAAGAGCTGCCTTAGAAATCTTACAGATACAACCTCTGCAACTGGAAGAAGAGCGTTTTCGCAGCTCATATATGCTCTGACACCACAGCTCCCAGGAGGAGGAAGAAGAGCTCTGTGTTTTGCATTCTATTCTTGCAGTGCATCATCGTTCAGAAGATGCTTGTTGCACCATGGAAGATATTAAACAAACAACATGGCCCCAAACACAACATGACCTCCATCTCGGCAAGTAAAATTTTTCTGGTGTTTTTCCATGATAAGCATCATCGGGAAACAGCATCATTTAGCCTAGCTTGTTGCCATGGCATTTTGTGAAAGGAAAGCTACTGAACAGGCTTAATTGGTGTCTTTTCCTGTGACATAAACTGCATTAGGATCACATCCAAATATGCTGCCGTGTTCATCCCTTTGCATGTATGTCTCAATTAGATTAGGACAGTTTCATCTCTGTTTTAATGACTGCATACACCCACACCAGAGCATAAAGTATCCCCATGATGAAAAAAAAAACACATCTCTATTTGCAATTTCATTAGAGTCTCTGACAAATTGTGCATGGCTGAAATGCCTGTAGATGTAACCTTTATGGGCCCGCTGATTGCCTGTAAGATTCCACTTTGCTGGGGGATTCAAATTACATTTGAAAATGTTAAATTATGTCTGAGAAAAAGCACATAAACGCTAAACTGTGAAATAAAATTGACTCTAGACTGATAACAGATCAGTAAATGCTCTGCAAATTCTGTATTTAAGTGTTTATGGTAGTGTGTGCATTGCGTTAAGTGACCAGGTAACTGCAGAAAAAGGTGATTCAGGTACAAAACCAACATAAGCATCAATGACTTCTGATGTAAAGAGAGCACATTTCAGCTGGAAATGCTTCAAAGCACATTTTGTTTTGCAACACTGTCTACCTCTTTGTAGCCACAGATGGTCGACGCCAACTCCACTCAACAAAGCCCACTTCTTGCCTAAAATATGCTTTTAGGTTGTGGCTACAAGTTTTGACATTTTTTCACAGCCAGAGGATATAAAAGTGGAATAATTAGCGATAAAAAAAGAGATTAAAATGGATAAATGGGACTTAATGACTCCCTGAGGAACCCTAACCAAGAGCAGAGTAAAATCAAATTATGATACAGATAACAGTGCTTTGGCAATGATCATCCATAGATCTCTCTGTGTGCACTCGCACATACTCCATTAGATGATTGAAATACAGCCTGTAGTGTTCATTTGAGTATTGATTATTTAATTAAGCAGATCTTAATGTGCTGAGTAGACAGATTGTGGCGGTTCGGGCTGAATTATGTTGGGTTTTTTTTAACAAAAATTTCTAGACCAAACAGAACACTTTGATATTTTTATGTTAATTAAATTTTTGGTCATTTTTTTTTGTTCTCTTGTGTTTCCTCACTTATCACTCCTCAGTTTTCACACCTCTCCAGTGGGGTTCATAACTACTCCCAGTTTGGCAGAAGACCAAGGAAATATCAATTAAGAGTGCTGAGATGCACCTCTTTGGTTTCTCATATCGAAGCATTTTCCCTGAAGTCATCCCTAGCAGCCTCAGTGTTTTGGTTTAAAGTGTTCCCTTGGTGTCCCTGAAACTCCAATTTCCAGTCAGCTGCTCCGCAGTAGTGGTTTAGTTTACCCGAATCAAAGCATTTTGTTAAGGGCACCTTGTTTGTTTTGGCTCCTTATTATTTAGGTTTTACTCTTCATAATGCTGATCACTTTGGATTTCTGTAACGATACCTCTAGAACGAGTTTATTTCTTGCAACAAACAAAAAAGTAATCATCAAGAAACCAAAAAAAAATGTATCATACAGCTAACGTAGCTGAGGGTTTTTGAAAAAACATATAATGAAATAAGGATCTTCTTCTAGACCATCTGTTGTATCAAAATGAGCTTAATCCGTCAGCTCTTACTTCTAAACTGTCGCATTTGAAACTCATTGAAACAGACTTAAAATGTATTCATTGATTTTTTTAAACCAAAACTTTGGGCAAAAGAGAAATACATCTTTGGTACCAGTCACATTTCATGACAGTACTGGGGATCCTGGCTTGAAAATTAGCCTAGTTACTGTTGCTATGCCTGCAATGCATTGGTTTTGTTTGGTTAAGTACTTATGCAATCACATAATGAAAGATGTAGAGTACAAGCTGAGTGCATTATTCCCTGTATCTATTAATGTTCATTCAAAGTTTGCTGTTATTTCTGAAACACCAGTTTATCACAGAGGTAGAAAAAAAGTAGGCCAACTATTATCAGCCCACCTAAATGTTTTGCCAGGAAAAAATTATCCAAAAAGAACTTTGCAGCTGTGAAACAGTGCTAAATCAATTCTGGACACATTCACTGGTTTTCAAAATTCTGAAAAAATACAAAATAAATGAATAAATAAAACACCCCCTACCCGACCCTGGAGTGATAATACTGATTTATGTTTCCAGCAGGTGGCGCTCTTACTTTAATGAAATATGTAAACTATTGAACACATAAACATGGTTATCCCTGGACGCTTGACACATATGGTGAGTTTGGATCAGATTAGTCCTCGTATGGCTGAGATAAAAACTACTTCCTGTTTTCATGGTAGGACAGCCTCCTTTGCTAACAACTCAAACCTTGGATAACTTAATTGTTCAGGTCTCTTCTAGCGTCTAACTTGTGTGAAGTAACTGAGCTCTAACTTGGCCTATACTTTAAATATTTCAGATTAAGTTAGGACTTAGTTATGGATACAATAAATATCGAGGTAAGGCCTAAGTAAGGATATGAATTTAAAAAAGGCTCGGTTAAGGCCTAGTTAAGAGTGTAATTATGGCTTAGTTAATGCTCAATAAAGGCTTTATTAAAGGTGTTATAAAGACTTATTTAAGAGTGTAAAAAGGTCTGATTTAAGAAGTACAAAAAAATTATGAATATATTTGAGGATAAAAAAGTAATTATAACTAACAAGTATACGGTGAATTTAGACTCCTTTGTAAGTCAATTTTGTCTGTTTTTTTGTTTTTGTGTATCTGTCCAACCATCTGTCTGTTTTTTAGTGCCTAGTCATGTGCACAAACATGTGAGTCATTTGTCATCATCAAGGCAGGAAGGAGCTGCCAGACAGGGCCCAATCAAGTGTTCAACACAGCGCTCTGATTCACAGGAAATGTATGCACGAAGCACCAAAGCATGGACAAGTGCATTACAATCATCAAAGCAGATGGATCATCATCATCAGTCGGCTCGCTTTGAGTGGATCCACAGCTCGTATCACAAGGAGGGACTTTGTTCTAAAAAGACATACCAAAAATCATGGCATTTGCTATTGACTATGCATGATATATCATGAGTTAGACTCAACTAAAGAACTGTAAAATCATTAAAGGGATATTCTGGCATTTCTTTATCATTTCCTTGAAGTAATAATCACTGTATTACCGCAAGACCTCGGGCGAGTCCATCGACTACAGTAGGGGACTCAGCTCAAGGAAGAACATTTATGATAATTTCTTCGTAGAAATGCAATCAGACAGAGATGCTAAGGCAAAAGAACTACCACGTTTGCAGTGCAAAATGATTAATATGGTGAAAATTACTTAAAGAAAATTGTTTTTTTTTTTAGTGATCATAAATGTTCTTCCTTGAGCTGCATCATCCAGTTTGCAGTTCGTAATGGACTGGCCTGAGGTTTCACTACAAACAAGCGGCTGCTGGAAGAGAGTGGGTGACTTGTGTTTAGTCTCTTTGCTAAAGAAATTAGGCAAAGTAAAAAAGATGTCTGGTGGCTAGGACCCTACAGGTACTGTTGATGAAGTTAGGTGCTGTTCTGAGCATTATTTGTGGCTATAGAGTGGCGTTTTGGTTGAGGTTTGTTTATGGCTCCTCAGATTCCTGTGTATTGCTATCGTGGGGTCCTTAAAGTTGGCAAAACTAGAGAAGAAAGTGATCTGCAACATTCATCTCTCAAGGGGGGTGTCTAACTCCAGGTTGTGGTGTGTTTGACCATAAATTAATTTTAAGCCGGAACATCTCTTTCAGTTTTTTCTCTCCCTCTTGCCAAGTGCTTGTTCACCGTTTTATTAATATAGAGGCAGAAAATAACAAAAGGTGACTTTCTTATAATGTAAAGTGTGATGAGGTAATTGTCACTGTGATATATAAAAACTTATTGAATTGTCTGGTTGATAAATAAGCTGCTGTTTATAGGGGTGCTTCCAGTAATAGCAGCAGTAAAATTAATGCTTCTTCTGATCCCGCTTTCCTGCTATGCTTTCATGCTTCCAAAGCTGTATTTGATTGCTCTATTGGCAGCAATAAAAATAATAATCTTCAGTTTTTTTTCTTTACTCTTTAAGAAGCTTATCAGCAGGCCAGAGGCACTTACTGAGCTGTCTGTACTTTATGTGCGCTATAGATAATGCAGAAATCCCCATGAGAGTGTCAATGTGAAGCACGAATCTTGAAACGCTGCTCCCTGATCACACTTTTATACACAGACACCCCCACTGGGAATAAATCCCCACTCCAATGACCAATCCCCTGTGGATGTGTCACTGCAGAAAGTGGCGCTTTCTCAGTCACTGTGCATCTGCCGGTTTGACTTCTTTGCCCTGGAAAGTTCAAAACAGTGTGACACGATGTGCTTCATGACTACAAAACAGCCCAGTTTAATTGAGATCCAAAATGTAATTTAGGGCACCATATGTGGAGTCATGTGTGTGTGTGCTATAGGATCAGTCACAGCCATCTGCACGTGCATGTGTGAGACTATGCATGTGATATTGTAAAACTCATCATTATTAATCAGTATTGATTCAAGGCTTTGGCCAACCATACTTCTTGAAGGTTGCATGGGAATTGTGTCCCCCACTGAGATCTGTGGAGAACTGAAGCACAGCAAGGAAGTGCGATCAGGTCTGGAAGACAGACAGACGGACAAACAGACAGAAATTACAGAAGGAGAGGTGTGTGTGTCACTGAGGTCAGTTGTTGAATGAGTTGCTCAGTCTTTCTCACCTCTCTGATAATTACTCCATATTGCTGCCCTCTCCGTTGCCAGCGATCTTAATGAGCATCCCTGTGCTCCGTGTTCTGGCTAATAAATTCCACTTAAACCCAACCCTTGATCTCATATGTTACATTTCACTTTCACACCTCACAAGAGGGGATGCAGCATGTGCGGATATTTCAGTCTATGGATATGAAATGAGGCTGGGGTGTTTTACAGTTTCAATCAGAGGATCAGTGCATGACTGCTTATTCAAATTACACCCGTTTCACAGAGCAACGGTTGAATCCAGACACAAAATTGCACTGCATGTATTAAATATATTAAACATTACTCAAAACTGTAACATCATTATGTGCATGTGGATAACAGGGATGTAAAAGGTGTCACAAATAGTGTGAAAACTGAAGAGAATCAGCATCCATCTACTGTTCACCACAGATATGATGCCATGTTAATGTTGTTTAGTGCCAGTGTTGTTTTGTTGGCGATGACGTTGACGATAATCATATTTCGTCAACAAAAACAACACTGCAGAATATATGTTTAGTGTTTGACTGACGAAATGCTCATGAATTTTGCAACTCTGTTTGTCGTCCACCACTTACGTTTTTGTCTAGTCTCATCTCATCAACGTAAACGCACATTCATCTGGTCACATTTTAGTCATCTAAGACTTATGTTTGGCTCGTCAACGTCACGTCTTCGTCGTGGAAAAAAATATTTTCGTCAATGAAAACAACCAGTGTTGTTTTCGTTGATGATGACTTTGACAAAATATTTTCGTCAAACGTCATTGACAAAATATTTTTTTTAATGTCTTCGTCAATGAAAACAACACTGTTTAGTGCACTGCTTTTTTTTTGGCATTTCTTTTAGAGCATTCTTTTTCTGTTCGCCATTATTGGGACTTAAAGGCCTACGAACAGACGCTGTACAAACTTAATGATGTAGTTGTAGAGCGATGGGACAGCAGATACAGTAAGAAACTGGTAAGAGAGTCGTAAAGGGTAAAAAGCATAGACTGTCTACACTATGGACAACTTGGTTAAGCCTTCCGCCAGTATACGGATTTGTAGCCGAAGAACTCCACTTTTTCTCCGCTTCCTGAAACCAACATTGCGCAGTAGCGCTGTATGCACTACACCAGTAGCATTGTACACATTCGGTGGGAGAGTCACCAAGAGTCACTGTGATGACTAATAACTTTTAAAAATGGAGCTGCACAGAAAAAATGAGAACTTGAGCACAAACCAGTCTTACAGTAACTACATGTCAACATCACAAGAATGGGGGGGAGCAAAATTTATATTTATGAACAGTAAAAAAAAAAAATCATTGAATTTAACTGTTGGTCTATTCATTTTAGATGCTGTGAAATAAATGTTTAATATCACAATCTGAAACACCATTACGGGGATCTGGTTCACATCTGCCATTGTCTGGTCATTTTATAATGGATTTCTACAGAAAAATGTAAAAATCACAGACCATGAATGTGACAGAATTTCTTGGTTTACATTTGCAGACTTAAGAAAGGATTCACGCTGAGAGTTTGCTGCTGCTATTCTGGTTTTTGCCTCAATGCAAACAGCCTCAGTCTGGCAATCAGAGAGATAAAATATTGGAAGATGAAAAGACAATATGACAGCTTCATTGGAATAAATACAGTTTTAACATTCACAAATGAAAAATCAATACAACTTATCCTGCTAAACATACACAGAAAAGTGCAGAAAAAGAGAAAGGGAGGGGGGAGACTCCATAAGAGTGAGTGCAGAGCAGATCTGATGCGTGTCTGCTCTAATGAGTCTGTTTGATGTGATTAACTGCAGAATAAGTATTGATCTTTAGCAGAAGCAGGATTTATTAATAACATGTCAGACTCATGTGATGAAGTGCTGCTTTTATTTGATTTCTTCTATTATATTCCAATAAAAGCTCTATTAGTACCTGTCTTTGCTGTCAGTCAGGTCAAATTTGCTTGATTTAGGACGAAGGAATAATTAAGATACTTTCACTGAACTCTGCAGGATGTGTTTTAAATAAAAGTCTTATATTGTAATTGTGTGTCGATTCCTGAGGCACCGAGGAGAGAAATCCCATCTGTATGGCAGTATGACTTCTGTGCTGTCTAACTCAGGGGCAAAAACATCACTCACCTGCACAAACACACAAACACACACACACACACACCTCAATACTGCCACCAGCACAAAAACAAGATCCACAAAAGCAAAGCCCAGCTTCCCTCCTCCTCTGAGGTTTGAGCTCTGTTCTGGCCTGAAATCCTACAAAATTGTAATCTAAAATGTTACTCGCTTTACACCAGATTCATGTGCAGAAAAAAAAGACAAGTGTGTTTTTCAGTGTGAGTAAATTCACAACACTCTGAGTCATTTTCCCTCTTTTATTTCGTCTCCACCCCCCCTTCTTACCGATAAAAGGCTATTGATCGCTGTATTTTTTCTCAGGCTTTATCGACTCACACGTCCTTAATTCAAGAAAATGCAGTAAATTCTTCATGAGGTTTAGCAAAAAAAAAACAAACATAATTTGACCTCAAGTATTGACTAAATGTGTGCACTTCTCACAGGCAGAGCAGCTACGGTACAATTCTCAATTGTAAATACTGTTCTAAGGAGTTAAAAACGTCTACTTTGTCTCACATTTTCTAAACACTGCTCACAAGTACGCACATAAATGGCTTTTTTTCCATCTGACTAAATATATCTCTATGCATGACAGAGTGTAGGAGTACTCCCCTTCAATCCTGGCATGATGTGCCTTTCTGCACCCCACTACCATCATCTGAGACAGGAGAGAAACTACGCACATGCTGGACTAAAAAAGACAGATTCCACAGTGGAGCGGCGAATGAATCAAAGGCAGTGAGCTTGAGATAATCACAGCCAGGCACTCTGCGGTGGGATCAAAAGTTTCTGCACCTGCCACAGTGCGCGTGGAGGAGAAAGAGGACCGTACACCTCCTATCCTGAAGGGACCATGACACAAACACAACATGACTGATGACTGTGTACACACGTCAGGACTTGTTTCTCAGCTCTCATTTGTACGTGGCTTGTTTTTTCAGGGTTTGGTTCTGAGGTGAGACTCAAGGGGAAACATATGGGAATGAAAACTGTTGTTATTTGCTGAGGTGATGCGTTGGAGTGTTTCATCTGAGGGGTGTGATGTCTGACATCCCGAGCACACAATCATGAGGTCAAGAAGGGTGAAAGGGAATGTCCTCATACATGAACTCTGACCTCTTTAGCTGGTGTGGCTTAGAAATCTAAAACCTTTCATGTTTGCCGTCTTTTTAATGAAGTGTTGACATCTCTCTGGATTCTTACCAGTATTAAAACAAATGCTAAAAACTGCACTGTAACTATTATATGAAAACGGTTTAATCCCACTTTGACTCGCTCCTCTTATGAGGCGTGACCCACCCAAACAGCTCTTTCATTGTAACACCAACTCTTATTTTGGTAGGAAACATACAGGAAATGAAAGGGAACAAGTTATCATAATTTTGTGTTTAACAGCATAATATGTTTATATTTGGGCATTTGGGTTCACATAATTAAAAAGTAGCATAATTGATATAGAGGTTTGGTTGAAGCATCTTCTGCTGATCAGAAAGATTAAGTTACAAAATGTCATTTATTTAAAATGAACTTTCCTTTCCTTCTTGTTTTTTTTTTTTTACAGTGTGTCCTCTCATTATTAAAGTTTACACATCCAACTTTGTTACAAGGGTGAGTAACGAACAGTAATGGCTATATGCATTATTTTTTTAATAATCATAGCATAATTTCTATTGTTTTTACTGCCATCTTCATGCAATCATGACACCACTCCTAATCCAGCAGGGTAAACATTAAACTCAGCTAGTTTACATGCCGTTCCAAAAATCTATTTAATCAATTAGTCTGACTGAAACTTTTAAACTACATGCAAACACATGTATCTGGATAAAATCTGATTGACTGAAGCTGTCGTATCCTACAAACAAACAGTACAGAGCTGCCAGTGCATGAGGCGTCCTCATTGTTCCACATGTATCTGGTCAGTCACTTGCTAATATGTTTATCGATTGTTTTGGTTTGTGACATACATAGAAGGTCAAGTGGGAGATGACCCAGTAGTAATGAGGTGAAAAGGGTCATGTCACCGCCTACTGTAGTGGAGGTGGACATGCTTCTGTAAAAAATTAATTACAGCCCAGTGCTTGAAAACTAAGACAAGGATAGTAGTCCAGTTAAATCACCTAATCTAAACCTAAACTATGACTGTAGCTCGGCTTGACTGTGCATTTAAACGTGCTGACTATGAGGGACAGATGTGAACAGGCAACTCTGAAAATGTAGGCGTCAGAGATCCTGAAAACCCGTAGAAAAAGGCTGAAGGTTCTACATTTTTCTTAGCCTTAAACAAGACTATTTATCTGTACTGTACACTCCTGTGGGTGCAGCAGGTGTGATTAACATCTTTTATTCTCTGGTAGGTTTGCAGTGACCTTGCGTTGGTATGGTAACATAGTGAACATCCACCATTTCTGTATTTCTGTGAGTGCAAGTTGGCGTAAAAGACTGGAATTCAGGTGTTGGCTGAGGCAATGCTAGACATTTTCCATTGCATCCAGACACTACAAGCCTTGTGAAATATCTGTTTGTTTGATGGGTTTATAACACCTCCAAAAGAGTTCTGGGTCTACCCTCTTGGAAGATGTCCTTGTCAGATGTTCAGACCACTTGAACTGGTATCAAAGGATGTAGGTATACAAAAAATGGCAGCAGAGCTACTGTTGCAGTTTGCTACAGATAATACAGTGGTTAAGATCTTTAAAAAGAGCTTTGCTTTACTAGCATATGAGGCTTGACTGCTTAAAAAGAAACGTCACAAATTGATCTCATTTAAAACCATTTTAAACCGTCCCCATGCCAGGAAATAGAAATGTTTTCCTGCTCTCTCTTTTCTATCCTTCTACCTGTTGCGTGAATGCAGTATGTCTCTGACAGGTCAGACATCTACCATGCTAACCACCTCTCTAACAAAAGGAACAGGAGATTTCTTGCTCTAAAAATAGAGAAAAGTGGAGGATCTGTATACCTGCACTCACTCTGTTGCGAGGAGGACTAATGAGGCTACGGATTCGTGTGGGTGGACTGAGTGTATGAATGAGCTTTGTGTCATCCTGGCATAAAGGCTCGAAACAGCCTGAATAGACCATCAAAAATTCAATATATCACATCCTGAGGAAACTGTGGACCAACTATGGGGGAAAAAATGTTGCTTTTCACTCAGGGATCCCCTGTTCCATTTTTGATAGAGACCCCCGGCAAATGCCAGTGTTGTTAGCTCTACCGATGCTTTTCCTGCTGTTGGTGCTGGTTTGTAATATAGTAAATGTCATCACGGGGATAATACTTTAGCCAATTGATTATTAGATCAATAAAAATATCTTATTAATGGATGGATTAAGTTTGTTTTTGATGGTTGAGTAATAAGCAGGACAATGAACAATGAGCAGATGGTTATGCAAATTAGAATCCAGACAGGATGAGATAAGTGCTGCTCACCCTGTTTGAGATCTAATTTGCACAACTACCTGTTCACTATACAATACCCTTTTTTCATGTTTCTGGTTTTCTTTTGGTTATTTAAAACATTTTCATCTAAAATTGATATGGATGATGGATGAGGATGTGCTCTCACAATATAATGCTCTGTACTTCACCAGGTCACGTTCCTAATTGGACTTAAAAAAAGAGTTGGACTGAGAAAGAGGTGTTAATTTTTCTTTTTCTGCTTATCTTTAAATGAGAGATGCCCAAATGAGATTAGCTCAAGGTCACAGAGTTATTCTTCATTTTAAAGACTAAATAGAGAGTGTGATGTTTTTAAAGTTGTTTAATAGTTTGATCGGTCATCGTGATGCTACGCTTCCTGGTTGTAATGCAGTTTAAACCCAGAGGTAATTAGAGGTGTTGTTGCAATTCACCCCCTGATGGGCAGTTGGCTCGGGACTCTCTTTTGCTGTGTGATTTTTCCTCTCATTTGTCATCATCTTCTGGGTGTTGTATTTTTAAACTTGAGAAAATGTTAAATTAGTGCTCTCAGCTCTCTTGGTGAAGTTCTTGCACTCTGTTTACCTTTTTTTTTCTTTTGCACAAATCTCCATCATGATGGACAGGGTTTTGAAATACATATCACAAAAAGATCCTTCTGCTGGGCAAACCAAGTTGCGACATGAAACAAACTGCAAACTCCTGAATGCCACGGAGCTTACCGTACATCAGCAGAGGTGTTCTCGATATTTCAGCTCAGGATGTCTGTTTAAGTCCTGCAGGAGCTGACTTCTTCAACACTGATGCACAGTCAGCTCTAAAAACAGCACCTGACCTTCTTTGAAGCAGCACAACCAACATGTGGGGAGACATATAAACATTACTCTCAAACCTCTGTCTAAAGGGCCCTGATTTTACTTTGAGGAGTGTTCAAATACAAGCAAATTTAACATATTAATTTTCCAATGACTGTTCTTTCACATATTCAATTCCCCCATCTGTTAATAACCCTACTTGATTAAAGCGTGTAATCATCTTTATTCCTGTTTAATCTATTAAAGCAGTGTCAGCCAGCTCCTCCAGCTCTCGACTATCTCAAGGACTTTGAGAATATGTGCGCCCGTATGTGGCACTGATGACATCTCTCAGCTCATTTTTCCCTCTGTTTGCTCGGGATGATTAATGACAGTCTGTCTGACACACACATATACACACACGCACATGCTCTGCTTCCCTGGTACATTTGTTGTATGAATTCAGATACCTCAAGTGAGTGTGAAACGTACCTCACCTGAGCATCCATTTGACCTGCTGGAGTCAGCTCCACCTTCAGGGCTTCTTCTTAGACCAACAAGAGATTCTCCTCAGCTCGACTCTCAGCCACTCAGGCTTTGATGGAAACCTCTTTCACAGTCTGGTTCAACTGACCTATTAATGAAACATGAAGGACAGAAATGTGGAGCTCTACAGTTATGAAATGTTTCACTTTTGGCTCAGCATAAAAATGTATAGAAGGGGGATGGACATCTGAGGATATAATGGAAAACACCTGACTCTTACATTTAGTTATTCACTCTAGTTCTATTACACTGTGATCTTGTGGAGGTGGGATAATTTTAATCGAAGTGTGCTGACGTAAAGCACTTGACACTCAAACTGGGCTTTTTTGATATGTATATTTGCTGAAATTACTGTCCTTGTTTCACTATCTCATGATTTCATTATCTGCAATTTAAATGAAATGGGAACTTTGGTAATAATTGCCTGCAATTATTGGCTAGCCGGCGCCCATTAGCATTTTGCTTGTTTCATGATTTAAAAGTGGCCTGTAAACGGCTGAGTGTAATAGATCTACTGGGAACAATTACCTTTAAAAGGGATGGTAATGACAGAGTACGTAGGAAACAATTCACCTGCTCCTGCAGCAACGAGCTTGTGTTCACTGTACGGCCACAGGAAGAAAAAAAAAGATGTCTGACTTTAAAATGTGGCTCATTTGGTGTACATAAACTTGTATTGATTAAACAATTTGTAAGAGAAGGTTAGGCTTTAATACAACAGCAGAATACACTATCATGCCTTTAAAAGCTGTTATCCCTGTGGAGTGAAATTCATTCACAGGTAATATACACTCTGGAGCCAGCACTGCAATGGAGGGGCACTTTTCTCCAACCCTTCTGGCCATCAGATGAGCTGTTATCGACAAATCTGTCTGTCGCCTGTGAGGACTCTGCTGGAATCTTTAAAAAAGGTCAAGGGGAAACTCAGCTCAAAATTGAAAATGTCTGCTCCAACTTACATGACAAGAAATAAACACGTTTTGTACAAAGAATGCCCTGTATGACTTTATCTGCCTGTTTAATTTGTAATCTTAGTGTGCGACAGTGAGCATAAGTCGGTATAATTAGCTCCAGAGTGGGTGTCAGAAAGTTTGCATCAGAGAATCAAATCCAAATTATAGTCAGAGTTTGAGTATTTCTTTAACAGATGCTTCAGTAAAAACTTCACAAAAAGGTTGTGCTTCTTTTGTTCTGTGTCATAGCAACACAGTCTTGCATCTCTTGAGGCAATTAGAAAAAGTACAGCACATAACTTCACTTTTCAATCAGACAAAAAAGTGCAAAGAAACAGATGTGCCCCCTAAGTCTGAAATAAATGCTAACATAATCGTAAATCCTTAAAAACACATTTATATGCTTTTACAACAACCTGAAATCAGGGAAGAATAAACCAGAGGCACTACTTTCATCTAGTCCGACATTTACTGTTATTAGGCTGCCACCTACTGGTGATTTCTGCGCATGAGCCCATCGTGTTCTTTAAACAAGTCCACCACCAGGGGGACACTTCACTCCTACAAGCAGATAAAGGAGCTTCAAACCCCTCAGAGGCAGACAGCACCACTTTTTGTCCTCAATAGTACAATGAAATCATTTTTCTGGCTATGATTTGAGCTGTTTTCTCTTACATAAGTTGTTTTTTTCCTCACAAATGCAATCACACATACTCCAACACTATCTGTACTATAACTTATCAGAGATAACAGTGAGGTTGACTTGCCAAACAAGCCACATGTCTCAGTGCAAGAATAACCCTGCAATAAATGCTGCTGTTTATCAGTGATAGGAGGCCAGAAATAAAGAAATGTGTGCATGAATAAGAGCAGTATAAACACTGATAACATACCATTATTTCATTGATAAAAAGTTCATCTTAGTGTTGAACCAGCCAGCTCAAGTATTACTTTTATATCTGCTATGAGTAAAAAGAGTTTTTTAAATGTCTACAGTATGTCCTGGATGTGACTGTGAAGAATTAAGACTGTGATGTCTTTTGAAACCAGTTTTATGACATAAAGTCCTTTCAAATACAAAAACTTTTAAACTACCAGGAGTGTGACAGTTTGGAGATAAATAAAAAGGAAAGAGCCCAAATGCAGAACAAAAAAAGGATTTGCATAAAAAGACCTAAATAAGAAGCGACAAAAACTTACTTTAAATGTCTACTGAAAGAAATTCCCAAAAAACACAAGAAAAATCCAAACCAAACAATTACAAGGAGATACTTGGGACACTGGCATAGGCACACCTTGACAAACACACAATGAAGCAACAAAGAAACAAGGGAAGACGATGATTATTTATAACGAGAGGCAGGTGAGCCACTGAGACACGGGTGCAGACAATTACAGAGGAGGGAAACCTGAGGAAGTAAAATAAGACTAGAAACACAGGAAATAAACTACTACAAAATAAAACAGGAAACACTGAAAACTGATATAAAGAATAAAACACCCTGAGAACATAGGGGAAACAGGATCAGACACAAACTGAAAACTCACAAGACAGGACTACAGGGGAACAGAAACACTGGGAAGAAACACAAAGAAAATACACTCGGATGATCCAAACCAGGGGGAAACCAAATACCAGAACATATCATGACAAGAGGATCTCTTGTATGGCCCACTGTGGGCTGGCAGTGCTACAATGTAAGCCTGGAGAAACAGTTACACTTTTAAAGAAAAATCACATGATTTCACTGCTTTGAGGACCCAGCTGTGACAAGAGCAGAGCAGTCCAGCACAGACAATGGCAGGACAGTAGTGCTGGACAAACTGTTCAAATTGCCAGCCAGTCATGTGACTATTGAAATCACATGATGGCAGTGAGGGGTCTGGATGTGAGCTTTGGCAAAATCAAACAGCAGCATGAGGCAGTCAGTTTGAACTTCTACCTCTTTGGAATACTATGAGTATAAAAAAAAAAGGAACAGACGGTTTAAATGATTTCACAGGAAAATAAAGAACTTTCAGAGTTTTTGTGATGAAAAGAGTCCAGCAATCCTCTATGACTGTTTTACTTTTGTCTAATACATAACGTTTTTAAAGATTTTACACCTGAGCATTAACCTGTGAAAAGTATGCCACGTCTTATCTGAGCAATGCGGTTATGATGCTGTTTTTCTGCTAATAACAAGGTCAAATAAAAATGGTCTGAGAACAGTAAACAAGGTGAGTTTACTCTTTAACTTTTTTTTTCTCACACTAATCCTCTTTGGCAAGAGGCTGTTCAGCACTCCTCCTGATATGCAGCCACCGTGTTAAATATTAAACTAGAGGCAGAGAAAAGTTCAGAATGAGGTTAACCCAGGTAAGATGGTGGTGTGACCTTTTAAAGCGCTTGGCAAACAGAACAACTGTAAACAAGACAAGCAAATTCAATATAACTTGTCCTGCAGCTTCGACAGAGGTCTTGACTTCCATAAAACATGTTGATGAGAGAAACCAAACATTAAAATGTCATTAGCTTTATGAAACTGCATCTTTAACAGTGTTAGTGAATGTTATTTTGACCATTGTAGTTGTGTATTTTCTCATCCAGAGTAATTGTTTACAAAGATTCTTGATCAACAATGAAACATAGGTGACCCCAAATGAGCTGAAACGAGTTCAGTCACATGTTTGAGTAACTGCGGTTTGACTGTCAGAGTGAGCTGTCATATTAATCACTGTCTGTGAATCAGCTGTAGGGGTTGTCTGTGGATTACATCATCATTAAAGTCTGTCTCTGAAGGAGAGGCTGCACCAGATTCTTCCCTATTCCTCTCTGCCTCTCCCTCTGTTTCATACAGGGTTGCATCCACTGATAAAGGACTGTGATTGGTCGAGAGTAACACCTGAGCAGACAGCTGGAGGTAACTTTGGAAACTGATTGGCTGCTCAAACTGTGCTGTTCACGGGCACTTCTAATGAAGCTGGCTTGAATAGGGCCGTTGTGTGTGTTTGTGTATACACACACAGGCAGGAACAGCATCACACAAACACATGGTTGCAGTCCAGCACAATAACTGGATGACGAAAAAGTTCCTTTGTAGAGCTTTTAATGATCAGTTTTAGTCATAGAAGTTGAATTTGAACACTGTGGTAAGTTTTCAATTTGTGGTGTTAGCTCATTTGTTCACAGACAGTGTTAAACAATAAGGTACCATGAAAATGCAGCCACTATCTGTACATGCCGTGCTTATCACCCAAATGAACTTCCCTGCGAGAAGATTACAAACCAAAGTGTTTTCCTTTAGAGTCAAGAGGCTACTAAAAGGTCAATGGCAGTTATCAAGCTCAGCACTTTGAGGTTTACAGTTGATAAGACCAGCAGCCAGTTTTCCACAACAGACACAAGGTAAAGAGTAAACAGGACTGTTTTCTACTTTTATAAAGTTTATTCTGAGGAAGTAAAAATTCTTGATTTTTTTTAGCATACAGTCAAACAACACTCAAATGTTGGGCCACACACAAAGAGTAGCAGTAAAATCAGCTGGCCTAGCTTTGCTCAAAGTTTTATGATGTGTTAAATGAAAAAATAGCTTTACATTAGCTGTAAAGATGTGATTATACTGCTTATTATAACACTTTAAGAATGAACATTTAATATAAGAATTCATCAAAAAGATGAAATACTCTTTAACCTGACCACAACACATTAAACGCCACTGTTTCAGAAGCAGGAACAGGAAAACTCCTCTTATTCAACTGTTTTTTGTTTTGACCAAACAAGTCATCTTACTTTCAAATTCGTCCAATAAATAAAGGGTTTATCCAGCCACAAGCTGACTTGTGTCATTGTTACAGGTTTCTCTGGTAGGTTTTACTTAAACAAATGATTTTTGGCTCAGTGACTCTCAATCTGAAAAACACAGTTGAAAAGTTCAGCAAGATGGAGACCCAAGCCATTCATTTTCTTTCCGACTTTTTCTCTTTATTACAAATATAAAACATTACTCTATGCAAGAATGTCTATTCAGATGTCCATAGTAAGAGTGTCCATGGATGCCAGAAAACAGTAAACCTGTACCTTAAACCTTTTGCTGCAGTATAAGACTGCATTTATCAAAACTATAAGACATCTTGCATAGGAAACATTTCTTCCCATGTCTGCGGTGGTCACACATTGCTCTAGTTAAGTGGTAATGTGCCAGTTCCCCTGAAGTAGTCTGCATACAACTTAATCATCATTTAACAATCTGTCAAATTCCGCTACACTGTGAGATGCCATCAGTCATCTGTGTTTGTTTACATCAAGTAGAAGAGCATTGGTATGATGGCAGCAACTACTAGCTGGATCTGCACTCCCAGCCAGTAGTGGATGTCTGTGCTGCAACTTATATTTAATGATTTTACCAGCATATCAAGCTTACATTCATCAAACCTATTGAATTTTCCTTCAGGGAGCAATGAAGTTCTTCTTCATCTATTAAGAAATTGTTGAACTGACTTGTAATTCTGGTATGACTAACAAGGGTTATAACATCATTTAGTTGACTAATGCTCATAACTCCAATCCTTATTTTGTGCGCTAAACAAGCAAGCAGATACAAATTTGCTGTCAAGACAGGTGAAATTCTTCTCATTTTGTTGTCAGCGAGAAAATACAATAGTAAAGTTTGTTGAATCCAGAATATGTTTACCCCTTAAAATTCAACATATTCGCTTTTTTGGTACACTATACCCCCCGAAAAATAAAGATGCTACACAGGAGTGAGTTAGGGATCTGGCAGTAAAAAAAGGTGAACTGCTTTAAAACAAGTTTGGAGCTGAATGCCAAAGAACAAAGGGGCTGGGAGATTGCATCCTGGTGCCACACCCTCAGGCTCTGGAGTCAGGGCCTTTATGGCATCCTTTTGTTAAGCTGCCTGATACACTCGGTAACCAGAATCCCCTTTCATCTTCCATGGCACAGAGAGAAAGCTGCTGAAAAGATTGTTGTATCCAGAGTACCTGCCGTGCATTGAAGCAGTAGGACTAGAGATATGAAGAAGATATGGTTGAAGAATTCTGAACAAATTTCGAGTTGGTGCAAAAAGATGGGTGGGTTTTGTTTTTATCCATGGTGCAATAGCAATAAAAACTGTTAAAGCCTTAAAGTCATGTAAGTTTCATAAAAGTGCAGTTCTTTGGCTTATTTAAAAAAAAAAAATAAACACATTAATTTGAATTGAAGTATAAACCTGAACTGTTTTCTTCACTGTCAACCATGTGAGAGGATAGATTAGGATGTTTCCCATCATATTTCCTCAGCAAACTGAGGAAGGAAATTGTCAAGCTGGAGTTTGATAGATCAATTTAACAGCTGGTTCGGCAGGCTTCTCTTTTAGCTATAATTCAATCCCTCCCAGACTAACGGCATAATCTATGACACGCTTGATCTGCTATTCATTTGAAGTGTCGTAGCATCCTGCTTTATCTTCTGATGTGGCTGAGACCTCCTCCATACAGGCGCTTGCTTTGCCGGTTGCTAGGAGCTATTTGCTATATGTAATTTTCATGGTTATTAAGGCCATGCATTAGCTAACATATGACTTGGGATTTGAGCTTCCACATTAATGCACATGTCAGCGTCAGCAGAAGCAGAAGGAGCTTAATTAGCAGCAAAAATCCTCCAAGGATCTCACCATTGTTTTTTATTTTCCCTCTTTCATTAATAAAACAAGATGTTTAATGTGCCCTCTTGAGCTGAAACAATACCAGGTCATACATATCTGACAGCAAGTATTTTTTTTTCCTTACTGTATATACGCTATGGTAAAGGCAATTTCTTACACACATGATAACTGCTGTAGGCAAATATCCTCAGGCACCTACATCGCCAAGAATTCTTATCCATTTGGGGAACGTACAAACACCTCTTTCCAGGGAAAAGCCTTCAACAAACTCATTTTTACCTGAGGCAGAGAAGAATACCATTGTTGGATCACTGGGGTGGTGTAGTAGTTTAAAGGCCTTTGGGAGCAAACTGTAGGTGCAACTGTTTCTTTTTGGCCTCCTTTACCCTTCCTGAAACTGTGAGGCTTTGGCAATTTATCTGTTCTTCTACACAGTCCACCGAAATCAGGATATGATGAATATGACTGATGTCATTATCTATGGACAGAGGCAAAATGAATGTCTCACACTGTTGGTTTACAACCGAACAAGTGTGTTTTAAAGAGGCCATGAGTGAGGATGTAGCCATTATATTAGAGCCCTTAAAAAGCTATGAAATAGTGAGGATGGAAAATAAACTGCAGTTATGGGATGACTAAATAGGAGAATTTCCTCTGTGACAGTCTTATCGCCTAAAAGGACACGCTGTATTTGTTCAAGCCTTTCGCATACATCAACAGAAAAATGAGACCTCTGACAAACACAAACTTGTCAACCCTCAATATACTTTCATGCTTGACTTGTTTGGCACAAAATAGTGAAAAAGCTCCAGTAGAGTGCAGCTGTGACATTTTTATTTAACCAGTCTGTTATCTCTGCCGTTTTGAAATAGCTCTCTCTCATTCTATTCAAGTTGAACCAGTTTAAACTCGGTCAATTTGAAGGCATAGTCTGGGGACTGTAATAACTCCAAGATGAGTTACATATCCATACAAACTAACATTCAAAAACTCATTCTGGACCTACTCTTGTGGGGCTAAGGCATCTTTATCTTTAAATTATAGGATGACATGGTTAGTAACCTATAAAATGAAAGTGCTGGGAATAAAGTAGCTTCCACTTCACAACTGTTGGCTGTTTAAGATACAAGTCTGAAGGCCAGGAGCTCTCAAAGACCAAAGCTGAAGCAGGTATACTGTGCACTCTGACGTGACATATTTAGATATAAAACTAAGGGATGAGGTAGCTTGATATAAAATAAAACGACATAAAATAACTTTGAATATGAAAGACAAGGGACGAATTAGCTTCCTCTGCAATAAATTTACTATCGTAATTATTAGGTCCAATCTCAAAAACACGATGGCAGACATTGACATTGCAGCGGGCAAACTCACATTATTTCTGCAAACATGTGACACTAACGTGGTAAAGCTTGACAGATACCAGGTTTACCATAAAGCAAACGATACAATGACAGTTTTGGGTGTAACTGACCTTACCCCTTCCTATTTTGCATATTTTTCTTTGTCATGTCCACATGTCTGCAGCAGACTGTGCAAAGACAGCACTGATTTCTGCTAACGTACTCAAGATTATGTGCTGGTGACTTGCAACAATTGATAAGTAGAGCTTATCTTATATTCTATGGCTTAAGGACGGGGTATGATTACAACACATCTTATGTAAAGTTAAAGCTGGTCCTTTCAATATGATAGCCTTTAGGTGTTTCCAGCATAAGCTAATTAGGTGCCGATTGCATCATATATTAGCATTAAGAGAGGTACTTTTTGTTCATTTACTCTGCACTAAATATGCCCTTTTAGTAAATAAAAAGGTGACCTAAGATGGCCAAATCGGTACTAAACTCCAGACTTGATATTTTGATGGAAAGGTCAGTCCCAGTCCACCAGTTAGTCCCCATGGAAATGAGGATTTCTCCTGCGGGGAACATGACTGTCTTTAAATACTTTTGTAGTAATCCATGAAATAGTTGTTAGATCTTTCAGCCTCATCCAAAGCGGTGGACAAACAGACAATAACATTTCCATCCCTAGAGCTATGTGGCTAGTGATGCTTCAAAGTTTCTGTGCCGTCAGTGCTTTTCATGTTATTCTTCATAATACAATTGTTAGACTCTTCTTCAATAGCCCAAGTAATTAGGATGTTGTTATCTTTCCACATGGCCCAGTAAATCAGCCATAAAAACAAAAGATTAATTAATTTTATTAGGCTGGCATTGAAGCGTAACACTAATACTGGTAATTGCACCTTAATTTGGTGAAAATTTCCTGTTTGGTTGGGACTTAAGCACCAAATTATTACAAAAAATACCCAACAACAATGCATTTAAACCCCCCAGACAGGCACCACAGATAGAAAATGACAAATAAAGGATTTTACTTGAAATCACTGAAAAAGAAATGTTCTCTGATTGACATGCTTATGGTTTTTGTTTGTACAAATTTGCTGTTGGTCATGGGGTACTGCTTAATTTTGCAAGTTGATATGCATGAAGACAAAAATGATTCACCCATGGTATTTCTTTCAAAGTGCCAGCAGCAGAAATAAGAAGATCTGACTTAGTCTGAGACTTTTTGAAAGTTGAAATGAAAAAAATGTTTACATTTTGGTTATGTCATTAAATGCTGCAGCAAGAAGCAAAACATCCACCTCAAGAAATGTGGGTGAGGGTTGGTTATCCCACTGCCCTATATACTCCTGGCTGGTTCGTACATGCTCTTGCAAAACATTGTCCCATGTTGTTGTCGGTTCTTGAAAGACTATGTCATCCAGGCCGTGAACCTTTCGCATTTTCATTATCTCTGACTGACGTGCAGGGGCCCTACATGCCTCCTCTGCACACGCCTCTCAACATGCCACGCCTCCTGTAACCTGAAAGTTCAACAACTTCTTGCCAACAGCTGAAAAAAAAACACTGTTGTGCCACTGCTCCTGTTTCCCAGACCCTGCTTATATAAAGCTATAGCTGCTGAGTGCAGGACAAATCAAGTAGTCTGTGAAGGTAGACAGCTGGCTGGAAGAAAAGAGAGTTTGCTTTATGGGTGAGCTCTGTGAAAACTGATATCTTCATTCAAGAAAGATCACACTGAGGCCCTGCTTTAATCTGGTAACTATGTCCTTTATTCTATTACAGTGATGGATAATGGGAATAGGTTAAAAATGAGTCACTGAGTAAATTTCATTTGTGTACTCAACAGTCATATCGTAATTTTAATTGTGTTATCAACAGTCATATCTCCATAGTCTTGAATTTTGCCAAGTTGTCTTTTCCTTCATTATTTTTTGACAAATACACTCAAAAAGGACTCAAAACGTTCCTTTTTAACAGAACTTCTGGTCCCTCCTCATAGATTCTTATCTTGCTTTTACTCTTTTAATAAGATTTGTCTCTTGTTTTTTAACCAATAACCTGTTTTTATTCCTTTACTGTAAAATGTCTTTGCTTTTAAGAATGTAGCCCTTTGAGGTCGCTTGATGTAAAGGGCACTACAAATAAAATGTATTATTATTATTATTATTATTATTATTATTATTATTATTATTACATACAATAAATGGATTGAAAAGTTGTTTTCATGTCTGCAAGGAAGTGGGAAAGGACAAAAGTACTTAGTAGGACACATGTACTTTAAGGTATTTCTTTACTGTATGCTTACGTTCAGTTCTTTGAAAAAGGACATAATAGTACATAATACTTTGAGGTATTTCTTTCAGTTACAATGTGTATAATTAGGTTGTTTTGGCCATGAAAATGCTGGAAAAAAAGGATGATCAAAGCAGCTCCTGTACAGTGTCCTTGATTGTATAACAGCTCTTGAAATGCTCTTCACAGATAGGACTAGTTGTGTTCTACCGCCATTTAAAGTACTTCTCTGTTTCCACTTTCGCTTCAGCTCTCTCTCCAGCCTCCTGCCTGGTCTACTCAGCGCGTCTGTTCCGGACGAAGAGGGTGGTGGGGTGGCGCCACGTCATATCAGCCGCCGCGCTCTGATTGGCTGACGATTCTCACCCGACACAGCTGTGATTGTTTTCTGCAGAGGAAGCTGTTGCCCCCGGTATGAGCTCTGTGCTGAGGAATGGAGCAGCACTGTGTGTTGTTTTCGTCCGATGTGTGTCTGATCGCGAATGATGTGAACAAACAACGTGATTGAAGTCCTTGTTGTACCGAACAGGAGAACAAGGAGGAGATCCTGGGTGTTTTATTATCTGTTGAGGCGCGGATGAACAGGAGTGGAGGCTTCTGTTTGGACCAGACACTCAAGACGTCTGGAGATCAAGGTAAGAAACAAGAATTACATTTTATTTTCACACAATTATAAGTCATAAACTGATCGTTAAGTGTATCAATGCTGTCTCATTTCTTAGACCAAAAGTGCCAAATGCCCAGACTTGAGGACCACTGCTGGAGCTGCTCCTGTGCATCGAGGGTTGAAACTAAACACTCATCTGGAGCGAACTGGTTAGCATCTAAAGCTGAAGAAATGATGTCCATCATCACCTCGATGCTCAGCAATGCATACGGCTCTCTGCACGACGTCCGGACGGCCAACCTCATCCGCAGGGGTCTGGTCCTCTTCACCGTGGGAGCGTTTCTCGCCCTGGTGCTCAACTTGCTGCAGATCCAGAGAAATGTCACCCTGTTTCCCGAGGAGGTGATGACAACTTTGTTCTCGTCTGCATGGTGGATCCCACCCTGTTGTGGGACAGGAGCCGGTGAGTAAACAAGTTAATATGTTTGTTAATGTGCAGCAGAACAGCTGAATGGGGGTTATCAGGAGTTTGCTGCTAAGTTTGGGACAAAGGAATGTAGAGAGGAGGGGTCAGTGTGCTCCTGCTGTTTCCCCCTTTGGATTGAGGCAATAAAGTAAAAAGTAAAGCAAGAGAGTCGATAAAGAAACAACAAAGAGGCAGCTTTAGGTCTTGACACGTTCATGTAAGGTGAACTGAAACCAAATCGAGTAGCAAAACAGCTGAGTTATTATTTATTCTCTTCTTTTGAGCCATTAAAAACACGCTGACTCTTCTATCAGCGTCTGCACTATCAGGTGGTTATGACTCATTATTCGGCCTTGTTTTTGTTGGCTATTTCATAAGCCTTCTTCTTCGGGGCTATAATATTCTATTCATGGTTTTGTCTGGCACAGTTATGAAAAAAAAAAAGACTGGGTACAGATGGCAGCGAATCTCGAGCTCTGATTGGCCGCAGCAAATGGACACGAGGGTGAGCTGCGCGCTTATTGGTCAGTGTCATAACGGGTGAGCTGAGGGGGAGGCGCTTTAAGGCCAAGAACCCGGAAATGAGGAGGAAAAATAAGCGCGTCTATCGTCAGCTCCTCCTCCCATGTGCTCCAGGGCAGAAAACAAGTGATTGAGGAGGTGTACTCTAGTCTTGACAGTGTGTTTACATTGGCTTTCTGCATTATTAATGGCTGTCATTACCCCTGCAGAGACTTGTTAAAACTTTATTATATAAACTAGGTCCATACTTAGTTCAGTGACCTCATTTCTGCATAAATGTGTCAGTTATAGTTTTATTACCTGAGAAATTACTTAGGGGAGAGTGGGGTAAGATGAGCCATTTTTCATATTTCACTTCTTCACATTCATGTGTATTTTTATCTATTATACGCTATTCAACTGGTACATTTTTTCATTATTTTTGCATATAACTGCTAAAAAGCTGTTTTGTAAAAAGCCATTTTAACATGAGAATGTCTTTAAGTGATTCAGAACATTCACAGCTGTATTTTTGAAAAGAAAAAGTAACACATTTCAACAATCTGAACTCAAACTCTGATCCTCTCATCAGACTCCTTTACTTTCTCAGTTGGGCCAAATGGCTCAACTTACCCCAGAACTACTATTACGACTTTATTAGTCCTCTAAGCTAAAATGGTGGACTTTTATGTTAGGTTTTGACCTTATGTTGTAGCTCATAGATACCACAGTTGATCTATAAAACAAATTTAAAATGACCTTTTTTGGTCTGAACACAATTCGAATAAAACTGATGACAGACAAAATTCACTTCCAAGAGTGAATTTTTTTTTTATAATAATAATATAATTATACTTACAGTCTGTTTATAGCCTTCATATTGATAACCACATGTATAATCTGTTCATAGCCTGTACGTACTTATACTCCATGACATACTCATGTATATATTCTTTCATACCGTGTTCATTTGTAAATATATTTATACTTGCTAAGCACTTCAGGATGGATGCAAACTGCATTTCGTTGCTCTGTACTTGTGACATGTGCGATGACAATAAAGTTGAATTCTATTCTATTCTAAAGTGCATGTTCAGCTATGAGAACAATCCCACAAAGCAGCTTCCTAAAACATTTCCGCCTCCACTGTTTTGCAGGATCATTGCTTATTTTGTGGTTCTTTTTGTTCCCCTTTTCACAGCTGTGGTCGGCCTGCTGTATCCCTGCCTTGACAGCCATCTGGGAGAGCCACATAAGTTCAAGAGAGAGTGGGCCAGTGTCATGAGGTGCATCGCAGTGTTCGTTGGCATCAACCATGCCAGTGTTGTATCCTTTTACCAAGAACTTTCTGGTGGATTCATGAGAGAGAGTTAATCATTTGTAAAATAAAAAAATGAGCTGTTTTGCTCTAGTTAATTCAAGCAAAGGGATGTCTCTCTCTTTACCCTTACAATGCAACAGATCTCAGTGCGAACAGGTTATTCAAATATTTGCTCAAGAATTTACCCGACTCTATCGTCATACCTGTTTGACTTTGTCCTTAACTGCCTTGTACCTCAGAAACTAGACTTTGACAACAACGTGCAGCTCTCCCTAACTCTTGCTGCCTTGTCCTTGGGCCTGTGGTGGACTTTTGACCGGTCCAGGAGTGGCTTTGGTTTGGGGATCACCACTGCCTTCCTAGCAACCGTCATCACACAGCTGCTGGTCTACAATGGAGTCTACCAGTAAGTTAGAATTTGCCTTTCAGTTTTCATTTTCAGAGAACAAAACCTATGCTGTTCTGTTTGTTTTCTTACACCCAAAACAATTCATGAGTTGCATAATGTTGAATATACAGCTCTGAGGTAGTGAATGAGCCTGCTCTAGTTAAACAAGAAAGATGTGTCAGCTTCTAAATAGTAAAAGAATACACAGCTGAGAGAAGGAAGTGTTTGTCACGATTCAAGGCGCAAAAGGCAGCTTAGAAAACAAGGGAGGGAAAACTAAGGGGAAATAATTATATGTCAATGTGCAGCTAAAATATTCCATTTTTGTTTTGTCTCTTTTAGGTACACATCCCCAGACTTCCTATATGTACGCTCTTGGCTACCGTGTATATTCTTCTCAGGCGGTGTTACCGTGGGGAACATCGGGCGACAACTTGCCATGGTAAATTCTGCAACTGTCTTACACCTGTTATCACATTTCTAGCATACCTTATATCATGAACAGCTGATTTCAGTCTTCTAACTAACAAGACATCAGCAACCAACTGTTTCAGATATAAGAACAAAAATATGTCAGTTTACGTATTTATTAAAAGTGCTATGATAGCTCCCGTTTTGTGTATCTGTAGCTCACAACCTTTAAATAATCCAATAAAAAGGTCTATTTTTGTTACGAGTCCACACATCCATTCATATTTGTCATCATCGGCCATAAAAATCTGTAGATGTCAAACTCCTCTGCTTTTGGTCTAAACAGACTGACAGAAAGTCAGGCTACAAAGGATTCCTCACACTCTATTTAACTGTATACAGCTAAGCACAAACGCCAATAACCCTGTCAAAAGGTCCAAAGTTGCAGAAGCCCTTCTCCCTTCATAATTATCCCATCAAGTCAGCTTTGATGTCTTCATTAGACTCGTGCCCAGAAGCCTCACCTCATTCTGTCTGTAAAGTAAGAGTCCTGTCACTCCCTCAGTTTGACTCAGTGAAAGCGTGAAAGCAGATTAAGGGCTGTTGTTTTTCACAGTCGTGGCGGGACACAGAGCCAGTCAGGACTCGGCTGACCAGAGGGTCATTTGCTACTCGTTGTTTTTGTTTGTGATGAGGCCTGAGGAATGTTGGCACAAGTCTGCACTCGTGGTTTTGTTCTCTTGTTTTTCTCGCTTTCGCTCCAGTGACTCATTTATGAGAGGGATTTGGAGGAACATGAGACTCTTCCTGAAATCTGTTTTTTGGTGGCTCTTTTTTTTTTTTGGCATAATACAAATTCCAGTAAAACAATCTGTTCGACATTATTAACCATGCTGAATACAAAAAAGGCTTTACTCTGTCCAACTCTTGCACTCGGCTTTGAAGCTGAATGGTGATGAATAATACGAGTTAATTTACAGTTACAGTCAGGTGTTCCACTTTGGAATCAGTGTACAAACAGATTTCCAGAGAGCTTTACATTACAAATGTTGATGGGGGAAAAAAAAGAAGCGAGAAGAGCAATTTCTAAAGCTGAAGAAGCAGTATAGTTTCCTCTCTGGAAAAAGAAGTTGTCCAGAAAGAGGAACCAGTAGAAAAATGTTTCCCTCTTTTTTATCATAAAGAGGAAGCAGGATTGTATTCCTGCTTCCTTGTATGTGAGAGCTATGAATGGCAAAATAAGTGTTAGTTTTTCCCACTATTTACTTTCAGCTGCAGTTTATAAGTGTTCATGGTGGCTGTATGGGGCAGATGACTGTCTACCTATGAGTCTGGTTCTGTTTAGGGTTCCTGCCTGTAAGAAGAGGTCTTACCCTCTGCTTTGACTAAGGGCTTGTTCAAGACAGATTTTGATTGGGACATAGCCAGCGTTACAAAGGCTAGAGTACAGAACAGTAATTTACGGTAAATTAGCAGAAGATAACCGTTGCGGTGACCAGTCACCTACGGCTTTAAGAGTGTCTCAAATCCGTCTGCCAGTTGTCAGAAAGAGGTCCAAACCGACGGTCCTAGATATGCCATCAACACTTCTTCTGTCTTTCCTCAGGGTGGTCCGGAGAAACTCCACATGGACTGAGCAGCTGAAAACCACAAGAAGGACAGCCGTTGTAAAAATGGACAAGTTTTGTGAAGAACGAGAAGAGTAACAGGAGAAAAACAGACTCGTTGTTTTGACTTCATTCTTTGTTCTCTTAACAAAGTACGGGACAGAAGAAGCCCCTCATCTAATGTGCCATGTCCTCTGCACCTCCCAGTGGCCAAACAACCACTTTCTCCCACCCCGTTGTCCTCCATTAGCATTACAGCTTCCTTCACACTGAGACCAGAGGACAGTATTTGCCTTCTTTTGTTTCTTTGAAGTGAACTGCTTTTATTTCATGCTGGAAGTTTGTATCCGTCTGTAGTTTGTGGGTTGAAAGGTTGTGTGTGTGTGTGTGTTTGTGATGAAGTGTGAATGTATCCAGATCTCAACAGAGGTGAAGTGTGAGAGGTGCTAAAAGTTTTGTTTCTAGCCTGAGTATAATATGATCACAAAAGGGAATATTGTATGAGTGGGCAAAAAGACAATGTCTTCACTCACATAGAAATGTATTCAGACACCTCAGTTGCGTCACTGAAGCACAGTGGAGTTGTGTAATCCCAGTCAAACCAAATTAAGTATTTATTTTGTAAATTTTGAATGACCCCCAAACCAAATGTACCGCATGACTGACAATGAACGCTGCACCATTTTGATTATTTGTGAAAAGATTGTGTTAATGGTACGCTCTGTGTGGTAAATACGTAGCGAGCACAGGAAGAAGGTTAGCTTAGTTTGGGAAAATGCTGGAAACACAGGGTTAAACTACATATCTTTACCTTAAATTAATATGTTTCTTGTTTGGTTTAAAGTTAAAAAGAAAAGCTACCTGTCTGTTGTCCTAAACACAAATCAGCAGGCACCTCACAAGTTCATTAACCAAGACATTAAGACATTGTTAATTTGTTTCAGGCTATAAAAGCTAAGCTAACCAGCACTGGCTACATATTTACCTCACAGACATGAGAGCAGTGAAATGAGGAGCTACAGGAAATGTATGAGGGAGTGCCAAGTAGCTTGACACCAGTTTGTACAGGCTGATATTGAACAGATTTTCTTCCTGAATGAGAAAAGGTCGTATTTACATCATTAAGTATTCACAGCTGTCTGTGAAAAAGTGTAGATTCACATTTTGTGTTTTGGGAAACTCCTCTGAGACCTTTGTTACGTTGTTTTGTCTGTTCTGGCATGCTTCAGACAAACAGGCAGAGGATTGTTTAGTGAGGAAGGAGGGAGAGGCGAGATCTCAAAGCATTAGTCTGGTTGAAATGTCCCAGTCTGCGCATTTTGAGTAATTTTTTTTACTATCAGGGTGAGGAAAGTCACAGCAGTGGATGTTTTTTGAATGAATGTTATGGGAGTCTACTACTTTTGCCAGCATCTTTGATTTTTGTTCAATTAGTTCAAACTTTTTGTGACCAGGTGTTGAATGTCCCATACTTCCCAATGTGACACAACTTTTTACTGGGTGATTTCACACGATCCCCTATTTAAATTTTTATTTTCAAACAATAGTTTGGGAACATTAAAGGAGAGGTCTGGACATTATGACCTCAGATTTGCAATCTGTGATTGCCGGTGTATTATAGAATGTAGTGCTTTTGTCACTATAACAGTTTAGTTTTATCATTTGTACAAACATTATGACATTACTGCTTGTATGTATAATGGCTTGCCTATGTAATCAGACCGGTATTATGACCATACTAGACTTACAGTAGTTAGTGTTTGGGGGTCTAGAGAATTAAGTGCAATCAGATTATACATGAGCTGATTATTCTTTATTTATTACTTTGACAAAAAGGCTAAAAAATACATAACTTGAGTAAGTATATGCAGTGTGGAAAAAAAAGCAATAACATTGTCTTTTTTTTTTTTGTCAGAGATTACATGCCTTCAGGGTCATCTGAGACTCTCACCAGAGAAATGACATAAAGTACATATGTGTCAAACTGTTGGGACAAAAAAAAGAAATCTCATTTAGTAGCATTATGGAAGGAAACCTGATTTATTTTTTTAAATACTCTTTGAAGCAGATCACTTTGGGGTTGAATCTGCAGACGTTCAGGTGTGTTTAACTGAAGAGGAAGCTTTATTTTTCAAGGTGATGAAGCACCTTTCGTTTCGATGTTTTAGAGTTGTTGTGTGTGTGTGTCTGATACTTCAGATGTGTATCATTTTGCTACCATGGATTTAAGTGAAAAATAAAAACACCTGACAAGGACATTGGTGTGGAGTCTTCCCTATCGTGTGGAGTAAGATTAGAGTGTCTCAAATTTGTCGAGCAGAGGAAGAATTTAGGAGTCGTAACTATGACTATGGCACTAACATTTAAAGCAGCAATGAAGCCGCTAACTTGGTATTTTTGCATATATAATGTAAACTCTGTCTTTTGTCACTGCAGCACTACATGATCCAAAACACCTGCAAAATAAAATCCCTCTGATTTTTTTTTTTATCTGATGGAGCAGCAGCTCAGTGTCATTGTGGCTCAATTTCACTGTAGCTTTCTGGGGTGCTGACAGTGGAGTTTGTTGTGTCTGCTGTCACGGTCAAGTTGAATAGATGAGGACGCTCTTTTGTCTGGGGTCTCTGTCAGTCTCCAGAGCCATTATATCGTCTTTGGCTGCATCTTCCTCCTAAGACTCCTCCCAGTCCCCCCTCCTCCTAAAAAAAAAAAGAAGTGTATCCCCCACCACCCACCCACCCCCTGCGTGTCACTGGGATCATGAGGAACTGGCCCCCCTCTTCTTCTGTCTACCCCCTCTCTGAACACGCCTTTCTGGAGGGCAGACTTCTATTTATACCTAGCGGGGGACTGACAGTTAACCTTTTGCACTGAGGGAAATTTCTGGGAGTGGGGCCAATATCTGTGGGCTTTTCTGAATGAAACCCTCGTTCTGAGACACTCATACATACGTCTATCTGTTATTTACCTATAATTCTATTCATCTTTCTATCCATCTATCTATTCATCTATCTATACATCAATCTTTCTATCCATCAATCCATCCATCCATCGCCACACGCCGCTTCTCCTCTTTCCTTCCTCTCTCAGTCTCCTCCTCTTCTTGGGCAGAATAATTGGCCGGGCTTCAACCTCCTTTCATTTCCAGCCACAGCAAACTGAAAGACTCCATTAGAGCGCCTCTTATTGCCAAAAGACCCCCCCACCACCACCCTTCTCCCTCTATCTCCTCTTCCTCTTCCTCCCCCAGCGTTTCCTTCAAGGCGAGCAGACAGGCCCAGCCCAATCTGATGTATTGATTTGAGATGTCTATAGGTTGGTCTGCTAGACGGTCCAATTTCATCTCCTCTGAACACCTTTGTGTTTTGGTTATGACTTAAATTCTTTTTGCTGTTTTTTAAATTAAAGCAGAGAGTTGACTGACAGAAAATATGAGAGCATTGATGTTTATATTCAACGGCAACAAGAGCTCCAATTTTCTACCGAGGCCCACCAGGACTCAGTCAGTGTCAACATATGATGTGAATCAAAACCTTTAAATTGAAAGATTCTAATTTTTAGTTTTTTATATATTCTTTATTTTAAGTGCAGTCAAATGTCAAAATGTGAAAGAAATGAGAAATAAGGGGGAAATATGTGTGGTGAGTGGTGAACAAGATGTACAAGATATTTTAAGAGCATGAGGCGCTGGATTTTAGTCAGCTTCAATAAAGGGACAAAGCAGACTGACAGAGCATATATGAAAGTAAAGGGGATTTTATAGAAATAATTGATAACTTGGGACATTAATTTGGGACTATCTCATGATCTAAGGCCTCAAATAAAAAGTTCATTCAAGTGGGTCAAAAGCCAAGTCGTAAAAGCATAAGGACATCTATGATAGACAAAAATCCTCCTTTCTTTTGGATTTGTTATTGTTCTCTGATGCTTTATGACATTTTATATAGTCTCACTGAAATTGTGGTGCTACTTCTTAAAGGGCCATTAGTCATTAGAGTTCAGATACTTCCCTATTACTTTTTATTTCAATCCCTTGACATAGAATAAAAACTGTCAGATTACACTGATAGTAGTCAATTGAGAATGAAACAGTTGCTGCTTATTTGTCTGATCTTAGCAATAAAATGGATCCAACTTCTTAAGATATGTCTTTTCTATCTTTCTGTGTGCGCGTCTTTTACAGCCTTTTTGGAATTGTTGACATAGTATAAAAACTTAAATTTTAGAGAAAGAAAATTAAATCAGATAAATAGAATCAGGATGCAAAGTCTTAAAAAAATGTTCCCACAAGCTGATAGATAACTGTCATAGTCACTTTTCTCACCTGCTTGGCACTCAGACTTTATTGACCCAGGTCTCGTCACTCCCTCCACACCAGGTCTTTGTTGTCATCTCTTCACCACCTGAAACACACATTTCAAAGTCTCTCAGGTGCTTTTAGAAACATATCTCAACTTGTGTTTGCTTTGACTCATGCTTTTCTTCTTATCAGACATGTTTGGTCCACTGGGGCTGGAAACAGGTTTAACCTCGGCGGATTGACTCAAAAGTTCAATGTGTCTCAAAGAGCAGAGAAATATTAGAGGAGAGAGTGTTCAGGTGGAGTAAAGGTGATAAAAATATAGACGTCGGCTCGATAGTGATTGCTTTTGTTGCCACCAGATGACAGTATTTATCCTCTCTGCTTGTCTGGACATTATCACCATGACATCTATGGACCCCTAGTGGGGAGACAAGGAACAACAGTGTCTGGCAGTGCATGACCTAAAAATCCAATAAATCCATCTACTTCAATGTAGATTAAAATTTAGATCATATAAACTACCAGAGCCTTTAGAGAGAACATAATTAGTTAGTTTTCTTTCACTGATTTGACACAACAACCCAGGTACTTCCAGAATTGCAGGATTCACACAAAAGAGGGAAAACTTTGAAGAACATTTTAGTCGATTTTTCTTTCTGAATGCTTAAATGACTAAGAACCTTCAAATTCAGATTTTGAAAAAAGTATGTTTTATTAAACAGTAGCTTGAATATTATTCTTGGAATATTTATCTCACACTGCAGAGAGCGGGCAGAGTCACATGCATGATAGAAAAGGTCAATGAAATGGATTGAGTGTAGAGAAAATCACTGCACACTCTTTATTTCTCTGCCAAAAGGTCTTGAGTGGCATTAATGTCCTGCTCTCCCTGTGATATATAATGAAAGATATTATGTGTGTGTGTGTGTGTGTGCATGTGTGGAACTCTATGTGTGTGTGTGGTTGTGTGTGCGAGAGTGTGTGTGGGCCGTTTAGGTCTACTGAGTCTTCATTACACCAGAGCTGGGTCCACTCCTGTCCTCTGCCCTCTCTCATTGCCTCTTTCCAGAGCCAGCCAGGAATAATGAATTACAGAGGATGCCATGGGGGGCTGAGTGAGTGAAGTGGACTCCATTTTAGCTCAAATTACCTCTCAGATCCCATTCAAATGGCTGCGCTACACACCCCTGTCTGGGGTGAAATTATCACACCTTTTCTTCGTGGATATATCTGGGATAATCCTGCACTTCTTTAGCTGTAATTTAAGTAAAGACAAAGGAGTAGAAGCCCAAAATCTACCCCAAAAACACAGGGAATAACAGTCTAAAGAAACAAGAGTGTAAACAACGTCTCAGTGGGATTTATCAGTTTAGTCAGAATGCTCAGCCTTGTGTGCCATTCCTGTTCATACCCTCCTCTTCCTCCAAGCAGGTCAATAATAAAAAAAAATGACAGCATAAACCTGAGGTGATGGCACATTATGCACGCCATCCAAACAAATCCTTGCCAGTGTAAATTAAACACACACCGTGAATCTCACAGCCCAGATCAGAGTCTGGAAATGGAGCAGGGCAATGATCATGATAATAATAAGGAAGGTAATGGAATAAATCAAGGTGAGCATTTCGGCTGCATGATCTGTCCTCGAAGGAAGACAACAAAATGTGGAAACTAAAAGATAGGAGGCAAAAATCTATACTTCAGGATGGTTTCTTTGTTAATTATTAGACTCATATATGGATATACACTCACTGGGAGTAAGTGTTGCTCCAATGACAAAGCTTAACATGAGCTTTTGTGTCCTTATACATGACTAGTATAGGAACAACAACAAAGTGAATAGATAGAGGTTGTTATTATTATTATTTCTTGGGGGGAAATTGGATAACTGATGGCTCACACTAAGCTAATTTACAACGCCCTTCCCTAAACCAGACTTTAAAACAGGAAACAACAAACACCCAAAGGACAGAAGAATCAAACTCAACCATAATGTAGACAGAATAGCACCACAAGCAAACTGCACTGCACTGATACACTGTTATGAAATCTGTTTCCCTTTGAGTCCAAGATGATTCCAGTCAGGATCCAATTTCAATTTTGCAGCTTATATTGATCCTCTGAGCAGAAAATGCTCCTTAATAAAAAGCTGTCAAATATGAAAAACATATACTCAACCACTTTGGTCCAGACACCTGTTGTGTGGCAGTAATATGACAGTCTTCTTGCATGTCCTTTGCTGGAACATTGTCAAATAACTGAGGCCACATATGCATAACAGAAATCCTAGCAGCTCTGTTTGTGCTGTATTAAAGGTCGATGTTTGTCACGTTTTAATTAGTCTACATTAGCAGGCCTGAGATGCATATCTGAGCAGCAACAAACCTGCAGCTCATCCATCTCGCTGCTGAGGGATGCACAAAGTTGGCAGGCCGAAGCCATCTGGGAAAGTTATTGCGTCTAAAATGGCCTTTGACTGGCCCTCCCAGATAAGTGACAAATTCACAACATACATACGGCTGGGGGGTAAAAACAACTCAGGTGTTCAGAGGGGTGAAAGGGAGTCCGGCGCACATGGCGCGTTCAAGGGAGTCCAGCACTATTTTGGCGAGTTTTAAACGGTGCAGAGCGCGATGCCACACAGGGAGAGGGGTCGGATAACCGCTTATGAGTGACCTCCGCCCACTTTAAGTAAAGCTGCAAGCTGGACCCGGATACATAACATGAATTGTTTGTCCCATTTAGAAAGAAACGGAAATAAACGAGCAGGAAAACTCAATCGAAGGAACTGCTTGCGATCTTTAAAAGTTTAAGACGCTTCTGTGTTGGCTTGGTTTTTACGCACAAAGTCCCCAAAGCCAAAAAACGAAAGCTGCGGCTTCACTAAGCTGTATATTATGATTTGAAAATATTGCCTATATTTAGATTTAGGGGAGAACGGGTGACAACAAACTTACTTTGGACACGTTTTGTTTGAGGGATTAATATGATTAAGATACACGTAATTTAAAGCACAAACGTTGCGCACAATTCGTGGTTTTGATGACTCCTGATGAAAAAGTTCTAAAAATGTCCCTGCCCCGCCTGCAACCTGTTCTCAAAGTTTGCTCTGCAGCAAGTGCCTTCCACCTGTCTCTCTCCCACTTGTTCCCCTCTCCCCATAAAGGCACACAGGAGGAGCTCGAGACAGGTGCACGAGGCATCTGGACCATGCAAACCCCGTTAAGCATCTTGGATACTCATGGAGGGGCATCTATACAGACCAAAAACCTTTAGGGGCACCGGGCTGAGTAAGTGTTGGTCTGTTGAGATCAGGTGTTTTACACTACACTGGCTCTTTCTTTGAGATGTATTTAACGGATTCACATTTACCCCTTCAGCTCCTTACACACACACACAGCCCTTTTTGGAAAACGGGAGCCTATTTGTTCTGTAGGACTGAGAATGTAAACCCATTAACCTGACGGAAATAGCCACCACGTGCAGGTTTATTCTGTGCTGTCACAAGTTAAGACGTTCAGGGGGAAAAAAGTGCAGCTGGAAAACTACAGTAACTCTAAGGGCCTGACACCAGTTGAATATAACGCTGCTGTAGAAAACTAAATCTAGTCTTTCTGGTGCGTAAAGCAGATGGAAACTAGGCTTTAACAATCTGTGAGAGAAAATCACTAATAAAAAAACAGCAATGGGTTATAGCTATATTGTTATTTGAAAAGGAGATCAAAATGAAAAACTTATTTTAAGAATAGTTCGGTATGTAGAAAAAAAGTCATCGGATGGTCAAATTTGAACCATCTTAAAATGTTGCTGTGCGTCTTTTTCTTTTGGACACAACACTTCATTTCTCTTGTCACTGCATGAAGCGAGAAGTAACGATCAAAGACGGGCTGCAACTCTTTTTAACATAACCTTTAAGAAAGTTAATACTCAAATAAAAGCAATAAGATTTACTGTTATTGTAGATTTGAGTCAGTTTATGTCAGCATAAATCTAGCAAAAAATGTGTTTTAGTGGGAGCTGCAATTTTGTTCAATCTTTACTCCACTTTTTTGATGTTGTTGTATCTTTTTTATTTTATTTTTTGTTTTGTAGTTGTGGTGTGTGGTATATTTAATGCTATGACTTGTATTTGCCTTTTTGTATTTTTGGTTCCTACTTTAGTCTGGACTTTCCTTCACTTCTCATTTAAGCTTCTTTATCCGTCAACAAACACTATGAACTCATTTGTTTGGCTCTGATTTGTTTGAATAATTTTGCAGTGGATGATTTGGATCATGCTTTAAATACAACCCTTTATGCATTTGAATGTAATGGTATTACGCATTATTAAAACATCCCCAAAATAACAAAACTTTGCCCCTTTAAAATAAAAATTAGCTAGTTTGATACACCACTCAGTCTGCAAACTACAACTCAAACCAATTTGCTCCTGTTTTGCGTCTTAACTTCTTTCCCTCTTTTCAAAAATTCAACTTTTCAAACATCTAAAGCCACATTCACTCCTAAAAAAAGGCCAACAGAAGCCGCTCATCTCCCACTGACCGTGTTTTTCACGTGTTATCAGTGAAGCATTGCAGAGTTTGCTGATGGGGACTCAGCTGCATTCAATTAGCATCATCTCATTTAGCTGAGGCCTTAATTGCGCTCGGGGTGGTGCGGTTGTTTGTGCTCAGCTCAGTTTGAGACGAGCCGCTCCTGAAGAACAATCCCAATTCAAATGAGACTTATCTACGCCAGAGCGATCAGACGGATTAAGAGTTATTAAAACCTATAAAGGGCTCAAACCAGAAGATTCTGTGGGCCCAAAGTCCGCTGTGTGGAGACCCGGAGGATTTCTCTACAAAAATACTCACGAAAAGGATAAAAATATATAGACATCACGCGCATTTAGAGGTGTAAAAGGAATGAGATGTGAAAGAAAGGACATGGCGATTGAGGTTTGACATCAAAATAGCACTAAAATACGCTTGTTTTTAATTTAGTGCAATTTTAGTGGTTTATAAGTAGATCAGGCGTCATCCCAAAATGCATCTATGTGTTGGTGACAGCATTTCATGAAGCAATATTAACCCTCAATCAGACTGAGGTTTATATATTACACTGCAAAGAAATTAATCTCTGCAGGAGACGTAAAAATCAAGTCAATCCAGCTGAAGAAGTATAGAGAAAATCAACTTTTTCCACATAAATTTATGATTTATTTCATATCAAAGTGCTATTTATTTATTCATTTTGGAAACAGCAGAGAACTGGGCAGAGACAGTACCCTCTAAAATTATTTTAAAAGACTTTATATCCAAATTATTTGACTTTTTGCAGTGTAGAATACGCGCAATTATGCCCGCTCCTAATCTTTGCTAATTCGGCTGCCGTGCTGTTGGCTGACCCGGGCTAAGAAAGGGGAGAACAGGGGGCAGCCGAGCTTCCAGGCCCACAAAAGCGCAACAAAAAAAATCATACAGGATCATCAAATAGCAGAGACGTGCTTTCAGGTTTTGAAAGGCACAGGAAGCGCGAGGATTTGGTGCGACCCCTGCATGGTGACAGGGCTGATATCTTAGAGACCCCCATTCATCGGGAGGGAGGGGATAGTGACCGGGGGAAGTAAAGGAGTAAGGGAGGGGGGGAGTATGGGTGGGGTAGAAGAGGAGGGGGGGGTAGAGGGGAGGGGGCTCAGAGTGCATCTGCAGAGGTCCCACCGCCCTCTGATCTGTGAGCTGGCACACATCACGGCGTCCATTCACAAATCCTCCTTCTGCGCGTCACCTTTTGTAGTACTCCATAGTACTGGTGACGTGTAAGACAATCCTACCAAGGAAAATACAGAGCAAGAAAATAGGTTATAGGAACTCAAGGACAGGGCACATGCGCACAATGCCTACTATCTATTATAGTAGGATGAGGAGGAGGAGGAGGAGGAGGGGGGTATCATATGTGGTGTGTGTGTGTATGTGAGATAGAGAGAGAGAGGAGGGAGGGGGTATGGAGCTATAAGTGAATATGAAAAAGATCCTGTGCTGGTTTGTAAACTGCATAGAAACAAACTCAGTTGCGCGAACTGTGCGTAAAAAACGGAGCATTAACCCTTTAATGTAAGGAAACAAGTTATTCTTTGTTTTTGTGCGATCAAATGAGAAAGAAAATTGCAGGATTCACTTATTTAGTCCAAACTGACAAACATGGGTGTGAGATGATCAATATTCCCCGCCTCTATGAACAAGAACACAACATATTCATGACAAATAATTACTGTATCTTTCCAGAATGAAGCCGCACTATCAATGTTGAAGTTTTACAATGTGAAAAATAACAAGCTGCCTAAAAGACAGAGTGCTCTTGTGAGAAAATGAATAGTAATTTTTAACAGGGAATGTGGAAAACATCATATCATCGATCGAAGTGGGCCTGCTACCGGCTATTTGGAGGTAACATGACGAGCTACTGGGGAGCAAATTATAACAAATAATGTTTAATATTCATTCAAAGAGTATTTGTATTGAGCGCATTAAAGAACAAGCTTCGATTTCTGCACAAGTCTGAGTCAAAACATCATCGGAAATTGGTGGATTGTGGCCGCTTTTGCAAGAATACACCTGTCTCCATCTTCAACATGTGAAACCACAATATATGTAGAGGTTTTATACTTTTAATATCAGCCACACGTGTCTGTAAAACAAGCAACTGTGGCCTTATGGGTGAGTGTATGACTGCACGTAACAAAAACACTAATGCTCAGAAGTGAGTCTGTTTGGATATTACTTTAACAAACAATAAAAACAACAGAAAAATGGTGATAAATTAGGTCCAAATCTGCGCATGCACAAGGCGGATAAAGCAAAAGATCATTTTTTTTAAATATACGTTCATGGTTGGGCTTTAATCACAGAATTTACCCTTAAAACTGCACTTTGAGTTATGATATATATCATGTAAAAAATAAATAAAAATTAAAAACACAAACACCTAACAAAACAGGTATCATCTGGAAAACCACATATCCGACCAGACGAATGCCACAATAACAAAGACCATAGTTTTAATAAATAAGGCAGGCTACTGAAGAAGAAACTCTGAGTCAATAACACCACTCAATGTTCAATGATTTTCACTGGGAAAATAAAAGTCAACACAAACAATATCGTGCTATGCAAATCAACTGACTACTACAGCACCACTTTAACCCTTAATCAACCAGAAAAAAACTGTCCAAAGTTTGTTTTCATCAAAGGCAGAGAAAGGAGACCTTTAATTCAATCTGCAGAAATCATTAGCAATAAAGAGCAGATAGAGAGTAAGATAGTAGATTTTTCTACAACATGGCACATTTCGTCTTCTTCCACCGCCACAGACAAATAAAAGCCTGTAAGAGCTGGGCAGACAGTAGTAGCGCCACAATAGCTGGGTTGTGAGGTTGGATTGTGCTCTTTTCAGGTTGCAAAAAAAAAAATACACTGCAAAAAAATACACAGCTCGTGCGTTTATTGCTCGTATTCATGTTGAATATACTGCAATTGATTGAGATTAATCTGCACAAAGTGGTTCACATTTCCACATTTTCTTTCTAGGATAGATCCTGTGCGTAAAAATGACCATAACGACCAACTCAAACATTTTTTGTTTCAAAAATAGAGGCATAGCATTTGAGTGGGAGATATGTCATTTATGAGAGAAAATATGATTCCATGCTTTAGTACAGACGGGTTTACATGACATAATGTTGAGAATTTGCTGCGTGCACACAGGCTCTTAATATAATTCAGAGGCTGAAATGGTGTCATTTCCTCCAGACAGCCCCTGTTTTGCTGGGAGGTTAGAGGCCAAGCCCAGGCGGTAGCGGCCTGTCTGTGCCTCCATTGTCTGCTGCTTATTTAGCGCTCAACATTAATCTGCGCTTCCCCTCACAAGTGAGAAACAATCGCAGCATGAGAGTGGCCTGTCTAATTACATCTTTCACTCCCAACTTTCGCTGCAGCAGCCGACGGGAGAGCTCGGATGGGCCCTTTGTGATATGGACATGTGAGATATTTGGGAGTAGATATGAGGCTGTTGCACAGGTAGATTTAGGATGAGGGGTTTCCTTTAAATAGCAGAAATAAAAAGGGGATAGAATTCCCTTTAAAGAGCAGTTAATGCTCAAAGATAATCCTCAAGTTTATGATGAGGCATATTTTAAGACAGTGTGCATATGAGCTGTCACTGGCAGTGCGCGTTTGGAAGCAGTATCCAAACTGAACCTGAATATTTTCTAATTTTAGCAACTAGACTTTAGTTTTCAACTTTTGCAATTTTTGAGAAATCGTCTTTTATACAAACAATAAGTCTAGAATGAGGCGATTGATGCTGGAAACAACCTTATTAGAGTGGTGCTTAAATAAAAAAAATAATACAAATAAATGCAACAGTTAGAGGAAAGGATTACTGAAGCCTGCAACCCAAAAAAAGCACACAAAATTATGGCAAAAGTCCCCAGAGCTCATTAAAAGTGTGTTTTTCTCTCTTTCACTTGCACCAAAAAACAAACCCGGCTGTAGTAGACAACAAACACATCATACAACAAATAAGTTTTGTGTTATTATTTTGGAAAATTTGGATGGACTCCAGTAACCTCCCAAAAAAACACCTGAAAAACGACTGATACTTGTAGTATTTTGCTATGAAATGTTGCAAAGTGACTTTCCAAGCAGACTGTTCAAATTCTCCTCACTCAGTTGTTGCAGCTCCTCTGGTCCTCCTCGGTGCCCCCTCTCCTTTTTACGCGCAGCCCCAGTTGAAGCGCCACGCAAAGCGGAGGAGCGGCAGATACGTCCCTGCAGCTCTAGTGGAGTCCTGGGAGGAGAAACACAAACTTCCCGCTGGTCAGCAAAGTTACTCAAAGTTTTGTCTTTGGCGCGACTCGGTACCCTGAGCCGTGCACAAAACAGTTTGTTTGCATCACTGATTTCTTTTAAAGGGATATGGACCCAGTTCTTGGTCGAGCGCAGCGTCACGCCAGGCGAGCACGAAAATATAAGAAAAAAATGCTAAATACACATTTGGCGTTTTATTAAGCATACTTGGCTGTTACATTTCAGTGGCATGCATTTTCTTACTAATAGTGATGAGACTGAAAACAACATACATACCACTTGTATAAACACTGGGTTGCAATTCTAATGCAACCAAGGACGTCTAATTGAACCAGGTGTAAACAGGGGTCTGGGGGTGATAAAATACATTTTGTAAGAAAATCATCTTTGCAAAAGTTCCGGTTGAAAACGTGAGTATGGGGACATGTGAGATATGCAGTGGTTCTTTCTTTCTGCCTTTTAACCTTGGCCACGACGAACCGACTTTGGTTGGTTTATTTACCTTAACAGGTATTACAAAAGCTATTAATTGTGACAGATTGTAACACATTCGCAACTGCTTCCAGTGCTGCATTTTGTGACAGTATCACAACACGTATCAAGACCTCCAATGCAACAACATCAGGCCATTTTACCTTAAGCTGTTGTGCCTCTATGAACCCTGTTGTTTAGTTTTAATTTAGGCTCCTATTGAAGTGTGAGTAAATATAAGCATCAGAAACAAACTTCTATACGTGTTGGTTGTGCTGGAGCGGATTAAGATGATGTTAAAATGTACAATTCCCTATTTACTGGGAATCCCTCCCTGCCCTACAAGCAGGAACCCCGGGGGTCCCCACTGCCCACTTTGACAAGCGAAGCTTCAACCTGCCTTTGTTTTACTGAATGCAAACAACGTGATGCGCATCGTGTTTTTTTTTAAGCAAACTAAAACTAAAAAAAAATGTTACAGGGTTCTTAAAACACACATGAATTATTGGGAGTAGCTGAGCGCATGCACTGGATTTAAATGAGGCTTCTTCTCCGTCAGTCCAGGACTCTTTCCCTTTACTAAAGCAAGGATGGGCGTTTGTGGACTGCTCTGGAGTCAGCGTCATGTGGCCTAGTTTCTGCCCTCCCATTGGTCCAAGGCACGTGTCTGGGAGGACGGTGGGAAAACGTCACTCGGGGGGCTCGTATTGAAAATAAGAACAAAACTCCAGAGTGAGAGTATTAGAGCATCAGTTTAGGACTCTCTTTATTTACCCTTAGTTTAGTTTAGGCGTAGGCACTGCCGAGCGCACTCAAATCGGATAACTAGAATCTGCAGGTGCGCAAATGGCACATGTTTTAGCTCTACCATAGCAGCTGCAACCCGAGAGTGAGGGAATATATGTGAAAAAGTATGCTTTTCTCAGAGGACACTACCGCAAGGCTTTGCATGGTGTCCACGGCACTCAGAATTTGAGTTTATTTTTTTAATTTATTTTACGCGTGCAGTTTTTTCCTTCACATCTATCGCCCCCGAAGTTCTTTGTCATTTTTTATTGCAGCAGCGAGAGCGATAAAGGGGTTAAAGAGAGTAAAGCGGAATCAGTATGGAAGAAAATGATCACGGCAACAGAGACGTGGTGGAGCGGCAGGAGTCGGCGGATGAATCCAACAGAGCCATCCTTCCCCTGTTACAGGCACCGGGGAACCCGCAGATCCCTCACCGGGTCACCAATTTCTTCATCGACAACATCCTGCGGCCAGATTTCGGGCGGAAAAAGGACGGGGGAGCAAACCGCGAAGAGAGTAGTCTGTCATCGCGGGAGAGCCACAACAGCCCCGTCGCCCCTCAGACCGAACCTGTGGGGAGCACAGTGCCCGCAGAAGGGACCTCCACTCCTCACACGGTCACCGGGACCAAGAAGCCCGCTATAGCCGCCGAGGAGCCCCTGAAACCCCGCGGGGAGAACGGAGACCAGTGCCTAAGCTCAGACTCAGACAGTTCCCAAGCCAGCTCAAACCAGAACCAGTCTCAGCCCATGCTGTGGCCGGCCTGGGTCTACTGCACCCGATACTCGGACAGGCCTTCTTCAGGTTGGTGCATGCGTTTTTTACTACTCTATTCCGTACTCTCGGTAACCTGAAATACCCCGTAACACTGACCCCGGTTGCCTTGACCGACTTCTCCCGAGCTGAGTGGAGCGAATCGTGCCGGAGAGAGAAAACAGTCAATTTTCTGAATATTCAGTCAAAAGCCCTGGAAAGAAATATTCTGCGCAAAGCATAAAGACAGTGGTAATTTACTTAGTCGTGGGGGTTATTTCAATGTAAAAAATAATAAGTGAACAGGCCAAAAATATAAAATACAAAAAAAATTCTCTTGCGAGAGTAGGCCTAGTTTGTCTTTTTTAAAGGCAGAGAAAATCGAGTTTTTAATGACTGAAGTTGCTCTAATTTTGGTGTTTAATGTTCCAGAAAGAAACACACAAAAATCCACTTTTTTCCCCAGCTATCAGGCACATATTTCCCCTGAAGACAGCCTGTCTTGTAGATTTCCTCGGGGTTATACGTACAGATATTTGGGGTCCTACATACACTAAAACATGCGCGCGCAGACTGGTTTGCAACATGTGCAGCGTTGCTAATATTTTGGTGCTCGTGTTTTCGCCGTTTTGTTGCATGGAGTTAGAGGTGTGTTTAGGGAGGATTAAAAATGCATGTTTTTTTTTTGCAACAGATGAACCACACAGCCCCTGCATGTTCGAGTTTTGAGCTTATTCATCAACTCAATTTAAAAGAAAACAAATACTGCAACTTCTCAACTCACAGGGAGATAATTGTGTTGTTTCTTTAACTTAGTATCAATCTAAAGTGCAGTACAAGTTGTTCTCATGCATTATGTAACGCTGTATGGAGTGGCGTAGGCGACTACTACGAGTTGTAGCTGCACAGTTTTGATGTACACACACACATACACACTCAGTGATTCATCAGTAAAGATGTTCGGCCTGTGTTTTGTTGATTTAAGGACATTTTCCTCACTCTGCAAGAGGGTACAAGGACTCAGTCCAAAGCTTCTCCAAAAACAGGCCTCCATCAGGATGTAAAATTAATGTGGATCTAATGTGTGCTGCTCACATTCTGATCACGTTTTGCCCCATTGAGGAGGGGTTTTTTTTCATGTGACCCACAAAAACTCTAATGTAGAGTAATGTAGTGGCGCTGAAATGAATCCTGCGTATGACCAGCATTTTACAGTAGCACCGTTTTTTTTCCACCGTTGTCCTATTGGTTGATAATTCCATATTACTACAGACAGTGATGTGTGCGTTAGTGTGTGTGCGTACGTACGTGTGTAAGTGTGTGTGTGTGAGTGTGTAAGCGAGGAAGAGTAATGGAAACAGGGAGGGAGGGGAGGTTGCTGCTTCTTGTGTATGTTTTCAGTGTATGGGTCAACATTTGACAGTCAACCCTGTTTATTCTTCGCGAGTGTACCAAAAACGCGTCATGGATTCAATCAGAACTAAATTTGGTGGATTTTTTGAAACAAAATACACACTTAGCGAACTGTTTAATGTGTCTGATTACCATGTTCGGTTCCCTTTCTCTTTATTTTGGAAATTAAATATGTTAAAAATATGATTTTTTCTTCAAAACAGACTTTACGCACATGTTCTGGATTCTATCCAAATAAGGAGTAGAAAACTACATGCTTGTGGCTGCGTTTGTAAAGAGAAAAACCCATGCGTAAAAACGTGTTTTTATAAACCGAACTAACCAGAACGACTTTGACTATTTTGCCTGTGTGACACTTTTTGAACACTTAATGAACAAATGTGACCCCCCACCCCCATATCCCCCACTGCAGGCCCCAGATCTCGCAAACCAAAGAAGAAAACGACCAGCAAAGAGGACAAGCGACCACGGACGGCCTTCACAGCAGAGCAGCTGCAAAGACTAAAATCTGAGTTTCAGACAAACCGCTATCTGACCGAGCAGAGGCGGCAGAACCTGGCGCAAGAACTGGGCTTGAACGAGTCCCAGATCAAGATCTGGTTTCAGAACAAGAGGGCCAAAATCAAGAAAGCCAGCGGCGCAAAGAACTCCCTGGCCTTGCACCTGATGGCACAGGGACTGTACAATCACGCCACCGTCACGTCGAAGGACGAAAAATCAGACAGCGATTGATTTCCAGAGAAGTCACAAGCAGCCTCCATGACGAAAAAGAACCTATAGTGATCCTATGATAGATTATAAAGAGATACCACTACCTACAGGAATATTTAATGATACAACAGCAGATGAAAATACAATAAAGCTCTATTACTACTATCACTACAGATACAGCAAGGGCCCAGTACAACACGGACATACTTCAAAGACACAGTGAGAGTCCTACAGGAATATTTAATGGCTCCATAGCTCTCTATAGGCTCCTATAGGAATATTATAGCGATTTTTCGTGATACTGGAGGTTTTGTTAAGCCTACAATGCAATAATTTCATCGAATAAAGGGCCAGTGTGTAGAGTATACCAGCATAAATTGTTTTAAAAAATAATAGAGAGATATTTCTGCAATATCACGTCTAAAAAAGATGTTGTATAAAGGTATGTTTTCATTGTTTGTCGTCCCCCCCTCATGGAGGTAGCTTCAAATGCTAACACCCTTCATTTTTCTATAGGCCTACTGCTAACCATGATTGTCATCTTACTTTGAAACTGATACTTCGACCTGTCAGTGAAGTGAACAAACTGAAGTCCAAAGAATATTTTTCTGCTGCATCCAGGCTACTGTGAATTTAAATAAATGCTAACACGAGTGTTTATGTCCACGCTTTGTTGATTTCCTTTGTTGTGTTTGTGTAAAAACGGACAGAGGATTTTGGACGACGCTTTTATTTTGAAGAGTCAGACCGAATTTGGCAGAATCTGAATTTTGATACGCTTTTTAAAAAAATAAAATGAAGATAATTCACAGGAACAGTTTTTAAGTGACAGAGAGGTAGCGATTTTTTCTAACACGCCACTTAACTAAGAGTTAGGCTTTGCTTACATGTGTGTGCTTGTCTCATAGCCTTTAAACGAATCTGTGCGTAGCCTATTTCTTTTGTTTTGCAAATGCATCAGTGCAGCTATTATAGTTTTTAAACAGCAATATGAATCATGTTTTGTAGCTAAATGCATTGAAGGCTATAATGCTGCCTTTTGAGTCACAGAAACAACTCTGTAGCATAAAGACAATGATGACAACCATTTTGCGCACTCTGAGTATAGACTTTAAATGCAGGTTATTGGATGTTCTTGTCAAATCTTTCTCTATATACAGTTTTATTACATATCCATATATCATAAAAAGAAGGCAAATCCGTCAGTGACTGTATTACAAATGTTGGAAATCTCTTATCGTTGTTGAAAGGACTTCATATGTGTATTTATATAGATTATATTGAGAAAAAAATCTATCCAATGACCAGTGTTGCTTTAGAGTAGATATCTGAGGTGTTTACACTGCTTGTTTATCTTGCAATAACTTCATTTTGGGTTTCTTCTTCTTCTTTTTTTTAATTTTCTTTTTTTTTTTTTGTGAATGAAAAATTGTTTATGGGGCCTTTGCATGAAAGCTGCAATTTGTTGTACTTGGGGCAAAAATAACTGTGTTTATAAACTTTGGTCTTTATCGACAGGAAAGTATGATCGAGCTAAGTTCTAGACTGTATCCATACCAAATTGTGGACTTTTTTGCCTTTCAAAGTGTTTTTGTTGTATATCTGCAAAAAGTGTGTGTGAATTAAAATCCACCAAACAGAAACACACTTTGCCTTAAAGTTCAGGTGTGAACTTTTTATGAAACATGACTGTGCCGAATCAGACAAGCAGTATTACTTCAAATGCAGACTATTCAAGTTTAATGCCTTTATGAAAACTGCTGGTACGACATATTGAATTTACTCATCAGCGTATATCTATCTATATATGAACATGTTTAAATGAAATTACAACACAGAGTTGTAGAATACAATGCTATTTTTTATTTTATGTTGAAGTATTCTTTGGTATAAATGTACATAATTTGTATCATGTATTAATTGTGTAATTAACTGCCTCCTGAAAACTGCAAAAGAAGAGTAAATAAACCTTGAAGATTATACACAAACAAGTTTCCCTCAACTTTTGTGTCCAGAGAGAGTCCATACTTTTCAGAAATGTGACCCTGAATCAATTCTCCACTTCTACAAGCACAATAATTTGTTTAAAAAATGCATTAGCGGCTAGAATTACTCAAAAAGAGAGAGAAATGTACTGTAACAGTTTTAAATAAATGTTGCCAGATGTCAAATGCTCACAAATGCAATCACAAGCATTATTGTATTTCCCAGCATGACAATCCTTTCCACGCAGACACCCACTCATTCAGGATCACATTCATGGAGGATCAAATTCATGGGTTTTCAGATTAAAACATTTGCAAAAGCATCCCAACATTATGCAAGGGAAAGCCTTGAACAATTCCCAGGCATGTTTCCCCAACAATGCCTGATCTGCATTTCCATACTTGCACCGCTAGTCTTTGAACGCCATGTCTAACGGCCAGTGACTAGCATTGGAGCAGATAGGGCTGCTCCCAGCACTGTCCCCACGACGGTCAGTCTTCCTCGCCGTGTCTGAAAAGAGCCTGGGCATCTATGGCAGGGCAGAAATGAGAGTCGAAAGGAGAAGGAGAGGGAGGGAGAGGGGGAGAGAAAGAGAGACACACTCAAGAGAGAGAGAGAGAGAGAGAGAGAGAGAGAGAGAGAGAGAGAGAGAGAGAGAGAGAGAGAGAGAGAGAGAGAGCAATGAAGGTCAAAGCCTGTCATGGCTGCAGGTGGCTGGTTTTCCCCCCTCCTCTCCTCTCAGTAACCCATTCTCCACACACAGCTTTCTCACTCACCAACTCTTACTCTCCCCCTCACTCACTCACTCACCCTCTCTCTCACACACACATACACATATACACACACACACACACACATCATACTACCACTCTGTTTTTATTTCATTCTTGCCTGGCACACACACGTCCCCAAACACTTCATTCATTTCACTTCTTCGTCACATGCACACATACCCCTCGTTGTTTTGGTCCTTTCATTCAGGGCATCAATAGGAACCTTCATCAAAATATTCCCTTGCAGGAGAGTCCCCTGAAGTTCAGATAGGGACACCGATGCATTAACAATAGCTGAAGCTGGAAAAGGCTGCATACATGGGACATTCTCCTGGAATAAAAAAAGTGTTTATGGGAGAGTTATTGATCTAGAAGTGAAACTGAAGGGGTCAAGTGGCCAGAAACACAGCTTGTTGAGGCTCTTGATCGCTTTACACAGCTGAAACTTTGTGCTGTAAAAACATAATGAATGATAGCACACAGAAGAAATCAGTGTAGACAACACTGAGAAGTAAACACTTTGGGCTAGGATGAAGAAGTTTCAAAAGATGTCTGGAGAAAAAGTTAGTTTCTGGAGATAGATCGGGCAAAGTCCTTGTGCTGTACTGATGGAAGTAAGCACAGGAGACATCAGGAAAGTATCAATGTCTACCACCAAACACAAAAGAGCCCCCATCCTGCAATGACCTCTCCCACCATCCTCCCCCCCTTCCCTACTGTGTCATTTACCCACAGTTTCTAAATGCTTCCTCCGGCCAGAGTGGAATCTGCTCAGAGGTGCCCGGGCTTTGTGGCGGAAACATAATTAAAGTGGTGAAAGATGTAAAAGGTGAAGAATGGGGATGACATCAGGCCAATTTCACACTTGGCACTCGAATGGCTAGGTCCAAGCCAGGACTCTTGCCTCGCAACACAGATCAAAGCCCACTGTCACCGCACCAGTGCAGGAAAAAAAAAGAGGCAAAAGGACACCTAACTATGCTAATCCCCAGGACGAATATATTTTAATCTTGTTAGAATACAAGTTAATGCCGTGGCTCAGTGACTGAACTTTTCGGCAAGAATGAGAGGTGAACAGAATTACTTTTACCTTTTCTACATGAGGTGCCTCTGTCTGGCTCCGGATAAACAGCCAGAGTCTGAACAAACTTTCTTTAGGACAAACTCAGCACATTATCAAGCCTCATACTGTACACAGGAGGCAGAAAGCAAGCCACTGGAAAGGCGAGCAACAATTTTCATTAAGAACAACGAAAGGGGGGAAAAAAAGAGAAAACTCTACCCCAGAAGCTGTCAGTGACCCCGTCTGAAGCCCCACTAGGGCACCTAACATGCAAAGGAAATGAGTATTTTGTGGACCGGTTTGTCCCCGCTCACATTGAGCCCTCCTTTCTCAAAAGCACCTTGGTAACCCTTGATCTCTCATGTATGGAAGTCAGGGTGCTGGGGCCTGCAGAAGTTGACTAGGCAGACAATAGCAAGCGGATGCTTTCTGGAAAAGTCACACCCAGGCAACTCTCATTTCACACACCGTGTTTGAGCGACCTCCTTGAAAAAAAGTTAAAGGGAGATGGTAAGACTTTTGGGGTGAGGATTCTTTTTGTTCACTTAACAACATTCAGGATAAACAAGTGTCCTCTTACATTTCCCATGTAGCTACCATGTCTGGATTCAGGAGGAGATGTGTCCTGTTTCAGGGAGATGAATAAAAACAAAAAACCTTGGCTCTCAAACTCTGCAAAGTTGTTTAAAATGTAGTTAACCAAAATAACTTGTTGTCTACAGAGTGTATCAAGGATGTGCTGTAAAAAAATCCTTTTTTTAAGAGAAGCTGTTGAGGTAAAGAGAGAACAGAAGAAACAATTGTTCATAAAGGATAGACATTAAAAAAAAGTTAGTATTCAATAAAAAGGACAAAAACTGACTTACATACATTTCAGAAGATAAAGCAGATTGCATCACTTTCTTACCACGTTTATTGGCAGAGTGCATGTAACATTACATTGATTTCATTTTGTTAAACTCCCTGCTGTCATATAGAAACAGATCCCAATAAAAACCCCTGAAACCTTAAAAACGATGGTCAGTTCAAACTTTGTATAAGTATGTGTAAAAGTTTTACCAAATAGAAGCAGAATTTCCTCACAGAGCCAACACAACTACAAATACAGGTCACCAAACCTCGGCAGATTTTCTATCATTTAAAAGTGATCACTTTTAAAGTTTAAATATTTGCTTCATTTAACAAATAGTGGTTCAATTTGAAATAACAGAAACCCCTCCCGAAAAAACACCCATTATAGTTTGGCCATGTCTGAAAATTGCATGTTTTTGTTCAACCAAGAGTTAAAAACCCAAAGACCATGAGGGGTTTACAAGATGAAGGCATGATGAGTTTCCCAATTGTACTTGTTGAATACTTCAATTATCAAAATTGTCAGAATCAGTTCTTTTAATCAACATAACAGTTTGTCAAATTATTCTTTCAGCACAAAATATAATATAATACAAGTGATAAAAATACAATTTCTGTAAAATTTTTCATAATTGCCTTTCGCTGCTCTCCCATACAGAATGAGTAATCTGAGGAAAATCTGAGAGATCAAAAAACGAGATGCGTCTCTCTGCAAATTTCTTAATCACCGGGTTCAACTTTGAGGAAATTTTGAGCACCAATTACACATTTTTGAACTAGAAGTGTGTGGAAAATATTTTTCAAACCGTTTTTCATGCTTTATACATGAAATATTACCCCTAATTTTAGACCACCTCAAGTCTCAAAACTTCTCCAGTTTCTTTGCTGATTCACTGTTAGGCCCTGTTTCTTAAAAATATATCCTAACAAGGGCTGTTTTGTCTTCAAGCTTCTCTGACAAAGTCTGAAACATGAAAATGTAAAAAATGCGTACTTACCTACCTCTTCCTAGAATCTCTGAATTCGTAACTTGAAATGAAGGCAACACAAGAGAGGAACCAAGCAAAATGCTCGAAATAAACAAGCTTAAATTTAAGTTTTTATTCTTTGGAATGACACAAAAACAACACTCCCTCTCTCTGACGTCTCTCACTAAAGTTTGATCCCAGATATGTGTTCAAGACTACACACAAAATTCCCTGAATTGCATGTTGTTGAGAACATGCAGAACTCTGCACCAGTTTTTTTTATTTCAGATGGGTTCCCAATAATATAAGAGAAACAGTTAAACTTTCTGTACTTGGGTAAAATGCACTCAGGAAAGGTTCCAAAGATATCAGCGGTAATGTGAAAGTCTGCATGATAATTACATGTTAAAAAAGTTGAGGGAGTTGGTGCGTAAAAAAACACAGAACTCTTGAGCAGAAACAGTCAAGGTGGTAGTGTTTCCTAGTTTGTCCTCGGTTCTTTTTCTACATACGAAATGAAGATGTACAATGGACAGTCATGCCATTTCTGGCTTTTCTTACTGAGTTTGTGTTGCTTGCTGACACAGCTCGACAGGGTCAAGGATACATCTGACTCACCTCAGGCCCCCTGCTCTCCCCGGGGACCGGCCTGTCACTCACTTTGCGGTTACGCATCATAGCTGACAGAGGCACAAAGTGAGAGCTCGATGCTGCATCAACAGCAGCAACATCATCACCAAAACCCATCCTTAGCATGACATCTTCCTTCCTAGTTTCACCACCAGCTCTCTGCACTGTGAGGGGAAGAGAAAAATACACATTCACACCACGAGCCAATAATAAAATGTCATTCTGAGTGAGTTGGAAGATCTAAAAATAGAGGATTTGGACATTTACCTTAAAATTCTCCTCCTTGCTGTTTGGATGTGGGATGCCTTGCAATGGAGTTGTTACGAGGTGGAAGGCAGACCTGCAAGGATTTAAAATGAATGGGTGTAATACTTAATTTCAGACTGTTTACCGAGGCTGGATACACACATGTCTGCGCTATGATCCACTTAAGTGTGTCTCCACCTCATTGAAACAGCACTAGGTTGGTGTGGTGTACAGGCTTTAATTGGTATTAGTTGGATGACATAATAAGCGCACGCATAGAGCTGTTTGGGAAAAGAGCAAAGGCTTTTAACGGTCACTGATCAGAGCACTTTGTTCTTTGTTCATTAAAAATGAATTTAGGACTGAAATACTGTACAACACCACTTCAGAATAAATATGACGCTGTGGCGAATGCTAAAACCCAAACTAAGACGTTCCCACAATGACACGTTTACAGTACATGTCCGACAAAGCAAGTTTGTGCATGTTATATGCTACAAAGAAGAGCATTCTGTGATCATCAGAGAGGGCCCACTCCTATTGTGCCAGACTGCAAGCGCGACTTTGAAGAATAAAATGGCAGCCCGCCAAACACTGAAGTGAAGGGTAAAAAAGCTTACTTCATATTATAGTAGGGGCCACAATGAACCAAAATAATGTTATTTTTCACCAAAGTTGTCTGATTGGTTGAATGTGAACTTTGAAAATACAGTTACGATGGTTTCGCGAGCTCTATTTGGGTCTTTTTTTGTAATGAGATTCAACATTGAAGTAAGAAATAATAAAAAATAAAAAAAAAACAACATTCAGCAACTTTAGCTTTCTACTTTGAAAAAATGTGGCTTGAACTATTATTCACCAGTTTTGGATTAAACTGTGACAAAAGCTGTTGACCCTTCGCTGATTTGAGCTCTATCTACCTGTCTAGACTTCCTCAGATTCTACATTGTTCTCAGACGGCAGAATACACCAAAAATAATCATCTCAGTTTGAGTTGGCATACAAGGCGAGCTGCAGCTCAGTCGACCGTGCCTTAGCTCATAGTAGTGGGCGTCTCTCTCTTTCTCCTTCTCACTCATTTTGCTGCATGCTGCCATTTTAACTGTTCCTGAGTGGCAGGCGAGAGGGCGGGGTTGGTAGCGGCGGCCATGATGGTGGAATCACTACACCCACTCCTGAGGAACAGCCCTAACATCAAAGCCAATTCACACACTGGGCCTTGTTGTTTATAAGGCCAAGACAAGCGACTGTAGTTCTAGAATGAATTACAGCATGTAGTAGCTAAGAATATACCAACAACCGACAGCATGTGTACATCTGTGCACGCATGTCAAACTCATTGGAGAATAGACACCGATATAGACACGCATTTCTGACAACTTTCAAACGACAATAGACAAAAATGATCCTGATCTACCAAAACTTCTTTAAAAAGTCTATTTTTAAAAGGCCCATTTTTGAGTCTATATATCTAGATTGTAGGTCAGCATTAATGTCTACTTGTTATTTTATGTAGTACTTTGACTCAGATGAACATCATCCAGCTTACCTGTGCAAATCCGTTTTAATTCTTGCTCTAAAAAGATGCATTAATAAGACTAGAAAGCAGTGTGTCGTAAAGAGCTACATTTTGGTCATGTACTAAAATCACAATTTAATGCAAGCACATATAAAATAACAGGAAAAGAATACACAGCAAAATTACTGTATGTCTGCCTAAGGTTGAAATCTGTCTTTGGCTCATAATTGCAAACATTTATAAAATAAGATCTTAACACAACACTCCACTCACATGGGAAAGCATTACTAAGCTAAGTCAGTAAATACATGTGTCAGGATATTTTTTTGGAGTTACTTATAGCTACTTGTACAATATACTTTGCGAGATAAGACGGATATTAAGTTTAGAAATTACCTATTGTGTATGTGAAAGAAAATCTCCTCAATGCTTCAAAAAAAAAAAAAAAAAATGCAGGGCTTTGTTGTCGTAGGATTATCCCTCAAATAAAGAACATCTCCAGTCCTTCAAAAAGTGTCATCGTGGGATCAGAAAAAGCCAAGCCATAACAAGTCGTCGTTTTAGATTTTAACAGCAAAGTTTGTCAGCAGTATTGTTCTCTATGTGAGCATCCTGACGTCCCGTATGTTGATGGAAAATGTCACACATTTTATTACACTACAAAAGAAAGTTTCGCCATCAAACTCATTCTTTCCCTCAAAGCAGATTGTGTATAATGTGGGTCACATCCGTACTCACGCCCCATTTCCCCACCCCCCAATCCTGAAAATTAAAAGGAAAAAAAAAAATGACATCCTTGAAGACCTGAGTGGCTTCTAACCAACCACATTTGAGGTCAAAGTTCATCATATCCCCTTGGCAACACCAGGGCAACAAGTAACGGTGTCTAGACAGGTCATGGTATCCCCCCGTGCCCATACCAACCCATCGCCCCCTGGTTCCTTCCGGAAGGAGGTGTCAGCAGCAGCCAAGTGCAGGGTAAACAGGGCAGGGTGGGGGCTGGCCTTTGGCCCCAGTGAGGTCGGATCAGCACCTCCACCCTCCACTGATCAAAGCTGAGGATCCTACATGCCAGGGGTTTGGTCAAAGGGGGCAGGGTCAGGAGATGAACTCTACGTTTCTGTAATCTAGACGTGTCCAGACCTGATTGTCTTCTTTCACAGCCCAAAATGGACCCTTCCGGTGCCGCTGATTACATTAGGGAGGACAGCCTCTTTTCACTGGGACGCCTGGACAAAAGAGGCGCTTCCGTGCCCCTCGCCATCTGGTCCCAAAATAACAGAAAAGGTCCCAGGAAAAAAAAAAAAAAAAAAAAAAAAGAAATAAGCCCAGCCAGCACCCAGCCTTAAATGAAAGGGCCGCTGTTTGAATAGATGGGATGGCTGGACAGATAAGCAAACATACAGTAAAGCCTCACACGTTTACGCAGAGATTGGAACCCAATCTAAATCAGCAAATAAAGCAGTGTGCACGGGCTCTGACAAGCAGGTCTGCAAACTACAGATGGATTTAACCAGGAATAGAATTCTGCTGTGCACCGACCACGCATATAACATCACTTTTACATATATCATCAGTGCTCAGAGGCTCTAAATCAGTTTAAACACATCTCTGCTTTGCTACCATGAAGATTTATGATCTACATAAGACTGAAATGAAAAGAGGAATAATACAGTCATACAATTTGTGATAATACACTGCAGCACGACAGAAACAGTAGCCAGTATAACAATGCACCCCTGTGCTAAAACTGAGTGACAGTGTTTTGCGTATGATGTCATGATTTTGCCTTTTTTCAAAAGCTGGTGCAGCTGCTGTTTGGACACAGATTATTTGGTCTAATTGCAGCTCATGTTGCTTTGAAAAGCCTCACAAAATCCAGCGGCTGATTATTAGACCTCTGTTATAGCTAAAATATGCTGCCAACTAATACTTCTCCTAATATTCTTTGTATTTTTAACTTGTTGGCAAATGTGATGAAGTAAGTCAAGAGTTGAGATTCTTCCTCTGTGAACTCTGTTTTGTTCCTAAGTCTTTAGTCTCTGGTATGTTAGGTGTTATTAGCAGATAGACGCTTCAGTTAAACAATGAGGGTAATAAAATACAATAAAGATCAAAACATCTGGGTAACTGAAACACAAAATCAGGTGAGTATAAAGTATTGAATGAAGTTGAAATGTTCTAATCACAAAAGACCAGCCTAGAATAATTTTGTTCTTCAGGAGATTATTTCCTTTAAAATCCTTCAATCCTTTCCTCAGTTGACAGTCAGTTCAGCTCAGCAGCCTCTTTAAAAGGTTTACAAGTTTTTGCATGGTGGTTCCTTCGGTCAGTCACACGGTTAACAGTTACTGAGAGTACAAATCCAGGCTTTTGGAGCTCTGATTTGCTAATACTGATTATATGCTCCGCTATGCATGGCTTGTTTTTCTACTGCAGTCCACAAGGAAATTTGGTAAATAAACAACCTCATTAGTGGCAAAGGTGATGCTGCCCTTGATCTTGAGTGGTTTTGTCAGGAGAAAGGTGAATGTGCAGCATTGGGAAGTGAAGTTGGATTGACTAGCCTGCCCATATGGGACCACCAGCTTTGTTATGAAAACTAACAAAGCTGAAAATCTGAATTCAGCTCTTGGCTGGCATAATCAAAGCAACACGGATGGTTGAAGAACAATCCGTGGAAAAGCAGAAAGATTCCCAAAAATGTATATATTTGGATGACATGATGCAATTCTACTGTCTTCATATCAAAAAAGGAAAGAAAAAACAGTAATGTACAGCTACATTTCAACATTAACCAAAACATTCTCAAACCTACAAGTGTGTCTAACAAATTTTGACTCCATCAGTAATAATGATGATAACCTGGACTATAAACCATCTCACTGTCAACAATCTCAGTCAGATTACTCCTGCAGAAATAAAGCAAAGAGTCCAGGTGTAATTTATGTAAATAGTTATCATCCTGAGTAAAAAAGCAAATATGGTGGGTCAAAAAAAAAAAAACACACATTAATAGTACTGCCAAACCGAACTCATGATTAAATGATTTATAAGATGTATGCATATTTGTGGTGGAGAATATTCAAGGTAAATTCATGCACCTAAGAACATTTCTGAGAAAGTTTCTTTTTGTTGCTGTAAGTCAGAAAAATTATGCTAAGCTGATTTCAAGAACTGAAATTCATTATTACATAATTACACTATTTTTCTCAAATTTTCCCTTCGGTGTTAAATGTACAGTATTTCCAGGGTGACTCAGCAATATTTTTCAAACAAGAAATTAAATAAAACAGCAATTCAGTCAGGCACTTACATACTCAGTTTTCATCTGCTACAGGTCCTACTACTCAGCCACCTCTCTACCTGCTCATTTGCTCCATTTTTCAGAGTAAAGCACATACAGGTACTAGACTTTCAGTTTTTAGTTATTGAATCCACAAATAAATCACTAAACCAGAGTAAAAAAAAAAAGAAACTGAACTAATTAATTAAACCTGCTAAAGATATGTGCACACAATTCATAGGATGCCAATCAAAATAGCAAAATGGATGACATACTACAAATTAACACGTGGAAAACAGGTGACAGGCTGCTGGTCCTAATCTTGACAGCTACGCCATGAGAAAGGTAGAATTTACTGAAGCTCTCAACGTCTTTAAAGACCTACATCACACATGACAACAAGCTCTTCTCATCCTTGCTGTGATGCAGCAACATCCTTGAAGTATTTGATGTCTGTTTTCCAGCTATGCCATTTCGAGGAGGTACACTTAATTTTGAGACAATGTTGAAAGAATGAACTGCAGCAGGCAAGCTGCTGGGTACTTTCTCCTCCTCTTGTGATTCAAGTTTGAGTCGAGGAATACATGCTCCAAACTTCAGAGATAAGGCGCCTAACAGCTCTATAAGGCTCAAGGCTTGTTGTATTGACTTGCACTCAGACATGAATTTTATATACATTAACATGGCTTGGCTAGCAGTAATTAGCCACATCTTGTTTTTTTTCTTTACATTTCTGCACACTCGCACCCACCCAGAGTCGAATCTCTTACAAAACAAACTTGATTTGGGTGATGTTGCTCCGCTCTGTTCTTTGTTTACTCAAAATTTAGTTTTGGCCTTGTTTCTATTGATCCCAAACAATCTAAAAATCATGTAGACCAGAGCATAATAAAAAATCCCAAGGCTAATAGGCCAAATGCTGCAGGATGGCAATTTACAAGTACAGTTTGTTAAAGTAAAATAATGATTTAAAAATGTGTGGGTGTCAGATGTGCATTGAGAGTTTTTAGACATGTTTTAATTTTTGAAATTTTTGTAAATCACCTTAAATAAATTAGAACTTGCTTTGCCAGGGCAAGGCTGAAAAACTCCAAAATTTTCATTTCGAAGTTGGACAATGTCAAACTTGAGCTGTTGCAAGTAGTGTTGAGGGCAAAAATAATGCAGAGGAACGGGATTCACAACCACAGCCAGAGCTGAAGAAACTGAAGTGCTTATGTTACACATCATGTTCCTCCCCTGCCAAATGTTGATTCCCAAATCACTTAAGAAATGCAAGAAAGCCAAAGCTCTTTCACCAGCAGGTCAAGCCACATCAGACAAATACAGTCCAGTAGTCCACGTGTGCCATTACACACTTGGAAAAAAAAATACAGCATTTCAAGAACTTTCACTCCAGTTTTCTTACTTCCCAAACTCTCCCACCACCTTGGTGAAACACTGAGGGGAGTTCTCCTGTCTCACTATTACTGAATATTTCTTTCACCAAACTCTCAGTCCTGTAGGCCATCTCCTTCGGATTTTTGGTTTTAAAACCAAATAACAGCAGTGATATCAAGTCCAATCCTCAAAAGATTCATTGTGTCTGCTGGGGGTTGCACATAACTGGCAGACACCAGCTCCATTTCACAACTGCTGGATGAGTGAAGTGAGTGTGACATATAGAGGGCAGGTGGTGGCAGTCAAGTGGAGTATACAAGCAGAGTCCCAATCTGTAGTTTCTAAGCTCCATAATTAGTTATTTTTCCACTGCATTCTCTAAATAATGTCATCAGGCCTTACAGAGAACTCATTATTCACTGCAACAAACAAGCTGGAAATAACATTCAATCCTATGGAGACCTGAGAGCTACGTTCCTGGGAGGGACTCGAGTCGCCGTGTGAAACCAACAAGAACCAACACGACACCTGGCATTTTCCAGCTAAAGTGGGCTGTTGCACACTGCTGAGCACAATGGCAAGATCTGCCTCTTAATTGTGCAGGTTTGAGAGTACAGAGGGGGGAAAAAAATAACACATATGTTGTCCAAATAAAGGACTTCTTTTATCAAGCATGAATGTTTAAGAGTAAGTGGGCATAATTTACATTTGGAAATCTTAAGTAAGAAAGAAAAGTTGCACAAGTTCTGTCCCAGCATCAGTTGTTCGGTCTGACAGGAGTGTAAAACCTTATCAGTACACTTGATTATTGAGATGCTTTATCAATATCAAATAACACTTTTTGAACATAGTGGTCTCCTTGACAAGATTTGTGTTTTTTTTTTTTTCTTTCAAAAAGTATAAATTCCCTAACTAACTATGACTGTACATAAAGTGGTGCTGGAAGAGCTGTAATACTAAATAATACAGACACTATAATAGTAAATATCCACACTTAGATTATGGGTAAATGTTGGTGATTTTCATACTGTGACAGCTTTTCAGTACATTAAATCCTGACCACATTATAACATGTCATTCAGCATGATTCTGCCATCAGAAAGCCTTATCATCCAGCACGTGAGTGTGGTCATTTACAGCTGCTGTTTACTTAATGTTTGCCTACAGTATTAATCTACTGAAATGGCATCACCCCTCGATATTCAATAGGAGTAATTTCAGGAAATCTAAATACAAGTTAACATAAACAGAAACATTTAACCTCCATATGAAATTCAGAGGTGGTGCCTGATTTAATTTTCAATTATTAAAGTTTTTTTTGACAAAACTGAAGTGTATACTTACACGTTAAAGTTGTAGGGTGTGTTTGATGGGAGTGTAAGACATTATTAGAGACATTCGGGGTTAAAGACTACACTCAGTCGATGCTGAAAAAAAGTTTCTTGGATAAGTCCCTCAATTTTTATTTCTTCCTATGACATGCCTTGTAAACTAACTTTTATTCTTTATTTTGTGCAAACACTGACTAAAATAAATGCTGGGGTTTATGTCATCACTTTCCACGCTTCATTCTCAGCCATACAAACACAAGATTTATATAAATGTTTAAATTATTGCTGCTTAAGAACTCTTAACTTTTCTTTGAATCAAAAGAATCAGTGTTATAAAATGAATGAAAAAAAATGAACTCTCTTTTCTTAATTTGTGTAATATTTTTGTTTTAAAAAGTTAAAGTTGTCCTAAACGTAGAGCTTCATGCTACCCCACCGTGTTAATCCTAAAATCAGAATGAGACAAAAAAGGTAATTTCTCCTACTTCTTTCTCCTGTATTGCTGTTAATCACTCAGACTAAGTTGTTGTGAGATTTTTTGAAGCAACAGATTTTGTTCACATATATAAAACTGTCTTTTTAAACAGAGGCAGGAAGAAAATCTCTGTATTTATTTTCAGAGTGAGCAAAGTGTAAAACAAAACAAACCAGCACAGATGTGAGGGTGGATAAGTGCTTATGCACAGATGCAGTAATATGAACAATCCAATACAGTTACAGTTACATACTTAATGATACATCAACTAGAAAGAGGCAATCAACACTCTTCATTAGTAACTGCTTGTAGACACTGGTTGCTAGTATATGTTTCTATTTCTATGAATGATTATAGTGATTGCTTTATTAGAATCTGTGAATGTAAATAAATACTTAAAAGAAGTTAATGAAATAAAGCTCTTGAAAACCGTTGAAAATTTTCATTTGAGGAATCTTGCAGTGGCCACACATCCAGAAAAGTGACAAGGCCCTGATTCAAAGCCAGTGCAAACATTTTAAAGAGGGTAATTAGTTCACAGTTAAAGCCGTAATCACCTAGTGATGAAGATGAAAGGAGCCAGGGGAAAACAAACTGGAAATGGGCTGGTACCATTCACCTCACAGTCGGATTCTAGAGGTCATGTGCTAAGTCCTGTTAAGAGCCTCAAAGGGCAAACATTAAGCATCAAGCACTTTTGTGTGAGTGTTTAGATACACAGCACACAAACATGAAAAATATCAATTTCACATTTGGTTTAACGCTTTCACACTTTGTGTCACTGACACCCAGAGAGGAGGGCTGTGGAAGACAAAACACAGCTCCTGGATAAGGATCATGTTAATGCCTATCAATTAGGATCAAAAAGGGATTAACTGGCATGGTTGCAGTGGTAGGATGGGGGCCCATGCAAAGTCACTGAATACTTGGGGTCACACCCCTGACTTCATTAGGCCTGACCTTTCCACACCATTGTGTGACAGGAAAGAGACCCTGCAGTCTGTGTTTCCTCTTTACCCATCTTACATGGCTTATGGAGAGTGGAGTATGAGACATGAAGAAAAGCTGTTAGAGATCAGTGAAAAATGAAATATTCACTTTCAAAGTCCAGGGAGACTTATTAGGTTACTCCAGCTATGTGCAGGTGGGTATTTACTCATCAGCCCCCAACCTCCCTGCAAAGGAAATCATTTTTTTTTACCTTAGAGAGAAGTGAGATTTACTAATTAGTCATGCTGCAGCCTCCCCTTGCTATGATGTACCGCGGGGTTGACGAGCTCAAACTCTGCCTTACCGTCTTAATTCACAAAAAGGTCAAATGGCAGAGAAAGCGCAGGTACTCCAGGTGTGTTAGAATAAGCCCCAATTAGGGAAAAATGCAAGAACACCCTCAAGACTCACATATCCAACTTTGAAGGAAAGTTTCAGTAAAGCTCCTGAAACTGGGGAAATTTAAATGCTTTTGGATTTGACAGAAATGTTATACAAGAAAAATGACAGAAATGAATAACATAGAATAAAGAACTTATACACTCAAACCCCTTTGCAAGAACATAATTTATACACAAAAGGGATGATGACAAAATACTGGGCTCTCTGGGTTCGTAAGAAAACACTAAAGTAGACTTTTTCTTTTCTCACAACTGTTGCTGTGACATTACTTTGACAACTCAGACTCAACAAGACAAGAGCCTGGACAAAACACACAAAACTTTACAGTTTGTCTTTGGGTAATTGTAACTAACATTAAGATCCCTTATCATGCCACAGTATCATTTAAGCTACCCCAGTTAAACAGAAAAAAAAACACATTGCAACTCAGAGGAGTGGAATCTTTACTTTACGTTTTAACCATGAATTGAGTCAGATATTCGAGCACAATGTAACGTCAGGATTAGATGTTTGTTTTTCAAGCTCTAAAATTCTTATATTCTATGTCAAACTTTATATTGCCATCATAGGGTTCCAAGAAAACTGCATCCTCGATGTTCTCAAATCAAAGCTCAGCATGGTTAGGTCTGTCGAAACCTCATCTGAAAGTGAGGCAGAGCGGGATAGGATGACTACTAAGCCATACTCAACAAGAGCAACCTCAGCAATGTTCAATTTGACTTTCTCCAAGTCCTTTTTTTCTTATTAAAAAATACAAATAATCACTGCATATATAATGCTTTTACATAACTGTTTGACTAAGTTTTTTTTTTTTTAGAAATCAGAAACTTTAGCTGGACTTCTCCCCCTCATTCCCAGACCTCAGTCCAGTGGTATGCGCTCAGGATTTCAGAATAAAGTAAAACAGCAGAAGTTCATCTCAGGCCAAAAGTTTCTTCCCAAAGAGTAAGTACTTGTTCAGGCTGCTGCTGGGTTAAAGCAGGCATGCAGCCTTGCACTGCCATCAAACAGTGGTCACCCAGGCCTACAGCTTTCTTTGTACCGTTTATGAGAGTGCTATAGAAGAGCACAAACCATTGAAAAGTCAGTGGTGGATTTACAGTCAAACTAAAACAGGAAGTATTGCTGAAGCTGTCAATGCAACACAACTGAGTGGGAGTGGGCATGCTTCATGTGCACATCTAGCGGTAAAAACAAAAACAACGTTATCAGAAATCTGCAGTAACAGAAAGTAAGTTATTTACTTACCTTTTGAAAGGCCCAAAATTAAGCATGATTTTGATATTTATCATTTACAATACAGAGCAATATCAGGGTGGCTACCCTCTCCTCAGAGGGATCTAAAAAATCATGAGATGTTGTAAAGTTGATACTGATATTTTTGCTGCACCTGAAAATCAAAATCCCTGCTCAGGCTTTAAGTGGTGTGTTGTAGTTCTGTTAATGACAAACAAAGGTCTGCTATCCAGGCTAAGATCTTGTTGTTCACAAAAGATCAATTTCATACCTCAGAAATTGTGTTTGAGCAAAGAACAAGATGTTTTGCAAAATCCACATGATAAACGAGTCACTCGTGTCATTTTTTTTATATTAGTGCATCATGAATACTGTAATAAAGGAAAAAGACTCAGCTGTAACTGATCGGCTCCAGTCTGAGGTCTAAACAACGAAAAAAAAATAGTATCTTGCCAAAGCTTCGACTGAAGTTTCAATAAGAGTATCAATGTTATACAGCCAGAGTTTCAATCATGATTCTGACTAAAGCAGGAGTAATTTAGTTTTCTTGATTACTACACAAGAAATGCCACACTGCTAGCGTGGATTCATGGGACTTGCAACAATGCAAAGGAAACTTTTCTTTTTGTTGTGTACCATCTATCAAAAGGCCAATAGATCTGAGAGTGCAGAGAAATCAATGACATCAAAACTCAAAACAGGTTTGGTATTTCAAACCTGACTCCACAACACATGGACAAACCCAACTGCTTTTTCTACTTTCTCTATTTCATGGCAGCAGAGCACAGGCCCAGCTTACTCTGTTACTGACAGCCACTGTTGTGTTATGTGGCATTAGTACACAGTCTGCCTGTCTCACAAAGTATCAACAGTGCAAAAGCAGATATTCAAGAAGGTAAAGGTCACCTAAACCTCTCAGTGGGTCAAGTTCGACAACGTGATATACAGCACTTTTGAATAATGCTGCAATGGTAGAATTTTAAACCTAAGCTTCAACTTACACCTATAGCTTCTTTATCATGAGGATATAAAGATTAATTTTTACTACCTTCAATTATTATATTATGACGCGAAAAAAATACTGCATTAAAAAAATCTTTGATTGCTTTAATTCTAATTAAGTGTAAAAAAAAACGTATATTTTGATGTGAAAATAATACTGCTTGAAAAAGGTTTAATTTTCATTAAGAGTATAAAAGGGCGAATACATTTCAATTTAATTAGTGAAACAATAAAATGGCATCGGAAAATCCTCAATTTTAAGATGAGCTCACTAGAAAATATTTGCTGGTCATAAATGTTAATATGAAACAAAATAAAGCGACATCGTTTTCATGTTGTTATTTGCCTTAGGTTAGATACCGAAAATAATACTTTATATTGAGATAATGTTTAAAATGCCAAATTGCATTTTGTTAAATTGATTTTATTTCTGTGTCTATTAATTTAAAAAAAAATTAAACGCAATCAAATTATATAGAAAGATACTTGTCTAATATTAAGTTTGAAAAAAATTCAAATTCTAAAATCAAAAGGTTTCACAATATTTTCTTTGATATTTTTCATTGAAGCACAGCTCTCACTTACTCCTGTTTAGGCAAAGTTCTGGCTTGGACACTGTTTGCTGAAAAAACTACTGAATAAACAGCACAAATCATGCACCATCATCTTTAATTTTTCTGCAAACATTTTCTCTGATATGATTAATGTTTTTGACGTATTTAAACACATTAACTGTAAATGCTGCTTCACAACGTTTTATTATAAATCACTGTTATTTGTTCCATCTAAGGTAGCTGTACGATTGTTTAAAAAAGGTACGAAATTTAAATAGAATATTTCAAAATAAAAACGCTAAAGAAAAATAAATTGCGCGTCGCTGATCCAAAAGTGTAAATTTTTAAATGCAATTAAAAACACTCCTTTTTTTTTTTTTTACACATGCATGATTATTTAGTTTCTATTTCCAAAACTGCACCCAAAAGTCATTTTTCCTCAAAAAAATCTGGCCCATTTTCCAACAGGATTTTTCGCAGTGAGTTCAGACTTCTTTTTCTAAATGATAACCCATCTCTTTTGCCATGCCTGAACCTAAAATGGACGCTGCTGGCTTTGAGTTATCGATGCTAGGCCTGGCAAAGGGTCACAGCTGTGCAGTTGTGCTCTTAGGAAGGATCGGGTAAATGGATCCATGTTTTGGCACACTGCCAGTAGGCTCCTTAAAATACAGTGAAGGCCTTGATTTAAAATATGCCACGCCAATGTCAAAGGAAACTGCGTCATTACGCAGCAGAGGCTGCTGAAATAAACAAGCCACCATTTACAACAGACAAAGGCAGGTGCCGCTACTGTGCCGAACAATGCTTTGAAGCATTCTTAAATTTTACTCTGTTTGTGCACAGAAATAAACCAAGAAATCTGTTCATTACAGCTCAGGCAGCATTAGAGCCCAGATGAAAGCCTGTTCTCTCAAGACCTCATCATGATGTTAGACCTCGTGACTGCACTGTGGGTGGAGACAATGAGCCAATAGAAATGCAGGATAAGAATTCAGAGCGCTTCTTGCATCAGCATTTTCCGGCTTAGCTTCAAGTGAAAGTTACAAGATCCATATCCATGGTTATCTTATGAAGAGATCACAAATGTATGTTAATAAAAATGATTTCAACTGACGAGTGAATGACAGCGTTGAATGTGATTAGCCATTTTTCACCATCACATCATGTTGAATTGGCGTTTTCAAGCTAGAGTTCAACCTCTGTAAATACTGGTGTGTGCAGCAGACTAATATTTCCCTCAGGCAATCACATTCTCTCACTGCAGCACCTTAAAGCATTCCTCAAATTGCTTTTCTCAGCTTTTAACATGCCCAAATGTGCTTTAATGAACAGGTCAACGCAAATCTTACCATTAGAGCGGACACACTGAAGTGTCGAAGGCGTGAAGGTATGACAGACTGCATGAATCCAAGGATCACCTGTGGAAGACAAAAGGGAAAAAATTATGGTAAGACACCACGGCAGCTTGGCAAAGTGCTTTTCGCAAAGACATAGAATCATATAAATACCGTAGAAAAAAAACTAACATAAGTAGTATTTCATTGAAATATGTTTTACTTTGCTCTGGGTCTGCACACTTAGCAGGTTATGCAATAAAGATTAGTGGCATTCAAAAGTTATTCTAAATAAATAGTATATTGTAAAGGCAAGAATCGCTAAAACAATTTAAATTCCAAAACTGTTTACATTACTATGCTTTCTTGAAAACAAACAATAGAGCCTGTTTTGTTTAAATTGCTTTAAATACTTTCAAACAGATCATATCTTATTTAAGTCGCCAAAAGAAAAAAAAGGAATTGCTCTACAGAGAGATTGGATTTACAATTCAGGGAACACATTTAGATAAAATAAGTCACTGATACAAAAAGGATTGAAATTCTAAAACAATTTTAGAAATGATTTCATGTTTTGTAATACAAATCAGGACGACTTGAGCCAAGAAATTTTTGACCAAAACCCTATTTTACATGTTTTCTTCCTGCTCTTAACTGTAATTTTGATCTTTTTTTTCAGGCATTGAAAAAGGTTTGGCAAAGCCTGCAAAGATATCCTGTAGTCCAAATGGCACAGTACACCTTAGTAAAATCAGCATAACCAGCGAGCACTTGAACACAATTAGACAATAAGACGAGACTAAAGAAGCTGTCTTAGGGAAGACGAGTATGCACTAAGTAGGAGATAATGAAGAGATCTGTCCAGGCTGGTCACTGATACAGCAAACAGATAAACATCACAGACTCAGTGAGTGAAACTAACTTGGGAAGTCAGAGTTATGCTGGAGGCACTTAAGGAGGCCAATGCTAATATTGCCAAAAACTACTGCGGCTACTTTCCCTTTTTAAAAACACAGGTGTTGCTTGGTACTAACTATACTATTCTAAAGCTTTGAGAAACACTGAGACTGCTTCACCAGACTGTAAATTTTACACAAAATGGAGAGCCGTATCATCTTAATAACTCTCATAAACACAAGTGATGACATAAACACAAGCGTCCCTGGCTATCATTACTTCACTTAAGTGACTCTACAGCAACAAGGCTTTGTTATCTGGCATTACAGGCCCGAGAAGAAACCTATTACAACTACAACTGAGATTTAATGCATCCATACTTAACAGATTTAGTTATTATCTGAGTAGTCCTAAATACGTCTATGAAAATGAAATGTACAGAGCAATAATTGGTCATAATGGGAAAGGACTTAATTATGATATCTCGTAAAAGACAAGAAAGAGTTTGTTATGTTTAGCTTAAAAATGTATGTAAATTTGTGTGTTTTATCACTGAGAAAACAAACTGCACATACCATATTTTAAAAGAAAAAATATTTCATGACCAAAAGATTTTACATAATATGCAGAGACAGCAAGGTTGCTCACAAAAGAGTTTCAGGGCACCCGAGGAGTGATGAATCAGACAAAATGGCTACCGCACACCCCAGTAGCAAACAATTATGAAACAACAGAGAAATAAATCAAGACGAAGCTACTCTCAAGTCAAAAAATTACTTAATAACCTGAGGATGCTGTCTTTTTTTTTTGTAAACATGTTAACCAAACTTTGGTGATGAGTAATCATCTCGATAAATTAATGATAAAAATGTTAGCAAACTCAATCCACGAGTTAACATTCACCGGCCGTTTCCTGTGCTAAGTATGCTTAAGCAGCTGCAGACTTGTCAAAATACATTTCATCGACATGCGTCAGATCAGATGTTTTTTTATGCTCACATCAACCTATATATGTCATGGGTTACAACAACAATGCTATAGCAGCCATCTTGGCCAAAAAGAGCAGACACTGAGAGGAGGGAGGAAGGCTCCCCCCAAGTCATATGACTACAGTGTCTGCAGACTACTGCAGTGACAGAGCAAAAGCGTCTAGACAGGTCGAAAGCAGCAGTCGATCAGGGACACTTGACCTCAACTCTTTTTTCAGTTCAAACATATATTTAACCTTTTACAGTTTCTATGTGATAAAAGGCAAATTTCAAATGATTTAAATAGGGAACAGAATTATTTTCAGGCTCTCAATACGTGTGGGGAAACTGTGGTGTGAATTAGATCTGGTGAAGATATTTGATGATTTCAAAGTTTTGAAAAAAACGCAAATACGCAGGGCTCTACAAGAAGAAAATGAGTTGAAAACAACTTCTCAAGGGTGACACTGCACCTAGATAAAAAATACGTTAACATACTTAGCAATTTCTTTAAATACAGTATGACAAATAACTGACTCAAATACTTCTTGAGATAATGGTTCAAAGAAAAAATATGTTTATTAAGTTGTTGTGGTGGAATATAGTCTTGTCAAAAGAGAGAAAGCAATGGTCTAACAAACCATCCCATCTGCAGCATCACTTCACAACTCTGACTCTTCAAAACTGAAAACACAACTCCTGTCAGAATCCACCAAGTGTACTGCAACTAACCTTTCTGAGCTGGCGCAGGCAGGCAGGCTGCATACTGGATGGTGCTCTCCTCTTGAACTCTAGGGCTGATGGCTGCTCCCCTGCAGAGCCTGAACAAGGACAGGAAAGGGCACATGAACATACCACACACGGTTCATTTAAGCTTACCTCGGGGCCTCACGTGAATTTATCTGTATTAATTAGCTGCACGTGTGTCTGACAGGGTATTGTTTTGTGTTTTGTTTCCAATAAGTGTTTTGGTGGCTTTGCTGGAAGGGTCAAATCAAGAATTGATGAGTCTACATTCAGCTAAATTCTCCCTCAGGTGTCTGCTGAGTAACAGGTAGCTCGAGCGCGCGTGGGGTTAATCAACAACCTCACGTCAGCAAAGGTGCGTCACCTGCGCAACCTCCTGAAGTAGTGTGAATGAGGTCGAGCCTTCAAAACAAGACAGCTACAGCGTGAAATTCTCCTTATAAAAAATTAAAAATACACCCGACTATCATGCGCATTATTTTCACAGCAGAACACAACCTGGCAAGTTGCAGTTTATTACCGTAGAGCCGGAATATTAACATTTAAGCTAGCGAGCCGTCTTTTTTTGACGAAAACGTGCGGCTAACAGTCACAAATATACATATTACAGCGAGTGTGTAACGCTACAGTATCAATGGTTTGCAGGCCAACTTGCACTCCGGCGTCTGCCTTACCTACCTGTACATAAAGAGCCGTCTGCTGACAGACTGCAGGAGAAAAAACTTTCACAGCGTTTGTCTAAAAATATTTCAGCCGAGCCTGGCGTCTCGAGGGCGAAGGCGTTTGAGGAGGTGAGCAAAAAAATACCATTTCCAGTAGGCGGCTTCCTCGTACAGGTTCAAACAGAGGGAAAACTCCATCCTCAATTTTATCAATTTCAGACAGACTCCAGACAGTCTCCCAACGGTTACGTGCCTGCTTGTCCTGCGCGTGCACGTCAAATGGCGCGGGAAGCAGCGATAACAGATCCAGAGTGACAGCGCCGGCAGCCAATCGGAAAGAGCAGCCAAATCTAGTATCCAATCACAATGGCCAATGAGGATTAAACCCCGCCTCCCTGCCTCCTCTTTACCCGTCTGTTGACAGAGCACTGAATAAAACAACAGCCTGAGTTAAACAGTTCATTGCACTGAGATGTGGGTCACTGACTGCAGACTATTCTCTGTGGGAAAATTACAGGGTGTTATTTATTACAGAAATATTGTGTTACCTCGAACCTGTTGGTGAATTACACAGTTGATTTGACGCCACGTTGCTTTGAATCAACTTGCTAAAATACTCTGAATTCTTTTTACACTTTGAAATTGCCATGTAAATTAACTTGAAAAGCTTATCAATATGACACATGTTTACAGTTAACTTATGCAACAGCCAATTTATCAGCACATGCAAGGTAATTATTAAGTTACACTTGACTAAATTGTCTCTTACTTTAATGAGACTGCTTCTCAAAACTTTTTTATTGCTGGGCAAACAGCAAAAAATATATATCTTTATTATTATGCATAAATAGGGGGGTATGTTATGGAAATCTAACTAAAATTGGTTCACGAGTATCAAATCAAAAAGCTACAAGATGTTTCAGGTGACATTTTACTTCATCCTAAAAAAGCAGCTGAAACTTTCATAGAGAAGTCTCAGATGTATTTAACATTCAAACCAAATACATCATTTACTGCTTTAAATAAATTATTTACAAGATTATATAACTCAGATCCACAACATGGATGCCAAGCTCCAGTACCATTTTTCCCCAAATAGTTGCTGATCTTTCTGAGTTCAGGAACTCATTGTCCCTCACAAAACAACTTCCAAGTTGGATTTGAATTGTGTCAAAGAATACACGAGACGTACAGACAAGTTTGTTGTAAAGACCTTCTGTCCTTTGAGTGGAAAATAACAAGTCTTGTCTCCTTCTGCTTTGCACCCTTTAATTTGCATTGTTATGGAAAACCGCTGGATTTGGACAGGGCACAGTATCATTGAGGTCACCATAATAGAGTGTGACAGCTCCCCTTTCACATCTATTTGGAAGTAAAATCAAAATTCCTGGGAAAGTGAATCCAGGGAGAATAGAAATATCCCATCTAATTTTAAAATCAGTTGTTGAATGTGAATATCAAATACAGTGTGGAACAGATATTCACATTTAACTGCAACTGAAAAACTGATTAGATGAGTTTGGCATGTAACTATGAATACTTATCTGATTTCCTTGAATACAGACATAACTGCACTTCAAGGTTGTTTCATAGAGATTTCAGTTCATGGAATAGTTGTGTTTCATATTACTCTAAAACATGGAGAAAAACATTTTCAAACTCAACACTTTGTCTGTACAAGGCTCTTGTCTGTACAGTCCATTAGAATTCACAGACTGTCTTTCACTAGGAAAGCCCCTTTACGCTTTTGCAAATTAAAAATCTCACGGCTGATCCCCTCCATCGCCCTGGCTTTCAGATATTGACCTTGTGGTGCTACAAAATAGCTTCTTCCTCACTGCGGGACCCCATAATGAGCCAATACAATGAGGCTCCACTTCACTGCGCACCTCTCTTTGGTGTCTCTCGGGGTCTTTGTTGACGTTTGTCAGCCCAGGAGGAATTTGGGGGTTGGAAATCTGCTGAAGTCTAGCTGGAGACTCAGACAGCAACTTTGACTCCCACTTAAGCACAAGGGAGGGTAAAACTCGGTGAGATACTGTATATGAAAATGAAAAATCAAAGAAGTGAATTAAGATTAGCAGCATGGTGAAATTCAGACTAAGTCAAGTGCTTATACATACAGCATCTTGCCTGTTGTGCCATTTCTGGATCAATGAATGATTGTTTGTTCAAATTTAGACCAATTTCCAGGCTCCAATGCATGTAAAGTATTATTGTGAGTTGAGCTGTGTGGTGGTGTCAAAATCATGCCATTCAACAACTACAACATTAGATCTGACCGGCAACTTGGTTATGAAACAGGCTCCAGTGTTTCTCATCTTTGGACCCAAATTGGAACAATTCATTTGACAGTCACTCCCACACTACTGGGCTAGAACTGGATAGCAATGCAATGATTATATGTCCATATAAAATTTTGTCTTCCATGTGGTAGCTCTGAATGAAAGATCATAATGTTGGTACATATTTTGGGGTAATAATAAAATCATACTAAGTTAAATCATATGGCAGTCAAGGTGTAGTTGTGTTGTTGTTTTATTTGTCCAAACTTTCTTCTCCACCTGAATCTCTAGCATTTTTTTTTCATTCTGTTCTGTGGAGTTTCTGTCTCTTAAAACAAATGTGAAAATATTCTTACTAAGCCAAAAACTTGTACAATAACTGTGAACAACTTAGACCATAACTTTTGTTTTCAGGATCTTTTACAGCTGACTGTGACCACAAGATATAAAACAATGTGATTCCAGTTCACCCAAGAGCTATTACACAGTAGGAATGACATTGCCCACCAATGGGTCTGCTGATATACAGTTTATTTCCTTCATAACCTGCAGCCCTCTTCTACCAATGTGGCGTAAGTTTACAGACACAATATCAAATCAACTGAAAGTCTACTGCAAGTTTAATCATATGGCAGTCAGTGTGTAGTGGTGTTGTTGTTTTTTTTGTCCCAACTTTCTTCTCCACTAGAATCTCTAGTATTTTTTTCATTCTGTTCTGTGTTCTGTTCTGTCTCTCAAAGCAAATGTGAAAATATTCCTGCTAAACCAAAAAATGTACACTGACTGTGAACAACTTAAACCATAAATGTCGCTTTCAGTTTGTGATTTCAGTTCACCCAAGAACTATTACTCAATAGGAATTATATAGCCCACCTATGGGTCTGCTGATATACAGTTTATTTCCTTCATAACCTTTATGGATAAGTTTATGGACACAATATCAAATCGAGTGAAAGTCTACTGCAAGTTTGAATAGTCAAACACAAGCCCTAGTGAGTAAACATTTTTTTAATCCGTGCAGCTTGAGACAAGAGACTGCATCTACATTGTTGGAGTTTGTTTTCTGTCTGATTTGCAGCTCGCTTTTGTGCTGCAAACCGATCGGGGGAGCTGGTGTTTCCCTCCCACAATGCATCATCGCTGCAAATACAGCTCCGCTGCCATGTTTGCACTCTGCCTCTGGATGGAAATCGTTGCCGCATAGACACTTTTTCATTTCATGTCTCTCGATTTCGTCCGTCATCATGGCGATATAGTAAAGAGTAAATGTCCTCGCTGGTTTTATAGTCGGTCTTTGAGCAGGACACTTCTTGCACCATGTCAGCCAAGGCTCAGGGTGAGTAATATTAGCAGTTATTGTCGACAGCTCAGTAAGCTAACACTGCCTGACTCCTTTCTCTGAAGACACGACTGTAGGCCTCAGACCAGCTACAGCAAAAAATAGCTTAAATTTAGACCTGCGTTTGGGCGATACTGTTGAAGAAAAATGTCGTTGAAACCAAAATGTAGCAGCTTTATTAGCATTGATCCGAAAATCTGCCTCTCGTGTATTTATTCATTGGTGTGTGTTGGGCAGGTTGGACCAAAGGCTAACCTGGATGCTAACGGTAGCTTTGTTGTGAACAGCTGAATATGGTTAGTTTATTCTCGCTAGCTGCAGCTATCCAACTTTTATTTCACTGTGGAAACGTTACAAATATGACTTACTTGCCATTCTTGAGAATAAATGACCGTAGAAGTGATTTAGTATATGAATTTGGAAACGAGGTTGTCAAGCCTAGGTCATTTAGCATAAATGAAAGCTAATGCTAGCCGCCATAACATTACCTATAGATGCTGTTGCTGAACTGGTTTCATACTTGGCACAGGTTAAAGAAAACACGTTAAATGATCGGTGTATTTAACTGAGTCAGTTGTAAGTTAGTGTTGTTTTAACCCTCGCCGCTTATCGACTGGTTTGTTATTAAACTCACTAAAGATCAAGTGTGTAAGGGCGGCGAGATATGACGCAGTTCAGTGAGTGTGCATCGATCATCATCGCACGATATTGGAAAATCATTGATCATTAACCGCTGGCAGGAGACAGTTTACACAACCAGCCAAAACATTATAAACCCTTTTAGACCATTTCCACCATTAACTGTAATTTTAGGACACTGTTAATCTTGAGTTTTTGATGCCATGGTTAGACAGATGATTGTTGTTATTGCTTGTCATTGCAGGTTTTGTGGTTGGTTGTCTTTGCTTGCTCAGGTGTTCACAATGTTGTTGATGATTCGTGTACATTTCTTGGTTTTGTATATATATTTATATATGAATGATTGGAGACGTAATTTTACTGCTTTTCTATCAGTTTGTGGATTTGATTAAATCGAAGCATGACAAAGTTTGTAAGCTCTGGGTCTGTTCCTTACTGAGTTTGATTGTAAAGCAAGCAAAAGCGATTCTCTCTGTTTTTCAGGAAATATTTTCTGTAAGAGAAATAAGGGAACCTTTTCAATAAGATTTTTAAAAATTTGTGCAACTGAACGAACAGTTTCTCAAAACAGTAGACAGGTTTCTTGTGTACAAACAATTCTAGGTGCGCGCGCAATCAGGGGGCAAACAAAGCCTGCTTCGAAGAGAACTGATACCAATGAATATGCCGTATTGTTTGCAAGTTCTCCCTGACCCAATTGCAACAAAATGTTGTTTCATTGAAAAATCGCTTTGTCTTTCATCGCATCAAAACCAGAAAAACACTTATTTATATATTTTCTATATTGTATATATATATTACCTTCTTTCTTACAACTATTTCTACGTTTACTACCTTAATTTCACTTGTCTATTGCTCTCCAATCTAGTTGTACTTTTAGTATAATGACAATAAAGGACATTCTGACTTGCTGAAATGTCCATGAATTTCACTCAATTTACCAGGTTGTGACGTTGTTTTAGATGTTCCTTCTGTCAGGAGCAGGGTTGTAATGTTTGTTGATTGTTTGTTGTGCCGATTCATGCAGTTTACAGCACAACAGCTCCTTGTCATTTTCTTTCTCCATTGACTCCGCTAGTAAACAAATAAGAAATGTCCCACTTTCTGCCCCCCTGGCTGCGCGCACCTACCTGCAATGACGTTGCACAGAAATCTGTCTATAGCAGGGCTTACATCACTCTAAAATAGTACGATTTTTTTTCATCATGAGTGTTTCTTGAATTTGGGTCCTTGGCCTAGATGAGAGAAATAACAACAAAAATGATACAAGCGACAACAACCAATGTATGAGCACTGTATAGAGACTCATTGTATCATAGTCAGAGCATCACTTTCTGTGCCCACGCCACCATGAGCTCTATATACAGTACTTGTGTGTTAGGATGTCGGCATCACTATGTAATACTCCACCTAAATGCTAGTTGGCAGTGCAACTGATGTAGTTATGTTGCAAGGCACATGGACCTAAGACATCGAACAAGGGAACGATTAAGCAGAAAGGCAAATGATGTTGATGGCTCAAAGTCATAGACTGTATATAGAATGGACGCCATCTGCCTCCTCGCTGGGTGAAGCCACTCCGAGAACGGCACCCTCTGGTGACGGGCTGCAATATAGGTCATAAATCCCGCCTCTGCCAGCAAAGCTTATGGAGCTGTGGACAAACTTTAGAAATTTATTACACAGAACATACATTTTTTTCCCCCCTGCTTGCGATTTTGACATGTAGTTACTGTAAGACTGGTTTGTGCTCAATGTTGGTTTCAGGAAATGGAGAAAAAAACGTAGAATTGCAGAGAGTTGTTTGGCTTCAAATCTGTATACTGGCGGAAGGCCGAACCAAGTTGTCCACAGTACAGACAGTCTATGCTCGAGGTAGTCTGTACCGGTTCTCTTACACAACTGGTTTTCGATTGCCATCCCTCTCGTAATGTGACATGTAAACTGAGTTCTGAGAAGAGGATTCTGGCAGACCTTGTCTGGCAATCAATAACTTAGCTAAACCCTTACTTAATCCTATATTATATTTGGCTTTCCCGATGATGTTTCAAACATTTCTCAGCCCAAACCGATTGCCTAAAGGTGTAGCGCTCAGTGAAGGGCTGCAGCTGTGCACAGGGGTCTTGGAGAAGCTCTCTATTAGATCACACCCATGGTTTGATGAAATAGGTTGATTGATTGATCATATTGCTGTGGAAAATATTTGGTTTAAATGAATATCACATCTGATATTGTTTTGGCCATTACAAAAATCTCATTTTTTTCTACGAGTAATTTGGCTCTTACTTGCCTCCATTTAAAGGTAAAATATTTACGCCCCTCTTACACTTTTTCTGCAACGTGTAACAACCAAAGGAGTAACAGTGAGGTGAAGTCATTCCGCCTTTGATTCCCACACAGGGGTAGCAGTAACAGAGGCAGAATGGGTGGTAGGGGGTGGTGATGTGCAGCGTCAGAGCTGGAAGCGTGGAACAGTGCTGTGTGTACCAGCATGTCTGGTTGTGTGTGTATGTGGAGCACTTGCTGTGTGTTTACAAGCCGTGCCTCTAGTGTTTACGTGGGGAGCAGTGTGTACATAAAGAGGGGTAATGATGAGGGAACTGCATCCCAGTGCATTTGAAGAATTGAAGTGTGTAAGAGGCAGTTGATTAATGTTTCCAGGGATTGATCATTGAGAATACTTTGAATTTGCATCCCTATCATGCATCCAGCTTTAATTTGTCATGTGCCTCAGAAATTGTATTGAATTAAGTAACACATGGCATGCTTTGGGATACAGAGCTGATCTAATAAGAATTCCTCTTGACATTTTAAACAAGATGTATTGCACTATTGACCAGCTTTTGACTCCCTGGTCTTGTACAAGCTCATTACAGACAAATTGGTACCAGCATCTCTAATTTTAGTGTGCTCTAGGTTAAATATGCAAATATGCATTTGATTGCATATTTATATTCATATGATTTTTTAAAGTATACATGTTTACATGTCATCTTGGGTTGTTGGTATACACCGTCTTTAAAAAATATTAAATTTTGATACTGAGCTCAAATGAGAACACGGTAATACAATGTAGCTAATTGGTTCACCGTAAGGGATAGTAGTGTGTCTGTATGTGATTTTCTAAACATCCTGCTGTACGTGAGCTGCAGATGAAGATACTACAAGTAAACTCTGAATCTAGGCTTCTTTATCAGTGAGTGAAGGTTGTGTGGTAAACACTCAAGTGCTGTTGGTGACCAGTATGCAAGCCCAAGGCAACAGGCTTCACAAATGGACCAATGAGCGAATGACTGTGTACAGGAAGTGCCCATGGGGGTTGTAGTGTCCTGGCATCACCAAGAGTTCACGACTTCGGATGCCCTTTAGCCTGCCAGTGTGGCTGGTGGGAGTGCCCGTGTTACCCACCATGGTTGTGTTGTTGATGCCCAGAGTTGGTTCTCAGTATCTCATAATTTTAGATATTCTTAGATAATGTCATTTTTCTTTTTCTTTTATATATAGAGCAGATTTAACAAAACCTTTGAGTCGTCAAATCAATGGATCTAAATTCCTCGTTTTTCCTTCCAACAAAAAACGCACTTTGGGTGACATTGGTCATGACTAAATTTTTCCCATCTGAAATTGTTATTTGTCTGCAAAATCCTCAACCAGTCAGTCTGTAATCTCGTGGCTACCGGAAAGAGTAATATTTATTTTGAATTTTCTTAATTTTTCATTTTTAGAGGCTTTCAGTTTTTCTGTTGGGTGACTGTCTTAGTACAAGAACCATGGATCCATTTGTCTGTGCCCTCTTTGTAAGATGGAAAACTTGTCATCATTCTGTCTTGTGTTTAAATAATGGGATGTTCTTTGATATTCTCAAGTGTATCTTTTAAGGTTTAGCAATTGTGAGCTATAAGAAAGATGAGTTACCAGGTCTAATGCTTTGTGCATCGGGCTTATTATAATTCATTTTTATTTCTTTGATGGGAGCAGAGTTTGTGTAAACAAAACTGTCTTTCTGTTGCAGATTATGATTTTGACGAATATGACAAACCGGGTGCTGAGCGGTCACGCAGGAGGAGAGGTGAAGAAGATGACCTGGAGAGGTAAACCATCTTTTTATGGTTTTATACCTCTGCTGGAAGAGTGCTGCTGTGTAACCTGCGGGAGGTTGAAAATATAGACAGATTGTGGGCACCATTTATTCCCACTCTGTGAACGTACACTGTAAAAACATACTTTTAAGACACATAAAAAAAAAAAATCTTCAAAAATGTCAAACTTTATTGGTTGAATAGTGTGTTTGGCTTATTTCAGGTTATTTTTTCTTTGCTTCTAAGAATACTTGAGGCCCCAGTTTAGCATTTTTCATAAAAAACAAGGAAAATGTGATCGACTGTGGGGGAATACTGATTCCTCTTTTAGGCTAAAGTGATGTTTTGGTGTGTCAGTCAGATATAAGGGTTATGTTAAGTCAACATGTAGTTGTTCTATTGTTTGCCTTACACACAAAAGGACCACAAATCTCACGTTTAGGATCTGATCAGGCCTTTGTGTCAATTGAACTCTGATTACGATGGAGAACAATTATCATTTGCTCACCATTGGCTTAGCCAACACCTGTGTATCTGTGCACAAGCTGCTCCTGCAGCGTGTCTCATGTAAGTAAGACAAGACAAACAGGGAGCGTGGGTGAGGGTCTACATCTTCATTTTTGGAGCCAACACTGTGTTGTATAACAACATTTGTGCAATATGGCCAGTGTACAGATAGGTGGGATTTGGTACTGCTGTTAAGCTATCACATGTCACATACGGGCACCAGCTGATATGATAAATGATGAATGCAGACATAGTGAGAGCTAGAGGACAAAAGCAGAGCACTGTTTGATACAAATCAGCCGTATACTGAAATGTCAACATTTTACCACCCATTAGCTTAAAATTACTCATAAATATTATACACATGAATGAACTGTTCACGGTACCATGAGACACGGCACAGGGATTAATTTTCAACAAACTTAAACCTTTTTATATAAAACTAGTCAAATCTGTCGATAACAACACTTTCATCTCAAAGAGAAAAGAGAGGTCTTCAAAAGCACCTACAGTTACGCATAGTTACATTCAGATATATACAGGCTTGACTAGACACAGCCAGCATGCATTTTTATGTCCATTTTCTAAAAACTTTATTTAACTTGTGCTACTGCTCTGACTAGCAACAGTGACAACATTGAATATTGCCAAACATACTTTTGTTAATCGAGGATAGAGAGAAGTAAAGTATCATCATCAATCTATAGAGGTATAAAGGAATTGCAAAAGATTAGCTTTTAATAACACTGTTGCCATTATCGATTCTGTTTATCAATTCCTGTGGATTATGGTGTTTGACTAAAGTTGGCTCATACAGGTTTTCTGTGACAACGCAATTGTTATGAGTTTTCATTACCTTCACTGTCTAGCTAATGATCCCTGTGGGATAGAATAGCCTCTGGGTGCCGTAGAAACACAGGGACTACTGCAGAAAGCTCACAGTCTTATAAAGTGAGGGATTTTTACATGAGGTCAGTGTGTCCTGCTGCTCTGATTATAGAGCAGACTTGTAGACATAACAACAGTATTACGTCATACAAATGGATTAGATGACTTTTATCTTTAGCGTGCCATGATAAAATTCCTCAACTCCTTAGTTTCTGCCACATCATTGTTTTGCAAGGAGCCCTGAACTTAGAGGAAGCCATCGATCAGGGAACGGTAAAGCGTCAAGGCCAAATTACGTCACCGGCCTGAACTAGTTGGAACTGTTTCTCATCCGGTTTTTGATTCACATCCCTACCAGTCCTCCAGAGATATTTTTCTTGATAATTTTTTTGAAGACTTGATCATGACAGGTGTTGTGGAAGATCAACATAACTCAGTAAAATAATGCACAGGGGACAGGATGAGATCTGAAGAGCAGCCTGGATGTCGTTTATTGTACAGATGTAGAAATCAGTACAGATGACAAACAGAGTCTTGACCGAACCCAAGGAAAGCCTCTTGCTTACAACCTCCCAGTCATGAGGCTGCATAAGAAGGCCAACCCAGCTTACTTGTAACCCCTTAATAAAAGATAATCACTCTATATTTCTTTACCTAAATGTATGGAAAGATTCTACTTCACAGGCAGCATCCAAACGCACAATGCCATAAAGTCTGCAATTTCATCTGACTCAGCTTAACCTGTTCTTTGGTTGTGACTTCTCCTCAACAGTGATTTGGAAGAGGAGTTACTGGAGGAGGATTGGCTGTCAGGAAAAAAGGTAGGAAAAAAAGCCAGCTCAGTCTTACTGCTTTTTTTTGTGCCGTTTAAAAGGACCTAAGGTTGCTTTACCTGAGTTAAAAAAGTAAGGAGCACACAAAGAACTTAAGGGGCACAATGAAAATTGATCAAATAATGTTTGTCTTATTGGTCAACATAAGTACTACTATTTGAAATCAATTTTAGGTCTTTTGGTCACATGACATGGAAGCTATTAAAGAACATGTTCAAAATGTACCTTTTATATTTAATAAAAAATTTTTAATGACAAATCAGGGAAATAAAGCAGTGTGTCTTATTGGTCGATATAAGTATCATTATTTGAAATCAATTTTAGGTCAATTGGTCACATGACATGGAAGCTATTGAAGGAAAATAGCCTTTTTTGAGAACATCAACTGGTAATTTATTGATGGTCCCTTATTCAACACCAAGTAGATTTTACCACGTTGCTGTTACTACTCTCCCAGTTATGGAGAGAAAGAAGACACGGGTAGATCTGCAGTGAATGTCCGTTGATTATCCGACCTAAAACTAACTTCACCGTGGTATTTACATGAAAAAACATTTGTTGCCTCGGCAGGCTTTTTTATAGCACATGTGCCCCTAAATACATTTCACAATATGCACACATCTATGTTTAGTCCCAAATGCGAGTAAAATGGTCGCTCTGTCGAGCCCTGATAAATGTAATAATTATGAGAAAAGGACTGAGACAGGTGAGAAGGTTTTAGGGTCCAATGGGAGCGTCATGGGAGGTTGTAGGTTGTGATGAACTTACATTTTTATAGCTGGTACATCAAAACACTTTGGCTTGCCAGTGTGGTTCCTCTGCACATGGACAGGAAATGATACCTAAACCATTGGGTGTTAGCGTTGGTAGAACATGTAGAAAATAAAAGTGCAGTGCACTTGAAGCAGGTGGCTCCTCCACAGGGGGAAATGTTGATGTGAACCAGGAGGAAGTACAGTGGACAAAAAAGAGCCTTGTTGACCTGCCCAGATTGCCTTCACCACATGGGAATAGAGCATCCTTTGGGGTGGGAGGTGGTCCCCTGCCCCCACACCTCACATACTAACAAACAGCAAAGGAAGTGCAGTGTGAAATTAAAAAAAGAACAGACCATAATGTGACTGTACTTTTGTATCAGAACCCCTCAGAAGTGTCTGATGAGGAGCTAAATGATGACCTCCTGCAAAGTGACGATGAAGATGTGGACATGAGGTGAGCTAGTTGAGAAAAGTTTTGGAGTCTGTAATTTTTTTTGTAGATTTAAAGCTGATTAAAGTTCAACATACAATTGATCTCATTATATCCTGACACGTAATGTTGCATTTCTGTTTTGCTCGTTTTCAGCGGTCAGGAAGTCAGCCTCAATGCCACATATAGCTTCGGCGCATCCTATGAGCAGCAGGGCAACTCACAGGAAACAGACTACACAGATGACGTGGTGAACCTGGGTGCAGAGGGCTGTGAAGAAGGGGATGTCGACGAGGAGGGGGGCTACCAGGAAGAAGGGGGGGAGGAGGAGTACACGCAGGACTACAGCCAGGATGAAAACACAGAGATGCACGGAGACCAAATGGATTACACAGAAGAGCAGGCTGAGGGTGACGACGGTTACCAGGATGAAGTGCTAGACATCCAAATCAATGAGCCTTTAGATGGTGAATTTCAAGTGAGTTCTCACATTTGCCTACTCACACTAAAAGCTCCACAAACACACACACACACACATGTCCTCCCACTCCCTTTCTGTCTGACTCTGTTGTGTCTCAGAGATAATGTCAGTTTTCTCGTCTCTGTAAAAGGACAGTCAAGATTGAAAATCCATTCAGGTGAAGGAGATGTTGGTTGGCGTTTTTGGGCAGGAGAGGATTAGATTCATTATCACCCCCTGTCAGTTAATTTCTCCATCTTGCTGACAAAGTTTGTGTTGACAGCTTGTTTGGCATGAGGTAATGCTCTGCTGTCGCCTTCACATCCCCGCGCCTTTGTGACCTTGGGCGCTGTATCTTTGAGGGAGTAAGAAGCTGCTTTGTGTCGGGGAGATGTGCTGCCAATCGGCGGAGGTTAATGTGGGGGGCTTTTATCTCGGGCTTTAGACTGGATCTGATAAAGTCTCATGCAGGTGAAAAGATTATTGACCTTCCCGAGGACACCCCATACAGTTTTCTAATGATTGATGCGAGTTTTCCTTTCATTCGTTTCCCTTCCCCTCTTAGCCGGGACTAAGAGGATCAAAGATAAGACCAGATCCATGTGCAAATGTCCGTTATGGTCCATTTACCAAGGTGTGATGGTGTTTGGCACCTGACAGAGATATATTAGCCTTCCTCCTCTTTCCAAACAAAGATAAGATGTTGACCTTACGGAGGGCGTGTGGCACGAGTGGGTGCTTATTTTGGATTTTGTGGAACGTAACGTTTGCAGGCGTGTTTGTGTGTGTGTGTGTGTGTGTGTGTGTGTGTGTATTATGTGTAATAACTGTTTACAAGGTCACTAACCTGCCTGGCCTTGACATTTTGCTCGCCACGGTATTCATTGAGTGCTATGTGGAACAGTTTAAAGGATTAAGCGGTTGTGTTCCCTTGAGGCTGCCTGTCCATCCGTCTGGTTTGCCGAGTGTTTTTTTTTTTCTTTTCTGCATTAATATGTGCTGCTGTTTGGCAGGTTAATGGAGCGCAACACCAAACACTTCGATGTGACCTACAGTCTGACCTTATTTAGCAATGAGTTTTTGTTTCAGGCTGTTGTGCTGATTGGTTGTTTGACTCACCAGTGCCCCATATACCATTAGAAGGAGCGATTGGGTTAACTGGGGCAACGTAAATCTGTAAAGCAAGCATCACTCCTCGAAGAGAATCCCCTTGAATTTCTTTGTGTAACAGTAAAAACTGATTTGTCATCTCACATAATGTTTATGCCGGGGTGATGTTTTTGGCACGGAGTCATGAACTTGCAGGGCGGCCAATAACAGCGTGATTTGCGAGGAGTCAAGTCAATGATATTTTCACCATCACTGAACTGGGGAGAACTGTTTTTATCTGCGCCTGCATTTCTGTATATCATGTCAAACATTTACATCTCATTGAATTTCAAATGCTGTCAGGAATAGTAATGAAGCCAGGCTCCCACTGTTATGGTAATTTGGGTTGGGAGGAGGGCTTGCATGGTGTCTCCCCAAAATCCTCTGTGTAACATTTTAATGTTTGCCTTTGTGCTTTTTAAGGGTTTTTAAATAAAAAGGTCAAATTTCTTTAAATCCTTAATATGATTTTAATAATTAACTGAACCTCAAATGGTTTTTACACATCCATATTTCTTAACATATTCCCTTGAATGTCAGTCGGACTCATCCATGTATGTCTTGTGTTTATATGTATAGCTCCTGTTGTATACTGCAGCAGCACTGCCCTGCAAAAACAGATGTCATAATCGACGGTTATTCGGCAGTGGCGAAATCACAGTCAGCTGTTTATGATCCTTCTCAAAATATTTGTCTAAATCTGTCTTATCCATGCACTCTTTTTAGGACGATGAATATCAAACCTCCTATGATGAGCCTCTGGGCGAACACGAAGTCCAACAGGAGGCCGCCCCAGAGGAGGAAGCGGGGGTTGAGGGAGGGGAGGGAGAGCAGCAGGAAGAGGAGGATGAAGATACAGCCGAAGGCTCCCAGGTCCCTGACATAGACGAGGTATGCTGGGACCCCTATATCAACAACGCACTTCTTCTTTTTGGTTGATAGTCATTGATTCCCACTTATTTTACAGGAGCAGATCTGGTTACATAATATTATATTTTATATTTGAGCTTTTTATTACAGCTCAGTGGAGTGATTTGGGGAATTTTTGGTGTTCAATATGTTTAAAATATTTTACATGTCTGCTTTCCTGATGTATTTCACAGTTGCTTAAGATGTTTTCAAATCTCTTGTTTTGTTTGACAGCGTATTCGCATAGGGAACAAAGAAAGCAGAATATTTCACATATTACAGATACATACATATCATAACATTCAAGGCATTTTTCCTTAAAACACACAGATTAAATTCCAACAACTGCATAGGAGAGCAAGTTTGGCCCTACTGACCCTAAACTGAAACCAGCTGTCCTGAGAGGCAGTAGTGAAGGATGTGTGTGTGTGTCATCAACTTTTGTTTTTAATCCTCTAAAAACGTCTCCAGGGGGAAAATGAAGCTGTGCCTGAAGATGAAGCAAAGGACGAATCTGATGAGGAGGATGAAGAAGACGAAGAGTCTGGTCGCATACGGTTCAAATCGGAGAGAAAAGAGGGCGCTGTTGCACGGTTGGCTGATGCAGGCAGTAAAAGGAGGAATATTCCCGAAACACTTGGTACAACTTATTTCTGCAAGCATAATTCATCCTTTACTTTGAGAAATTCAGAGTAGATTACTTCCTTGTGCTCTGTCAAAAATCCTCATTGTCTTCTTTATTTTTGTTCTAAAGCTGGAGCTTTTTATGAAGGTTATTGAAGAAGTGAACTTTTTCTCATTAGAATTATCAGAGAAGGCCAAACAAGACCTGCTGCAGTTTGAGGAACAAGAACGGCAGAGGAAACAAAGCCGTTACGGAGGCAGAGGCAGAGGAGGAGGAGGAGGAGGAGGAGGGCGAGGAGGCAGAGGAAGAGGAGGCTTCCAATCCTTTGGAATGGCAGATTTTCGAGGAGGAAACAGAGGACGAATGAATGACCAGCGGATCCCTCTGATGGGAAACATGGGCATGCAGGTAAGCTATTATTATCTACCACCTAAACAATGCCTCACGTCTCCCTCCCTTCACCTGCCACAGGCAAAACAAGGTTTGTCATCTTTGTGCCAGATGTTTGGTTGTTTGCTGCGCCTTTCTTCACCGTCTAAGACCTCCAGATCCATCGCCAATTGCACATGTAAAATGTCAGAACACTGTCCCATATCAATGTTGATATATGGATTATGGCAGCATTTGGCAGTTGTCCATTTAGACGGCATTAAACAAAATCGGATTTGTTCTTTGCCTGGGATTTAGTTCCTTGTGGGCTTTTGTTATTAGATACCTTTCCAAGCATTTAATCCTTTGATTTACATGGCTCATCTGGCTCATCAGGTCATACAAGACTATTTGAAGGACTAAAAGGAAAGCCACTTTTAATGTGTTACCTTAAAAAAGTGGCGGAGGAACTCGCCGGATGTTTCCACATTTTAAAGGTTACCAAAGAAACCAAAGAAGCGTGCTGACATGTTGAAACACCAGTTCACCATTGTGTATTCTCAAGGCAGAGTTTAACCTCAGCTCATTATTCTTGCGATTTTTTTTCTTCACTCATTTAACGATAATAGGCCGTAAAATTGAAAACAAACAGATCCAGACTGTAAATGAAATTTAATGACAGATGGCCGACACGCCGACACCACAAACATCCTGCTGACTGCTGTTAATGAGCTCGTACTTTTTACACCATACTGCAGATTTAACCACTGGACTAATTTGGTCACTGTTTGACGACTGTTTGTTTGTTTGTTTGTGTATTTATCTGGTTGTTTGTTTGCGAGGTGAAACAGATAGACTCGCCAATTATCAAGGAGCAATTTGAAACATCACCTGTTGTTATTAGTGTTCATTTAGGAGTTTGTGCGTCACTGGGTGATGATTTCCAATAGTGGCAGACAGCAGACTCTTGGTTTTGGTCTTTGTTTCGAAGTTGTTCTAACACTGGTTCACTTCAGGAATGTACATTTGATGCTTCAAGAAACTTTGGCTTTGGTCTTTAGACTTAAAAAGACTTTTAAGTAAAACGTGTGCTTTCAATCCTCAGGGGAGGCTTTGCATACATTGACTGGAGGACACCATATTTGCTTTTCTGTTGAATTGACTTGTTGGTGTGACACCATATGCCTGAAACACTGACATAAGAAACTTCCCATTAAGAAGTATGTTTTGACAGGCTGTCTTGGTTTTTTCTCTTCTCTCCCCATCTCTTTCCAATTAGCAGCAATCCTCCCGAATGCCTCCTCCTCATCAGCTTCATCAGCAGCAACTGCACTCCCAGCAGCACCATCCTTCACGTCCAAGAGGACTCCCTCCTTTCCAAGACCACGGGCGCCCACTGGCCCAGCAGCCTCTACAGCCCCTCATCCCCCCGCACATGTCTCACCGCTCCCCACCTTTGCGGCCTCAGATGGAGCCACCGCCGCGGATGATGAGCTCCCCGCCACCCAGCTTCCCCCAGCATCACCAGCAGCAGCAGCTTCCACAGCCCAAAAACATCCACATTAACCCGCATTTCAGAGGGCCTACGTCTTCGTCTGTACAAGGTACGCTCCTCCATCCTCACTCAGAGGTCTACTGCCAGGCTTTGTTTTGTGCATCTCAAAGAAAAAGGTCATGCATTTTTTTTCTTCTAATCCCAAGATGATGTCTAACCACAATTAAGCTATTTACTATTGGCATATATGCATGAGGTATGAGTGGTATAAAGTGAAGATAGGCTTATCATAATTAGGGATGCACCGATCCGATAGAAATCGGCTCCAATATTGACAAATGAACTGGATCAGGTATCTGATGAATGACGCCAATCCAGTGTTCCGATCCAGTCTTTTTTTTCTTTTAATCAATATCAAACACAACAACACAGCGATTCTGTTCACTCTATATTCTATTTCTTTCTATCCTTTTGCTCTAAATATTTACATGGAAGTCTTACTTCTTTGTGCTCTGTGCTAATGTGCAATTTGTTATTTGTTAGTAAATAATATTAAGTACATTTATATCTGTGTTAATTTTTTACCTTTTTTAAACGAGGCTAATGTCAAGCCTGACGCCTTCACTCACAGGGCAAGGTTTACAGTTCATTCATTCAACAGTAGTATTGGATTGGTATCAGGTATCGGCCGATGCGCTCAGCCCCAGTATTGGTATCGGATTGGATCGGGAAAAAATGGACCATCTCTAATCGTAATTGAATGAATCTGGAACATTTTTACAGGGTTTTTTTCTGCTGAGTTTTTTGAGTGTATTATTTTGTTTTAAGCCAAACCAAACAGCAGGATATGAGCTCCCTGATGAGGATTTTAGTGCAAAGTTATACCAGCTTACCTTAGTCAATTCTTTCTTTATGAAGACAAACAAAATGCTGTGGTTATTTTCGCTGTAGAAATTTGCTCTATCTTGATTTTGAAAATCAGAAGCTTCATCTCGTCCACAGTGGAGCAGCGCTAGTTAAACAGCAAGATGCTGAGTTGAGGTGTATGATGCTGTCATAGCTGGCAGTTATCCTCGCGGTGTCCTGAAAGGTGTCTGGATTAGAATGTCATTTTGTTGTTTGCTTGAATGACAAGTGAATAGCTCTCTCAGCCAGTAATGGGTTTATCCTCCATTTCTCTTCTGGAGGCATCACCATTTCATTCCCTGAGATGGGTTTATCTGGCCTGTCTGCCCAGGCCAAGATTGAAATTTTGTTAGCAAAGCATGTTAGCACAGATATGTGTGTGTGCGTGTGTGTGTGTCATTGTGTGCAAGTGTGTATGGTTGAGATTTTACTGCTGAGAGGAAGCCTGGAAAATCGGGGATTGCCTGTGGTTATGATTAAGTGTGAGCGTGTGTGTGAGTGTGTGCATGCGTGCATGTGCTTGTATACATGCCTATTATTTTTTAAGGGGTAGATACCAATTAAATCTTCCGGTTGCAGATATTTACAGACTTTTACAGTTGCTCTTATTGTGAAACCAGCAAATATAATGCTGTATGATATCAAATATAGCACATAAACTTTATTATATGTACAATGTAAAAATCCAGTACACCAAAATCATGTTTGTTCAAATTCCAAATCAAATTGCTTTTTCTAATTTGTTGAATTTAGTGGTTTATACTCGTGTAATTCATATTTCCTTCAGCGCTCCGGTCTAAACCCAGCTGTGTAAAGATGTGAGGGGGCAACTGTGATATAAATTTAAACATGTGTGCCTGTGAAACAGCCTTTAGCATGGAGATGTCTAATGGGCTCCTCCCTTTCTGCTATCATCACCCTCTCTCTGCCTCCTGCCCTCTTATTTTCATCTCTCTTCCCCTCTTGCCCCCCTTCCTCTCGCTTGCCCTCCCTCTCTCTCTCCCCCCTCTCTATCTCATTGCAGTGCCCTTGATGCCTCCTGCTCAGAGCCAGCCCAGACCTGCTGTGGGTCCTCAGAGATTCCCCGTGAGTAGCAGCTGCTCCTCTCCCTCCCTTTCGCCTCACTTTCTCTCCCTCTCCACACGGTTCGCGTCCCTTTTTGTAAAGGCAATATCATTATGGCAATTAGACCGCCTGCCCTGGCCAAACACTGTTAAAGCAAATCTGTAAACACTGATACCAGTCTGGCTGCACAACTGGAAATGCATGATAGGGGCTTTAGGCAGTAGACTTTTGGAGGTCAGGGCGGCAGTGGCGAGACTTAGTTAGCAACTCTTCATGGATGGGCCAGGGCTCAGACTAGCTTGTTTGGCACATAATGGAATTGTGAAACCAGGATAAACTTCCAGTTAAAATTCACTTTCCACAAGTTTGTGTCCCAAAGGCACCGAGACCTTTTTTGAACGGCATTTGAAGTAATGGAACATGCTGGTAGTTTGATGGGGCTTGGGGTGAGCCTCTTGCCTTTTAGCGCAGCACATCCAGAAAGCTGAATTTCACGTCAGAGAAAAGGGATCTTAAGTCAGTGATTTCCTGTAAGAAAAGGTCCTTTGTATCACTCACAAAGAACCCACCCGAGAGATGACAGAAATGCCTTTGGAGTAATTACTGTATTGAAGGAAATGGCTTGCCAAAAAGTCAGACAAAGTGCCTTTAGTTACTCCGTCCTTCTATTTAATGATGCCCAGGCATCAGGTGTTGCTGCCGCTGCTGACTGACATCCTCTACAAAGTGCATTTTGTATGGATTTATGCAAATGAGCCATTGGAAAATAGCTGCAACCAATTGCGTTCATGTGGATTTATGACCCTGTTGCCAAATGAGTCAGTCTTTCACACCAGAGTCAATCCATCCAAAAACAAACAAACAAAAAATATTTGTATTTACTTCTTTTCAACCTTCAGTGTCAGTATTGTGCAGCCTCTGTTCCCCCGAGCTCTGCGATCGTGTTAGATTCTGATAGCACAGTAGCAGGGATCTGTTTTTGTCGGTTCCACACAAGAAGATGAGTTTGGAAGGGTTCGCAGACAACTGGGCTGATGAACAGCATAGTGTTGGACTCCCTAGCTGTCAGTGGTATTCAGGCTGCCGTTGCCAAGGACACAATTTGAAATGCAGGTGACATAGCAGCCGGCAACATTCCATTTACCAGTGGGCACCTGATTACTCATGATTATCATACATTATCATCCCATCAAATTTAATTGTTAAAAGACCGAGCGAGTGGGGGGTCATTGCCTCTAGTACTACTGCATTAAATTCTTGCTGGTGGAGACTGGTTTTGAAATATTAATCTCGGTGCCAATTAAACTTATTAGAATATTTAATCTGTTGTAATAATGATATTCAGTTTGACCAAGAAATCAAGATGGTACCAATATTTTTTGAGATTGAAATCTTCTCAGATGGCTCTCACAGCTCCTTCAATCTTTTGTGAACTGTACCGTATCATGAACACAAAGAGAGAATATGCTCAATACCTGCAGTTTGTGTGTGTAACTACAACAGATTCAAGAAAAAAAACATCCCTCTCTCCTCGAATTTCCCTTCTTTATAAAATAATTTGACATTTGGCCCCTCTTCATTATAAATGTCTTGGTTATCCCTTCACTGTTAAGAACTATCCTCGCATCACTTACAAATGGAGTAGCCCGCAGCCTGTGTATCAAGGATTAAAAGTGAGAGGATGAGCTGTTATTTAAGAGGTATTATATGGACACCAGAGTCCTCATTGTGCAAACCTGCCTGCCTGACCTTTTAGAACATTATGATTGCGCCCCCTCTGTGATCCCCCTGTCTTTGTAAGCCCCTTTGATTAACTTTCTGTTAAGCAAGTTTTTGGGACTCTGGCCTTCTAGCTTTCGAACGCCTCTCCTCTCTAAATACCGCCACGCAGCAGTGGAATAAAGATGGATTAAGCCTTGATAGCATCTTAAGTAATTTACAATAGGCTTTGAGGAGGCAAGAAGCCCATTTGTGGAAATGCCACGTGTTGAATAGCAGGTTAATTTTTCAACAGAGATGGATGTTTAAAAGAATAAAAGAGACGGTTATGAGGGGGATTCGAATTCCAAGGAGGGATTAAAGGGTTGTTATCTAGTTTTCCTTGGTAGGGAGATTGGAAGTAATGTGCATGCACTGAGGAGAAAGCTGCGAAACACACGCAGTGGTTGAAACAAAGGTGAGGGCACTTATCCCTTTCTGAAATACCCTTTCCTTGTTAGAACCAGGCTTTCAGAAGGTTTATCAACAAAAGCCCAAGTAGCATTAATGCAGGTCTGCTCATGAATTCAAGCTGAAGGGTTTACTTTAATACTGGCATGCATATTGATGTTTACAACTAGAGATTCTGCGTCTTTTTAATGACCCCAGCCTTTCAATTACAAGCGCTCCCCACACAATGCGATTCTCCCCAACAAATTCCCATTTTTCATTAGTTTAATTTGTTTGTGATTATTGAGTTCCCAGTATGGCCTATAATGCATGACTTTCGCGTTTTCCCAGGGACCGGGAGACTTCCAGCAGCACATGTCTGGTAATTTTGGCCAGCCCCAGCGGCCCCCTCATCACATGGAGCCCTTTAGGAACCAGCCACCTCAAGGCCCCCAAGACAGAGAGCCCCTCTTTATGGGAGGTGAGTCCCACACCCAGCCTTGACTTCGGTTACAAAGCTCTCTTAGCATATTTAATCCTATTCAGCATCACCTCTGGCAGTATACCTACAGGGTATGCTGCTAGCTTTCTGCTGCTCTATTAGCAGCACTCATGTTAAATGCATGTGTATATATATACATCTGAATGAGCCTTGGAAACTGCATTAAACAGTTACATTGTGATTCACTGATTTCACTGACACCGTTGACGCAGAAGTAAATAAAAATCACTCGGTTGTTTACCTTTTAACCCTGATAGAGCTGTCTGTTTTCCTCGTTCAAACATTTCTATAGTAGATGTCTCGAGTAGGAGTTACCGATAGATTGAAATTGGCTCACAAAGCAGAAAACTGACATCACTGCTGTTGTTCTTTCGCTCTTTTCCTCGCGTGTGCACAGAGCGCACAGAGTCAGCACGGTTTCCTGGGCAGCACATGTTTGATCACCAGGGTCCCAGCCCTCTAATGAACAACAACCACAACCTCCACCATCAGCAGCAGCTGCCTGGTCAGGGCCACATGGGCTTCGGCCCGCCAGGACCAGCCTTCAACCAGCCAAACCAGGGTCCATTAGGGCTTTTTTCCAGAGAACCCCAAAGACCGAACCTCCCTCCCCACCAAGGTCACCAGGGGATGGTGGGCTTGAATCAACAAGGAGGCCCCCCTAATCAGCCCAGGCCATTCATGAACCCTCGCCAACCATTCGGCCAGCAGGGGAATCTTTTCCCCCCTCCACAAGTCCAGTTTGGGATGCAGGTACGACTAAGAGTAAGTGACTCTTATAATTATTAGAAATCTGTATGATTGTGTGTGTTGGTTGGTTTTATCTTGTATTAATCTAGCTCTTTCCCTACTGTGCCGTGAATTTGTTGACTGAAAATTGCAGTTTGATCAGTGTGATGAGTTTTCAGAACAGTTTCCTGTCACTTTAAATCCCAATTAAGGATCTTGATGAGTAATAGATTTTTGTCACCGCAACAGAGTCTCTCAAGTTTTGCCTGTTTTTTTTTTTTTTTTTTTGCTCTAGATCGTTAAAATGACTTTTGTGAGAACAATAAAAAGACCAGAGTACTGTACACATAAAAAACAACAGATTACATATCATATTCACTGGCAGTGAAGCACTGAGGAAAGACCTGTGTTTTTGGCCCCTCTGCACTTTGCCAAGAGACATAGACAAGAGCTCCCTCAAGTGGACAAATCACCATTGTTGTAGCAATTGTTGTGTAGCTACTCAAGCGCAGAGTTAGAGTTAAATGTTTGCAGCAAGGCCGGAGTTAGTGTTGAGATAAGATTTCTGATCAGTTCTATCTGTGCTGTTGTATAAAATTCTAACAGAACGAACATGAACACTTTTTTTTGTGTTCTTTAAACAAATACAAGGCTCTGATTTTGTGGCTTTACCCGTATTTTTTGTTGTTTTTATTTCCAGGGGTTAATGCATGGCCCTCCTGTGTCCCAGCTACCGCATCACGACCCCTTGTCGTCCCATCAGCCCCTGCACCAACACCAGCAACATCACCGTCAGGAGCTACCCCATCATCATCAGCAGCAGCTAAATGTCAATGAGCCTCGCCCCATGATGCACCATGGCCAGAATCCCTTCCACCAACAGCAGGCACACAGTAGCCCCAGGCAGATGACTCCGCGCCCTCAAAACCCCCAACAGCGAAACATGTCCAACAGGCAGAGGATGGTGAGACATTTACATACGAGCTCAACATTTCCAACTGATGAAGGAAGTAAAATGGTTCATATGTTTAATGGCTGTCATTTGAATTCCTGCATGTTGTTCGTTTTTTACTATCTTACCCTAAATAAAAAATGGCGTCTTAAATATATGAACATCACACTGATTGATCTCCGTCGTGCCCTTTCTTCAGAACACGCCTGTCTCCAAGCAAATGCAGCAGCGCAACAGCAACCTACGGGAGCTCCCTGTAGCACCGGGCAACACAAACATGAACAGTGCCCGCCCCGCTGCCAACGTTAGGCCTGTTGCCAAGGCAACGCAGGGGGTGCGTCCTGGGCAGAACACTCAGCCTGTGCCTGGCAATGGCAGAGGAAGAGGCCAAGTTGCTGCCAAGACTGAATCCCAGCCTGGGGGAGAAGGCAGGACAGTGGTTCGCAAGGAAATCCCAAGAACTCAGGCCAGCGCGGCACCACAGGTCAGCTTTTTAACACCTCAAGTACCACAAAAAAAAAACTGATTTGTGCACCATAATAGAAAAATTAATTCTAATACATTTATGATATGATTTAATTTTGAAATCAAGATATCAATATGTATCACGGATCCAGAAATGGATTTGTAAATTGTGTTTTTTTTTTCCAGCTAAATTGACAGCGACTTGGAAATTGTTCGCTGGGCCAAGCTTATTAGTGTGCTGAGAAGCACTCTCATTTATTAAAAGCCCAATCATAAGGCTGCTAATGACTGCAGTCTCATTCCATTGGAAAGAACAGATCAATACTCTTGCATTTTCCTCTTGGGTTTTGGCTTTGATTACATCTGAGTGTCAGGCCAGCTAGTATGGTTCATATAGGATACAATGCCAAATGAAACCGCTTCCAGTATGCAGAGACAGAAGCAATCATGCGCTCAGTTCTTTTTTTCATTTCTTCTTCTTTTTTTTTTTGCTATAGGACCCTGATGAGGATGAGGAGACGAGGCAGTACCGTCTGAAGCTTGAGGAGCAGAAGCGTCTCAGGGAGGAGATACTGAGGAGGAAGGAGATGCGACGGCAAATGCAGGCAGGCGTCAGGAAGAAAGAGCTGCTGGACAGGCTCAACTCCACTCAGATCCAAGGCACAGCTCCTGCACAGAACCAACCCCCACAACAGAACCAGCAAACACCGATCCCTGCTCAACAACAACAGCAGCAGCAAGAACAGAGACAGCAGAACCAACTACAACCACAGCAGCAGAGACAGTTTCCCCTGAGAACACCACAATCAATGAATCAGTCATTAAAGGGTCCCAATCAAGGCCCCCTCATCCCTCCCAATGGTGACTCTCAGACCCTTACCCCTCGTCCTAATGTAAAGACACGTCTGCAGATGGTTAAAGGAAGCAATCAACAGCCACTGATCCCTGGTCCCAATCAGAACAGTGCTCTTCAGAACGTCAACAGACCTGGATCTCAGCTCCATTCCAACCAGGTCCCACATAAATTAACACCTGTACCCCCCTCTGTGGGCCCCGGCCAGGCTCAGACTCAGACTCAAGAACCTAAACCCGGAGCTAAAAGAACTGTTATGCAGCGCGCCAAGAGCGTTGGTCCCGTTGACCAGCAGGTGCCGCAAAAAGTCAGAGTCGTCAAACTTTCAGGAGCGGTGAGCTCAAGATTTCTTTTTTCTCTTCTGTGTTTTTTTTTTTGGTCCAGCATTTATTTGATACTCTATTTAACAGATTTGACCCACATGGGAAACGACAGGTTGGAAATGAAAGGCCACTGACGTCTATTTTGTAATCTAGAAGACGTCTGACCTATGAGAATGACACGGTGATGTCTGTGTCATTTTGGCAAAATTGATCTGTTAAGAGTTTCCCCTCTTAAGCTTTGGGAACTGATATTTAAGCCTCAATACCTACATGTACATTTTACCTTTAAGAACACAGACAGGCATTAAAGAGAGCAGAATGACATTTATCTGTACATCTCATCGCTGCTCTTAAAGGTTGATATCCTCTTTTAAGGGCAGAAGAGGATCCTTCAAAGGGAGAATGACAATAATACCGAAACAGTCTAGAATAGAACCACTTCCGGCCTTTTTAGACTCACTTGATAACTCACTGCTGTGGCCTTAATTACACATTAATCTTTATTGAAAAACCACAAAAGGCACGCATGTTAAACATTCATACTTGTCGCTGATGAGACATGATGGTAGGATGTGAGAGTATTCGAAATAAGCGGATTTCCGTCTCCATCCCCGAGGATCAAGCCACGGAGCTAAAATCTCTGTCTGGCTGCAGATGAAGATAACTGGGTGTCAGTGCGTTAATGGAAACCTGCGCAGAGCTATCTGATGTGCCGCATCTTTGAGAGAAAAGAGGGAGTGGGATGTGAGGTGGAGAAAAAGAGAGACGGAAACAGCCTATAGCGGAGGTGAAAAGCAGATTGTCTTGATGCTCCCTCTTCCACATTGTTCTGCTGTCATCAGCGGCTGCTTGACAATGTTATCTCCTCCCCTCCTCCTTTTTCTTGCTCTCCTTTTTCCTCTCTGCCATCCTTCAGTTGCTTTCCTTCCCATCATCCCATCTCTCAGGTGTGAGGCAACAAAAGAATGTCAATCCAAGTCCCTTGTAATTAATCTTTCTTGGTTGAACAGGGGTGGCGGGGAGAGAGCATAATACCTGTGTAAGAAAGTTGCCACTTTTGAGGATTTGGATTTGTATGGCTTAGGCACTCAGATAAGAGGCAAATTATATTTTCATCAGGGATAATACAAAGCAACGCAAGACACAAAAGCAGGAGGAGGAGGGAGGGGGCGGGAGGGGGATGGGGTACACATCGAGCTGCTGTCTTTTCAGTGTAATGCAGCTTAACATTTGATGGGTGCAATCAGGAGCTGTGATTTCTATAGGAGGGATTAATCCATTTACTCTCGACTGGGGACAGGTCAGAGATATCGCCTCTTTTCTTCCCCTGTATTGATCTGTCACATCTCTCCGCAGAGTCGGGGAAGAGACGACCTTCAATTCCTCCCCGCATGTCAACAGAGTTGAGCTGTGACTTTATTTGATAATGAGACCATCACCTTGTTGGGTTGCTCTTTTATTCCTCAAAGTACGACTGATAGGAATCCAACTCCAACGCCGGCACAGTCCACGTTTGCTGTGCAGATACAGCCGCTTGAACACTTAGACTGACCGGGAATAGTAGATTGATTGGTTTGATTTGATTACTGTGTCATGCATAAATAATAGGACCAGTTGTAAACAGGCTTACAAGATACCTTTATTAGGGAAAGGGAGCGGAAACTATGATAAAAAGAGTAATGACGAAAAAAATTTGATGTTTTTTCCAAGCTTTAGAAACAACAATAAATTAGAATTAAACATACATTCCTACTTTAAGGGGTTTGAGAAGCATGGTCCGTTATTGTCTGTGAAACAGAAGATGTGTCAGAATTTCTGCATGAGGTGCTAAATCAAGTCTGGTCCTCTATCTCCTCCATCCAGAGCGGGAAGGGACCCATTGCCGCTGACGCCCCAATGCAGCAACAAGGCACCTGGCCGGCACCATCGCTCAACCAGGGCGTCCAAAGGAAGGTCACAGTGACAGGGCAGCAGCAACAGGGACCTGGAGGAACACCGCAGGCTGGCCGAGGGGGAATGGGCAACCCACAGCAGAGCAGGGTATGTCATAACGAGCACTCTTGTGCTTAGGACACCAGGAACCATTTCTCCTAAAAGATATATATATTAATAGTGCAGAGTTTGGCCTGTGGAATAAAAAGAAGCTAAAATGTCTCCTGTAAAGTTATCCTGTGCCTCTGGCACCAACCTGGCATTCAGGAGACATACCAATCGAGCAGCAGTGGTAATAAGACAGGACAGTATGCCAGGTGCAGGAGTATTGACAAGCTGAGAGCAGTGTAACACAGGGGGCTACACAAGGTCCCCTGGCCTCTCTGCACGCCTGTCACCACCAGGCTGCTGTCACACTTCCCATACTCACTGACGCTGACAGGGTAAGGCAGTCACCATAACGCTTGCATGGCTCCTCTCCCTTTCATGCTCCCCCGCCCCCAACACACACACACATACATATCCCCTCTACCTCCTCTACCATCTTCCGGGGGTCTCCCCTCCTCCTTCTCCTCCTCCTCCTCCTTCTCTTCTTCCTCTGTAGCGGAGGAAACATACCTCTCACTCTCAAGCTCAAATGAAGATATGCCATCCCACATGCATCATGTTCTGACGTTGATGCTCTATGTAGAAATATGATAAGTCAATCATGTGAACGCCTGGCATGTCTGAGAGGAAAACAGTGTTTTCACATTTTACTGCGAGCCGAGAGGCTCCTCAGCACGCAGTAAGACGCAGAATTAAAACATCAACATGCCGGTTCAAGAAACGAAAGCTTTAGTCTTTGTTGTTCGTCTCTCTCTCAACACTCTTCCCTCGTGATATTATTTTCAAAAACAAACGTGGTTTAAAAAAAATGATGATGTCGTAGGTTGTCGTGTCGGGACGGGGTCGAGGTAGAGGGGGTGGTCCAGTGGGTCGTGGTCGTCCAATGTCCACCAGACAGAGCCAAAGAAGTGAAGAGAGTGAACGCTGTACTGTGTCCATCGAGGGCCTCTCCACATCCACGACCGACATGCAACTGAAGAACCTGCTCAGGTCCATCGGGCCCATAGAGGTAAGCAAACCAGATTTATTTATTTTTGTTTTCTCTTCCTTTAAGTCTCATTATGTCTTTAAGGCTACTAATCTGAAAACTCAAAACTCACAAAATTAACTCCAACAAATTAACTAAAGATATAACTAACTGTGAGGACGTTGTCAGTGAATGATAGATGCATTGAACGCTGTACTTTTACTCAGCACAGTCGAGATAATTACATTGTCTTAGTGTGATCCCATAGCGCCCTCTGTCGCAGTGATTAGGTTAGGAGCGCGGGTCAATGCTTCAATCAATCTCCATCCTCCACCCTCACTCCCTCTTGCGGATTAAAGGAGAATATATCCCTGCTACTTTTTTTTTTTTTTTAACTTAATCGTCCCTTTTCTTATTGCAGATGTTCAAAATGATGCCGCAGCAGAGGAAAGCAGTCGCCAAATTTTCGACTCCCCAACATGCAGCGAGTTTTCAAATGAGCTTCCACAGGTAACACACGTCCCCACTTCTTTTTTTTTTTTTTTTTAATCGTCATTCAAGGAGCTAATTAAATGATTTGGTCCTTTGCTTAGTTGCCTTTACATGTCAGGATTTAACTGCTGCAACACAACATGTTGTTTTTTTCCCCTGCCTCTTGAGACGATAGCTCAAACACTGTCATCACAATTACCACACAGGCACATGATTGATTTGTCCCACATTGATGTGTCGCTGATTGATGGATGAGGAGCACAAAAGAGCCGAAGAGAGAGAGAGAAAGAGAGAAGAGACCTGTTAGAAGATGTCACTTTCTCCCAGCATGGGGGGAGCCTCTTGTGCACAGCCTCTCACCTGGCGTAGGATCATTCCTGCAGCCCTTTTGTGGGTCAAACACAGTCAGCGTCTCTGCACAGAAGCATCATTCAACTTCATCGACTGGGAACAGTGAATAGAGAGACCTCTTCTGCGAGCATGCAACTGTTCGACTTTGTCTAGCAAAATGTCCATTGTTGTAAAATGGCACTGGAGAGACACTGGACAGTTCATCTTACTCCAATGTAGTATGTTAAGACTGTTGTCAGCATCTCACACGGACACTTTGTAGATTTCTTTAACAGGATAATGGTTGCTCCTCTCATAACTTGGATGTAAAAAAAAGAACACAATCTTTGCAGTCCTTACACACCATACTCCAAATAGTCCTTTTCGATTATTTCTGGTTTGCTGTTGGATTGAATACAGGAGGTGATTGTAGCCAGCCTTTTTTCTCATAGCAGTGTTTCTTGCCACCTGTAGATGGCAGTATTTCATCACTAATGGTGCTGTAGTCGCCCAGTTCAAGCCGGCTCTCGGGCGCATTTGTGTTTCCAAGCAGTTTTTGGGCTAATGACGCTACCTAGTGGAGGATTTGTACAAAGACACAGAGGTGGAGGATGTAAAATCCGACACTCAGCAGTGACAGAGACAAAACTGGAGCAGGATTTAACATAGATATGGTTTCTTTGTCAATTCTCTTTGTTCCGGGGGTTATACATGTAGTTCATCTTGCATGGAGTTTGTGGTGCTTTTCAGTTTCAGTGCTGCTTCTTTTGGGACAGATTGTTTTGATTATCCCTGATGTAGCTCAAACTCTCGGTCATTTGGCGTTGTCCTAAATTGTCGTTGGTTCTTTTAACTGTTACCTGGAATCCACTTTGGTTTTTTCCCCTCATGCCTTTTTGGATTTGCAGTATATTTTAGTTGTATGTGTGATAACAGGACGGTTTGGTTTTGGTTTTTCAGTGATGCTGAATGTGATTTTTTGGAATGTGTGAGTCTAGTTTGATTTTTTTAAATATTTTTTTTTTTTTACATTAAAATGTATATAGTTGGATTTGATATTCATCCTATGGTTTGTCTGGTGGTTTGGACTGAATTGCTTACAATTCTATTTTTGTGTCATACACATTATGTACATTTTTGCAAGGCTTACTGGCTCTGAAATTAATCTGCATCCAAGTTGCGTAGTGTATTTGGAAAGCTTGTTTTCACGCTGAGCCCATAATGTAAATAACACAGGTTCCCATAGAAATTGAATGCCCCTTTAAAGCTATTATTGTGATAAAATCTACTGTAATATCTCTATTACGCTCTTCTTTAAAAATACATTCATTCACATAAGAGAGAAGGTCTTGAACAATCTAAAACTCATCACCATTTTCAGACTTTCTCATAGTTTACACTCTCGTTCAGGGAATTCTTCCTCATCACCGATGGTCCTGAATCGTCTAATATTTGATTTCAGTTTCCAGCTCTTAAGTTAAAGCTCTGCTAGAACAAATTTTGCATTTAGGTTTACTTTATTTCTTTTCACTCTCATAGCTTTGTATTCACTACATAACATTTCTGCCTCTCCAGCATGAGTAACAAAATCAGTTTGTTAAGACATTATCCAGGTTGAGTAATTACTAATGCTGTGTACATAAATCTGAGATTTTGACATAAAAGCATCTGAGGGGGCAACCATTATCTGTGTAGTGATCATGTACATAAGAAGACCAGAACTTTCTCCCAGTATTTAGATTCTTTTCAAGTTACGTTTTTGCTCATGTTGTATGGAGTTAAGCATTTTTATACGTAAGGATAAGCTGATGTGTCCAGACATAGATGATTTTACAAGTGTGTAGTTCCTAATTCACATCCAAAATGACGACTGACTGGACTGTCTTTCTGTTTCTATCAGACATTTGACACAAAAGTCTAAGGGAAAACAAAATAATAAAAACATGGCCAATATACCCTGAGCATGCAGGTATGTGAAGCCAGTTCAACTTTAGCCAAAGATGTGTGGTTGTGTTTGATGTCCACGTGTCTGGTGCCTTTTATGGTTTTATATCTTTCTTTATTGTGCAACATTTCGATTCTTTTACATATTCTGTAAGGGCGTGGGTGCCAAATTTGCAACACGTTACGCACACTTTAGAGGTAGTTATAGCATCTTCCATTGAAATGAATACCACCCAATGCAGATTTTTGGGGATGCCACTGAATTCTGATGTTGACGCAACTTGTTTCATGATGAGAAACGTGAGTTTTAGTTCGCCCTTTTAACTGTGATGTCATACTGATGTTCAGCCTTTACCTGTTTGAGTCAAAGCAACAAGCTAAATAAATAATGTAGCACTTTAAATGAGCCTTTTTATGCTAAGATAATTTTAACTCTTTGAGATTAGTTTTATTAATTCATCGTTGTTGATCAAGCTGTGCATCTGGATGATATCACAGATTCAGTCAAACTGGCTTCCAAGCTTGACAAAACAGCCTCAGTCCTTGACTGTATTTTGAAATCAGATTAATAAATTTAGTGGTATTACCCTTTAATTAGTCAGCGCTTGAGAAAAGATTGGAAATGAGCTGCATTTGGGCACTTCTTCACAAGATTCTGAAGGTGCATGAGTTTTAAAGGTATTATAAAATTTTGAGGTTCAAAAATGTCTTTTCTCCTCAATGTTCTCGTTGTGTTTTGTAAAACATGAAGTTGTGTGGTTACAAGTTTTTTTTGTATGTTGTACAGTTGTTCTAAACTGACTTCTTTATGTTTTTATTCCTTTTGTTTTGAGTTGACCTTACGTAGAGGTTTTTGTTCCATAATTCTATGAATTGAATGTTTTTCATGTTGTGAATTACATTTGAGTATTGGAGCTGCGGTGAATCCTGTGGATTTGAATAAGTATTGGCCATGCCGGTGGTATTTCTATAGTTACAAGACTTCTGGTCTTGTTCAGAAAAAACAGATTCATATTGAATCTTTTTGTATCTTAATTCTAAGTACATATGTACCCAGTTTTTCTAGAACTTTTAGAAACACTCTACTTTTCAAGTTAATTTACTTGAGGAATTGGTGCTTGATGAGCTGCTTGTCTACAGTCTGTTTTTAATTATCAGACAGTTTTTCCAAACATCTCAACTCACATGGTTATTGTCGGGTATTTCAACCGTGGGATATCTCTGGGGCTCTTGTGTTTTCATAAGAGACCTTTTTATGGCTGCTGATGACTTACATGAGACTGTGTTAGATTCAAGTCTTAGACTTAACAGGTTAGGTTCCACATGATTTGACTTCTAACATCTTTTTCCAAACAGGTCCTTTTGATGATCGATGGTGGAGAGACTTGGAAATGATCTTATCTTTTTTTTCTTTCAGGTCTGTGTTTGCTGCCACATGTGTGTTTGCTATCTCTAAAATCAAAGTTAATGGACCACACCAAAGGTTTAGCATGTTAGAGGAAAAGTCAGGGTTTGAAGTTGCTGAAACCGCAACTCAAAACTCAACTCAAATCCAGATGTTGGTTGTAGTTCACCCTGGCGTTGAATTAAAACAAACCAGATGAAGATCAACGATATCGCATTATCTTTGCTTTACTCATTTTTGGTTCAGTCCTATTTGCATGATAATGGAGTTGGATATTATTGGCTTCTTCATTTCGGTATGGCTTTTTTGGGAAGGTCCAACATCTGAAATTTGACTTGGGTGCTTTGTGATTTGCTCGTCTTACGTAATACTCTAGATCAACTTAAAAAACTCTGGCAGGTCATTTGAAACTTTTCAACTCTATTTTGAAAGCTTCTCCAAATTTCTCTGAGGCTTCTCTTTCAAGCTTGTTCGACAAAATTTTGTTTGCTGAATGTTTCATGAAACTTATTGCTAAAGTCAACTTGTGCTCAAGAAGATACAGCTGTTCTCCTCAGTTTGTGTTCTTGGGTGTTAGAATTTTTAATGGCTGCATGTTATTCACTTAAAACCGTATATTTTAGATTAAATTTCTTCCTTTTGTTCGTACCAGCCAGAACCAGCCCATTACTTGTCAAATGGCCTGCATCGAACCTGATTAAAGTGAACTTTTTACCTTTTTTAACGATTAGACTTAGCAGTATTGACTTGCTAAGCCTTTGGCATGGTCCAACTGTTTGGTGCTCCTGGTTTAAAGTCAACTGGCTGCAAAGATGATTTCTTTTTGGTTTCACTGTTGAGCTTTGAGACACCTGAGATGATCATTAATCACGCTGGTGTCACCATATCACCTAAACCTAAGTGTCCGTATGTTCGTTTCTACACAGCTTACCGACGGAGCGAGCAGATGACCAGATACGTCTTTGTCTTCGTCAATTTTCCTATCCTTTCTTCCTCACCTAACACTGTAGGTTTTCTTTTACAGCCACCCGGGAACGAAGACTTTACTTAAGCTTGCCTTCCTCACTTAGTAGTTTAGGCCACATTTCCTTTCATTACTGCTTTTCCTGCCACCGCTGTTCTTCCAACTTGCATATAAATGACTCATCCTGAACTTAAGACTTCTGTACCAAGCAGGGGGACCTACCTGGATTATTTGTTAGCCCGCTGGATGGAGGTTTCCATCTCTGTGATGACAGCGCGGTTCACAGGGCAGACACGTTACTCTAAAGCTGCTTTATGGCTTTCACTGCACCAAAAGTCATCCTGACATCTTGACATGAGTTTGGTTGGATTTTGAAAAGACACTGCAGTGGTTTCCTGATCTTGAACATTCGGTGCACACAAAAATGACTGAAAACCAACTAGAAGGTTGACTGAAAGTGTTAATGATCAATCCTGTTGTGTGTTCACATTTCTATGTTAAACACAAAGTTATCATGTTTTGTATTTGAACATTTGGATATCACTGTGATTTGTCATGATAATGTGAAACTGGATTTTCCAAAGAAATTGTTGTTTGGATAAAAAAATGGATGAACCTTAAAGAGATAAAATATGTTGAATTTGATACCAGAAACTTGTGAAAAATAAACAGTTTGCCTTTAAACAGATGTTGTGTTGAGCTTGTTTTACTGTGAAACTCTTTTACCGATTGTAGGGTCCTTGAGACAGCCTGGAAAAGGATATGGGTCATATCCTTTTCCAGGTTGTCCAGCCCTTGAAGTGCCTTGAAACCAGCCTCGAATCATGAAACCTTTGAGACTGACTGCTAGTTTTATATTTTAGGCTTTAGGCTAATTCATCTTACCATCAGTATTCTGTGACTGTGGTTTAATCCACAGTCACAGAATAACCCTAACCCACCCAAGAGGAGCCCCCTGATTTACTAAAACAAGCAGCAGCAATAGTTTTGCAGCGTACTGCTTTATTGTGAAATAGAGGCTAATATTTAATCATTTTGATGGACCTAAATTATGAACTTCCTGAGCTTTATGGACACATTTGAACATGAAACTGTCACCCTGAAACAAACTAAAAATGCTGCTCTCTAATCCTGTCAAAACTTGTCTGTATTATTCTAGGATAAAGTTTTACAGTAAGTGATTTGCTTGACTGTTAAAAGAAAGAGCAGAGTCTATTTTGCCACAAAACCTTGCCTACATGTGTACAGAACTGGCAAAAGGTTAATAGATACTGCTTTGTCTTAGGGGCGCCAAAATCTGCACAAATCAAAAGTTGTTGATTTGCGCAGATGTTGGGCAAAGGACTGGAGCTTTAATTTTTCCACTCAGTGAAATCCTTAGTGAGAAAAACTGATTTTGCTTGATTCTTGTTTAAAATTTAAAACAAAGCATCAAATATATTTCAAGTCTGTCTGTGTAAATTAGTGATACGTACCAAGTGTTTCAGACATCTTTGGCAGACAAATGTCAATTTTAGTGGAAGTATTGATTGATGCCATGCATAGACCTAAATTGCACAGTACTTTTCTTCTTTTCTGTGACACTAAGAGTCATTCAACCCCTTCAAGGAAGACTGGTGTCTTCATTAACAGCACTAACAAAGAAGGTTGAGAGAACTGTACTGACTTCTACTCTTAGATTTCAGTTAAATGTCAAATACTTTCTAGTCAGTTAACTTTCTCTCATGACATGTATGTAAAGTATACATGTTGCTTTTTAGTTACTTTGCACAATTTAGTTATCTTTGTGAAGAACTGCTTGTAAGGGTGGAATCTGAACCAAACGTCACAGCCCGGCTGCCTATTGGTGTCCTGGGCCTTCAGCTGGCCTCTAACACACTGAAGTAAATGTTGCCTGGAAAGACCAGAGCGCTGCCATTTGCAGAACTCTCTTAGAAACGGAGAGTTTTGTTTTCCAGAATGCCAGACTGTTCATGTTTGCAAATGTCAACATTTGTAAAAGCCCTTGTTGAGCTCCAGCAGACTGAGGGCCCCCAGAGGGATTAGAGGAGGCTCTGTTTACCTGCTCTGAGGAATGCTGCCCTGCACGGACGCTTTTGTATCTGTCAGGGACCCAAGGTCACAGCGACGGCAGAGATGGGCCGCTTTGTCCTCCTCCAAATTTTCCACCTCATAGTATCAACAACAAAACACAATGTGGATGACCTGGGTGAAGGAAAAGGAATTCCTGCTCATGTTGCCACAGTGTTCAAAAACTCAGGTTCAATGGGCCATCTTACCTCTGAGAGTAATGGAATCATTTAATTGGAAAAATATGATAGACTCACACTATACTTAAGTGATTAATTAAGTCTTCTGAACACGTATACCTTAATACTTATAAAAGGTTAAACCCACCTATCAGCCCTTGACTCATAAGTGGAAGTTAATGACCCTTTTTGCCTTTAAATTTCAACCTGCAGTACATATGTTTCCCCACATGGTGTCGCACTTGCACAGTTAAAAGCCACGGTTACTGGGGAAACCTGATGCTGTAATCAATTTCAAACATGATGTATCCTTCTCACACAAAAGCACACACTAAAAAGATAGCTCTAAAATCCTAGTATTAAGTTTTACATGCACACTATAAGTCCTTAAAATACTTGAAGATTATAGCGATTTGCTAAGACTTATAAATGTTTTACTAAGCTGTAATTTCAGATTACTGCTGCGTGTCTTTACCTCGTTTGGACCGTTAGTTACTGATATGTGAGTCCGACCGACTAGCAGACACTGAGAAGCACATTCAGAGCCAACAAACACACTCGTGTTTAATTTGTCTGCATGTTAGGAGTTATTTGCTGTGGGCAAACCTCGTTAAATTTGACATGGGCTCTCAACATTTCGCAAGCAGGCAAAAAGGAGTTCAAAGCGTAATATATTCTCAATTTTCTCCAAGCTAGCAAACAGGGCGAAAATGTTTGCTAACTCTCCTGGTAACGGTCGGGTAAAAAAACAAACAACCATAAGGCCTGTATATAAATTATTCCTGACATTAAAGGAATATATTTTGAGAATCGTAAAAGGAAAAGGCGTCAAGTGGGAAATTTAAAGCTTAAAAAGCCATTAAAGTGGGCTAAAGATTAAAGACGTTAGCTTAAAAGGTTGACTCAGGAAGTTCCTGTTTGTTTCCTGTAAAGCTCATTCACACAAAAACATGTAACAACTGCAAGTTTGAAGATTTTCTTTATCTCATTTTGTAATAAACATATAAATAATAAACTCTAGACATTTTTGACGCATCGCCCTGTTATGAAAGTTAACTGGTATGGTCTGGCTATATAGACTATCCAAACTTTGCATCTGCCGCAGTTCATTTCTATAAAACTATTTCCCTATTACAAAATATGAAAAGAAAAATACATTTTAGTACATTTACAGGAGTTACTTATTAATTTATTTAACGAAACTGTTTCAGTACTACTTTAACTGTTACTGAATTGTCAGAATCTGCATTTAATATTTTTCTCAGAAGAAAACAGAGGAATAGAAACACAACAAAATAAAAGCAGAGAATGCAGACATGAGGCAGAATATCTGTCCCTCTCCGACAACTTAAAACAACAGTTTCCGAAATAATAAAAATCTTAATAAACCAAGCAGTACAAGATTTTCCAATACTTTCCCAACTACTGTATTTAAATTAAAATATATTCTCATATCTTACACTATTTCAAATAACGAAATGTGATTCGGTAGCGATCTGTCAAAATCTAATTTACAATTCTGTGTATAAAAATATAATTTATGGAACCCCGCGAAGTTTGTTCTCCCCAAAATATAACAGTCAGTTGCACATATATGCACATATGAACATTACAACCTGTCAGAGTTAGCTTCTTTCTACATGGTCTTCTTTCTCTTTGCGATTTTTTTCTTCTTTTTTTCTTGTTTTTTTTTCTTTTTTTCTTTTTGCATTTGAGATATACAAAAATAGATTATGCACAATTTGCCACTCACACCGTTTTCAGAATCCATTTGTGTGACAGCATCGAGTTCACATGAGAATAAATTATTCAAAGAGAAACTTTTTAAGGCTCCATTCATTCTTTGAAAGGGGACACATGGAAAAGTCAGTGAAATAAATATCCCAACTCCGCTGGGGCCTTTGTCATGTCTGTTTGTTCGTTTTTTTTTTCTTTTCATTATTATTATTATTTTATTTTTTTCATCTACTGAATAGTCCGTGTGTCCAACAGTTCAGTCTCACTCAGCTCCTGTACAAGAGGTTTCAACTTGGGCGCACTGACATCCCCAGTGGATGGATCGAGTGGCTGTCCAAAAGCCATGTTCCTAATTGATAAAGGATCTTGGAGTACCAATGCACCCCGTCGTTTTGCGCACTGGCACGAGGCTGGGAACTGAAAAGTGATGTGGACACCCAGTGGGCGAGCCTGACAGGTGCCAGGGCCCAGTGCGCCAACTCGTGGTCTTCGATCACTGCGTAACAGGACGCAAGGACCTGGTCCACCACGACGGTCCCCTGCACGGTCACGGGCGCAAATGAACCCTCGTGCTCTTGTGTGTAAATCCGTTTTACGGTCACAGGCTCGAGCCGATCGGCGTCAAACACGAACACCTTTTGTCCCGGTTGGACCTGGCTCGCGAACACCGCAGACATCCGCTCTCCTTCCGTGCTGTTCTGGCTGACGAAGAGGAGGTGCGCGGCGGTTAGGGTGATTCTGTGGCCCAGGTCTGTCTCAATGACGTAGAACAGCCTCCTGGTCGTCGAGTCTCGGTCTATGAACATGATGAAATCGGTGTAGATGGGGTTTCCATCATCATCTGCTGCGAGGACCCTGTCTCCCTTTTGGAGATCTCTGACCGCCTTCTCGGTGCCATCCTGCAGGGTTACCGTGGAGGATCCTGGGAAGCAGCCTCCTGACTTCGCAGCCACTGAGTTTTCTGTCAAAACAAAGATTATGGCTTTAAGATAAAATCATGCATGTCTCAATTTTACCACAAATTATATTACTGGCAGTTACTCACATGAAAATACCCAAAACCAGCAGTTTTAAAAAACCTTTTCAGGACCTAAGAAATCAATCACAGGTGCTTTGAGCTACTTTTTCAGCCACTATTCAAAAGCCCATTCAGAAACCTCCCTCTTTTTTTTGCTCGTATTTGTATTTTTCCTGCCTACACACATCATGGTGGGCCATATGCATTTTGCATAATGATGCCTGTCTGCCAAATGCGTATTGGCTTGGCCCACGTTGTCTGAGACTTGAAAAACTGAAAGCCTTGGCTCATCTATTCTTAATTAAAAAACCCAATAAAGGGCAGCCATTGTTATTCTAAATCAGCTTGTGGATCGAGCGACTCTCGGTAAAGAACACTTACGCCTTTCCCAGCTCCTCTTCCCATATTTACTCAGGTGCAGAAACCTCTATGTGACAATTCACACAAATAGGCGACTCACAACTACTATTTACCCAGCGGAGCCACTTTTCCAAGCCTCTCGAGATGTAGATTTGAATTTAAATGAGGGCCCGGACCCTTAAATGCTTTCTGTTGTGCAACATCAATGTCCCCTCTCTCCACCACCTCTCCCTGCTTTGTTGTCAGTCCTGATGACAATAATTTTGGCCTTGGTGGCGCTCTTCACATACCAGTTTCTAGGATCACACTGTCCGTGTACACAGACAGGGGAAAAAAGGGGTTTCCTACTCACAATTTGGGGGCTTTTAATCTTCTTTTTAGATTCCCAAGCATGAAATAAGGTGACAACTGAAAACCAGATTTAGCTCGACCAATTCAACATTGTTCCAGCCAAATCCTTTTGGTAAAGTCGCATGACCCCTAATGACACGTCGGCCCGGCCCATGCTGTGATCTCAAAACGTGTGTGCTGAATGATAAGTAAGGGATTTATCAATAAAGTCTGCTCTTAGAAGCTGTAGAAAGTGGCATCAGTCAGTGTGAAGGAGTGTTTTCTAAGCGCAATAGGTGTCCTTTAGCTGAGTGAAGATTATTTCAACTAAAATAACAGCCGAAATGAACAATATGTCAAAATAAAACTGGATTTTAGAGCTGAGAGAAGTAAAATCTGAAGGGGAATGCGTTTTTTCCCCAAACATTTTCAGATCCTTTATATAACTAAATCCAATTAAATCCCCTATTACCCAAAAAGCAACATACTTGCGCGTAAGAATCCAGAGAACAATCTGATCTACTTTTCTAGGTCACACCGAGGAGCCTTGTTAGATTGTGGTCGTGGTTCCCACCAGGAGACAGTGTGGGGCGATGTAAGATCAAAAAATAAAGCTGCATGGGAAATGTTCAGTCACAAGCCTACAGGCAGAGATGCGCCCATACATCATTCATAGAAAGAGATTTCATAATACACAAATCATGTCAAAATGAATGACTGCGCTAAAACGTGGGGGTCTCTGTACTGTAATTACCTCATCAGACAATCACTGAGGGCACGTTCTCCTGATTTATCGCTGACTGGATGCGGATTATTCGTTCATAAAATGTCATGGATGTAGAATAGAAACGAAATTATACGCATTTCTGCTCATCCTTCTCAGTGGTCATTAAAATGCCGTTTTTAAGAGCCCTTAATGCGTAAAATTATCACCCTCCTTTTATTGGGCTATTGTGCCTTCAACACAGATCATCAAATCCGTTTTATGAAACTTTTTTGGCAGAAACTTTCAGAAAAGACCAAAGCTTTCCCTCTCTTTTACATCATCCCAAGTGCACTGGTTCAAATCTAATCATTCCCACCTCACAGTGCCCACTCAGTGTACATGGTCGTACCTGCTTTCACGGAACAGTGGATGTGCGCTTTGGACTCGTAGTACACCCAGTCGAATCCGGCCTCCACAGCCAGCCTGGACAGAGTGCCGTATTTGCTCTTGTCTCTGTCTGAGGTGGTGATGTCCACGGCTCTGCCCTCGTAGTGGAGCGACTCCTCGAAGTGGTGTCCGTCCTCGTCCCAGCCCTCAGTGACCCTCAGCTTCACCCCGGGCCATTGATTCATCACCGAGATGGCCAAAGAGTTCAGCTTGTCTTTACATCTCTGCAGGGAGAAAAGACAGAATGAGGCACTTGGTCACCTGTTGTGCGTTATAGTTTGGAGCATTAAGGTGTCCAGGTGCGTAAAATGTGCGACAGTCTGGGATCTTTGGCTAAACCTTTGCTTCCAGAGCCTTCTGATTCTGACGCTGTGTGTTCTGGCAAGAGAAAGAAGTGCTCTTGGTTGGTAAAACACAACCTAATAGGCAGGAGAAACAAACCATCAGACCACAAGCGCCACAAATGAAAGTTTTCCTGGTGTTTCATTCTCCAAATGGTTTGTTTTCTTGATCCTCTAAGTGGTAACCATAAAAATATAAGAGTGAGATTTCCTCCTCGCCTCCCCATCCCCACCTGCCGCCCTTAAATTCCTCCCATGTTGAGGTGAAACTCTGAGCCCGAGCTGCCTCTCTGAACCTGGATGTGAGCTCACATTTGTCAGTGTGAGCAGCAGCGTCAGAGGGCACATCTCGGATAAGAAAGCTGCTGATGAAATATTGATAAGGCACCGCATTCGCTTCACTGGCCTATAACATATGGGTCTTTGGTCTTGGAAAGGTGCGAGCAGCATCCCCTTCCTTCCTCTCCAAAAGAGTTGCAGCGAGCACAACATGCATACATTACAAATTCATGAGTTTGTATTAAGGCCACGAAATGAGCGCGTCCTTTTTGTTGGTTGCAACTTGTCTGTTTTCTTTTAATCAATAATTGATATACAGATGATATGAAGATGATCTTCAAGAGCAGCTGCTGCCTCCAAATATCTGGCAGTTGTCCTATAAATAAGTCGTCGCACCCCAACCTCTCCCTGTCTCGCGCGCGCTCTCAATGAAGATGCTTGGCCTTCTCCAAGACAACTATTCTCGACACTCAAGCAATATGTCAAATAAAACATCACAAAGAGGCTTTTCAGAGCAGCTGCGGAGGGAAACTTTCATTCTCCCTCTCCTGCAAAGTCCTGAAGACGTGACATGCCTCCTTAAGTCGAGGTGTTTTGGCTGCTGACTGACAGACTTGTGAAATATCCAGGGGTTGTGCGGCCATACAGAGGAGCGTCTGTGTGTGTGACCCACTGTCCTTTTTCTCTTATGAACAGCCTGTGTGCGTCCTGAAGCAAGAATGTTCACAAGTTGGGGTAAAAAAGAAGAGGCACCTCATATATCAGTGTGGGTTTTAAGAGGATATCACACTTGTAGAATGTGTTGTACAAAAAACGGACCCCTCAAAAAAATCCTCCCACATTCAGAGTGGGATTGTCAGAGTCAAGAGCCGTAAAGCTTAACCTATTTATTAATTCATCAGGTCGTGTGCCGCAAATCAAGCCAAATTCTGCTCAGCCACCGTGAAGCGCAGCAGGGCGCCCCAGACCGGCGCTTTGTGCTCGGGGTAAAGTTGTTCAACAGCCTCCCTGTTAATCTTTTCACAAATGATTTGGTTAGAGGAAACACTTATCAGCTACCTGTCAGTGCAAACAAGCCGCCAGCTCTTGTCTTTGCCGGCGAGTTTGCACTTTGGGCAGAGACTGCTGGAGCCTGACAGTGCAACAAAAATACACCTTAAAAAGCCATTTAATCTTTTCTTTTAAGGGTTACACTGGAGATTACCAACGCATCTGATCTAATTAGCACACAGTTCTGTTTTAAAATTGTCTATTTGAATTCCTAAAGAAAACCAAAGTTTACCTGAAAAACTTTTAATCGGCAGAACCACGAATCCCACTGCTGCATCAGCGCATCTCCCCTTCATATTGTCATACCAAAACGACCAAACGAGGGGCAACAATTTGTGGGGTTTTTCGTATAAAGGATGCCCCTGTTCATCTCAGGCCCCAAAACTCCCAAGAAACATCTGTAAACAGCTGTAACACGCCTCTTTTGGCAGCTTTCCTGAAGTGAGCTGCGTCTTTATAGTTACGGGAGCAGGAGATTAATGCAGCAAAGTATCAAATATATAATTAAACATATTAAAAACTATTCAGTTATTGTCACATATAATTGAACTGAATCAGACACGAGCCCCGTTTCATAATTGCAACATATATTGCATAAAATATGAAACAACAGAAAGAGCCCACTTTATTAGTGCGTAAAATTCCGTGCGTAAAATCCCACACTGGTCATGCGTAAAGCCGTAGAACAAGGCAACGGCCGCACAGCACAGCGTGAACCCCCATGTGATAACACTTATCCACCGGCAGAATATCACAAGGAAAAGTCACAGTCCTCTTTTAGATGTATAACCCTTAAAGCAGGTTTCCTGAAATTCATGTCCAAAAGGACAATTTCACCAGTTTTCACTCAGCATGAACTCCCGCTGACCAAAGGTCAGAAGTTCAAATTGCGTTTCGAGCTCGGTTAGGGGCACCCAAAACCACTTACATGTAAATGTCTCTCGGAGGCTGATGTTGTGTTTTCTTAAGACACAAGGCAAGGATGCTGATTGAGAAGGCGAGGATACACCAGACACGACTATTGTTACAATTTTAAAAGTGAATCAGTCAAATAATCAGCAGTCTCAAAAAGACGTGATTTTTAGGCAATGAAGTAGACAGCTCTCTCCAACAGAGGCCATACATATAATCCCAGATTATCCGAGGGACTCCATGTGCGCATAAATGATTTGATACAGACCTGTAAACACAACAGCAGGTGGTGTGTTTTACTCAGCTTAAAGCCTCGCAGACATATGTCACTAAATCGTCTCTGTGGTGAATAAAATGAACGTCTTATAACTGTATGAAGGGAGATCTTAGAAACTCCTTGAGAAATCCGAGTGGGCTCTCTGAACCCCAGTTTGCCCATCACATCCCCACGCGCCTTTGAATCCACGCTCTGTGCGTATGAGAAGCTATAGGTGTCTCTCAGAGGAGATGTGGGGAGGGCTGAGAGGGACGCCGAGCCCGCACGCACCGTGAATATTTCATCGCAGCTCGTGCTCATGCATGGTGCGAGGCACGGGTTCAGGGACTCCGGCGCGCGCCTGGCTCCATCGCCACCACCACCATCACCACCACCACCACCACCACCGGCATTTTTATTATTACTGAGCCGATATCACCCAAGCGCCTTTAATAATTCACCAGCATCTGAGTGCTAAAAGTCATGCTGGAGAGACGCGGCATCCTGCAGCCTGGAGAGAAATCAAGGCTACATCTCTGTCATGTATTCTCAGCCTGGTCTTATCTGCACAGCGCGAGCTTTGATAACTAACTGCCTACATGAGGATGGAGTATTTAAAGAAAGATGTCATCATCCGTGCAAGTCAGGCTCCATCACCCCCCGTGCGCCTCGCTCCTATAATTGACCGAGTCCCACCCAGAAATGAAGTCCTGATAGTGTTCAGGACACTCTCAAAGAAATGTCACTGTCTTCACGCGCTGCTGCACACCATGCGAAAGGCTAAATTACAGCAGCCTCTGCGAGAAAATGTCTGAATGAGCCACGCCATGCCTGAATAAACCCGGCTGTTTGAAGCGGTGCGCATCAGCAGCTCTCTGTATTCAGAATAAAAGAAAAGGCGCTTAAAGCCACCTGCAATGTTTAGTAGAAATAAGCAACAAATACAGCCTGTGTTCAAGGAGCATGGATGTGCTCCTGAAAGACAACAAATAGAGCCCCACAAAGATACAAATATAGATATGAGGAGAGGGGCACATTAATATTTTAAATCTACTGTCACAATCATGAAGGCCGAGTGTCCTGACTGTCCGCCTGCACATCACTTCTCCAGCTGGATTTCTCCATTCGCCTCCAGCCTGCAGCCGCTGAAAACTCCCATGCTGCTGCAGAAAGCGCATCTGCTTTTTACAGTGAAGTTAAAATGCTCGGGCTGAGAGTTCAGCAGCGGGTAAAACAGACTTCACTTAAGGTGCGCAATCAGTCTGACAAGGAGGTTGTTGCAGTGCGCAGTGATGGTGCGTTAGGAGGAGAAAAAAAAAGAGAGAGAATTCAGTCTCCTTACCTGAGTCATTAGCCGGTCCGCACCGGTGTTCTCCTCATCCTTGAAAATGATGTCTGTGTTATAATTTGGAGTCAGTTCTTTAAATCGCTCGGAGTTTCTTGTGATCTTGCCTTCGTATCTGCCGCTTGCCCCGAGGGTCTTCTCCGCCACGTTGGGGATGAACTGCTTGTACGCAAGAGGTGTCAGCTTCTTCGGGTGTCTTCTCCTGCCGTAGCCCCTGCCCGGCCCGCATCCCATCCCAGAGGACACCAAGGACAAGCAGATGAGACCGACCAATACGATTCTGGTCCAGAGCAGCATTTTTGTCCTTTAAGATCTCAAACGAGTCGCCGCTGCTATCTCTACCGTCTGCCTCTCCCGGCTCTCGCAATGTCCTTGTCTCCTCCTCTACCTCGCCTTCGCCTGGTCTCTACTGTGGCAGGTGCGGAAATGAACGCCTGAGACAAATGGCAATAACGGGGCACATCGAAGGAGGGTAAAAAAAAAAGTAGTGAGGGAATTAAAAGCCACGGGATCTCTAGTCGAGCTGCAGCCGCTTGTGTGAGGCGACCGCTTTTACTGCTTTGTATTATAGCACCGATCTATAGCAGGGAAGGGATTTGATTGGCTCGCCTAGACAAACCCTCCTGATGTTATCCCACAAAAAAATCTTAAAAGATTTCTTCCACCTGAGGGTGAGCCTGTGTCGTGGGGAGGAGGGGCTGTTCCATGGGAAAACATCAATTATAAACCGTCTTTTTTTTTCACCCTCCCATTTTCCACATCTTACAGAGGAGGCAGGACAGACACAGAGCCACAGTGCAAACCCAAAGCGCTGTAGTTAGGTGAAGTGATTTCAGTATGTGTGCGGGAATCGAACTTTCCGCACTGAATGCGATGACTTGGAGAATAGAAGTGCTCGTGGATGTGCCCTGCACCGGATGATTTTGCTGTGACCCCGTATCTTACAAACTAAACACTGAACCCCAGTTAAGAATTGACTTTCTTCAAAATTGTGAAATAGGTTAATTTAGATCAGAAGTGACTTCAAACTCCGCGAACCAAACGCACTTCGACTTGGATATACGCACGAGAATGACTTTTGGAGATGTTCGGTGCCGTTTAGATCAAATTTAAGCAACTGGAACCAAAAGAAAAGAATATTCCTACTGGTCTGAAACAAATCAAACTCTAGCAAAAGTTTTGCATTAAGCTGCACTTCCAGTATATCTATGCAGTGTGCGCACTTTACATATTACGCACCAGTGAAAGCATTCATTTTTATCTCATCCGTGTTTTGTTGTCCTATATTCAACTTATTAATGTAAAAATTCAAAAGCACAAGATATATGCGTTCATATGCAATGCCTCTGACATCCCTCTGATACTCTGTCTGACTTCCAAAGACCAGATCAGAGCTAGAAAAGACTCTCACTGCTGTATTTACCAGCCACATTGGTGTAATTTTCCTTTAAAGGAGAAAAGAAGGGTGGGCTTCTTGCTCCCACTGCAAACAGCAGCCCCCAGCACTCTTTGAATAAATCCTCTACCTGTGTTGTACATTTGGACGTTGAAATAAACTTCAATCACCGTCCTTTTGAAGTTCTTTTAACCCCAACACACATTTAATGATACATCCCTTTAATTAGTCTTGGTACTGTTGATTAAAAACTGCACCAAATACTCCTGGATCCACATTCAAAGCACACTAGTTAAAAAGAAATCACAAATGTTTCATGAGGGCAAGTTATTTGTGTGATAACAAACCAACTGTTTGACTAATTACAGGAAGAGGAGCTGTTTTGGGGGCAACTCAAGCTCTCATCGCACCAACGGTGTGGCACAAGTGCTCCGAGGTGAGGACAGGTATGGCAGCCTTTGGTGTGGCTTCAGTCTCATTAAACCTGGCTCTGGCTGACCTCCAGTCTGCTTCAGTCTGCGCCAGCTTTGCAGCCGGGGCAGGTGAGACTACCTGCCGCTCACTCAGACTGTGAACATCAAGTCTTGGCCAAAAGATAGTTTGTGCTCTTGGCACGCTACTCCACTACTCTACCACCAGTGATTGTTTTCAGCGAGTATTCTGCTGAATCCTCTCTGTTGTCTCGCTAAAAGTCAAAGAATTTCTCAAGATGTTTTAAGTGGATGTATTTCTGTCTGTGATTTTTGCAGAGGTGCACTGTTCAAACAGAGAGCTGACAGCAGTTGCAGTTCCCTGAGGGACATTGGAGTCTTAGTTTGGCCCCAGGTCAGGTGTCAGCGCTCTGAGATAAAACTTGGCATGCCACACAAACACCCCAAAACCACAGAGACGTAGGAGCAGTCGCCCAAAAAGTCCTCAGCTCTCACACCAAATAAGGATGCGAGTATAATACGAATTATAAAACAGACTTTGAGGAGCTTCTTGTAAGCGAACCAAGTGACAAAATGTGACGCTAAGTGAAATGAATAATGCAGAGATCGCAATGAATAATGCAGCCTAAAGAGCAAGGTGTGCTGATGTGAGAGACTTGATTTGAACTTGCGTTTCTCCCACAGAGGAAACCAACCATGTATCAGCCCGACCTGGGGCAAATAGTATTTGCAAACATTACACTTGGTTGTTTGGTTTTGGCCTCCTCCAGTGCCAGATGGGTGGAGTTTGCAACTTAAGGCAATGGGAAATCACAGCAGACAGTTTAGACAAGTAATCGAAGTGTCAGAGATCACTTAAATACAGGAACTTTTTAATGAGAACTTATCTCAAAGCTGTCCAAAAATAGCTCAAACGACTCAGAACAAACACCAAAAACTTGCAGAACCTGCTCCAGGCTGCAACTTTTTGAGTGAATGCACACTGGGGATGTAAACACTATTTACTATCACAGGCTAACACACATACAATTATAACATTCACACAGGTATGGGCAATTTAGAGTTTGCACTTCAGCTTTTTTTTTTTTTGCCAAATTGGGTTAGAAGGAATTTAAAAGCCCAGCAGCTAAACCACAAAAGAGCACATAATCCTGCATTTTAAATTAGAACAAGCAAACTTGATATTTTCACCCGACAAACCACATAATCCAAGTTTCTCTTTGTTGTAAAAGCTTTCTGGTCTCTGAAAGTATAAACAAGAGCCTTTGCTGGTGTATGTTAAAGAGGTGACACAGCAAAAAGCAGCGGCTGATTTTATGAAACAATTCTGCGGGGATTGAGGGCATTACACAATTCATATTAAGAAGCCTGTTGCATGTGATGGCTAATCCGGCGTGAAAATGGCCAATGAGTCATCAGGTTTGGGCTCCTTCTGTGTCACATCAATACCTGACCCCCTTTTTTTTTTAAACAAAACAGACCTCACTTCCCCCTCACATATCCTGTCTGAGACACCCACACCTGCTCTCTTCCCCCCTTCCTTCAAACAGCTCCCTCTCCAGCCTGACATTCTAGGGAATTAAAAGATATGCTCCGAATCAGACTAAATCCACACCCATGTTTGATTACTTGTCCCACAGTCTCGATCAAGCACGAGCGAGATGCGACTGGAAGTGTTTGAGTGGAGTTTTACCAGAGTAAGTCCCTCAATTACTGCTTTAAAGCCTCCTCCTGTCTGAATGTTTTGTAACATTGTTAGACGGATTAGAACTACAGAATAATCACGCACAAACATATAAGTAGTGTCAGGCTTTCTGTGTTGTTTTCTTTCGCTGCAAATAGGGTTTCCTTTCTTCCAGGCCCCTTAGAAAGACTGCCGTACCACAAGTCATTGTGGCTTTCTCTCACAGGTGGGGTCGCCATTCAAACCTTTATCCTGCTCTGAACTTTTGACAAACACTTTGTGGCACGGACACGTTGCCCTCTGTCCTGTGAACATGTGTACCCTTTTGTCAGCATAATAAAAATGAATAATCTCCCTTTAAATGGTTTATCTAAGCCGCACGCATCGAGCATTATGAAGAAGCAAAAGAGTCAAAATTGAGCTGAACAGATTCACATGCCCTGAGGCTACTCCGTCAAGCACAATAGAAATTTCACAATACAGTATGTGGAATCACAGCCCTGAGCGTGCCCCGGAGTCTGTAAAGGCATTTTATTTGCACTCTCCAGCCGCTCCCAATACTTAAACATTAAACGCCAAGGCTAGACAGGCAAAACCACTTTGAACTGCAGAGCAGGGTGAACTCAGAGGGAGGGGAAGGAGGTGAGAGAGTGGTGAGCAGGGGGCCTGTGTGTGTGTGTGTGTGTGTGTGTGTGTGTGTGTGTGTGTGTGTGTGTGTGTGTGTGTGTGTGTGTGTGTGTGTGTGTGTGTGTGTGTGTGTGTGTGATACTCTACCAGGTGAGTCAGCGCTGGCCACCATCACAGTCTTAGGCAACAGTGACGAGGAAGGGAAGGGCTCAAGCTCACTGACAATGTATGTGGCTGTTTACTTTTAGTTACACCTATACTGAAAGTACTCATACACTTAAAACACATCTTGAGCGCACATACTTTTCTATCTTTTTAGAGACATTTTTATTAAAAGACAACGAACATTACAGTTAACCTCTTCTCCCTACCCCTGACAGAAACTGTGTTGCAGTTAGCTTTAAAAGATACAACCTGTTTTCAGAAAACATCACTGCCTCTGGTACACCTTCAAGAAATATTCCAGCGTAAAATTAGATGATCATTTCTTAATCATATCCTTGAAGTAATAATCACCATATTAATCATTTTGCACTGCAGACAAGGTAGTTCTTCTGCCTTCGCATCTCGGTCTGATTGCATTTCCTTTAAGAAATGATCATAAATGTTCTTCCTTGAGCTGCGAAACCCTGCTGCACTCCGTAATGGACTGGCCTGAGGTCTCCTGGAAGAGAGTAGGTGAGTTGTGTTTAGTCTCTTTGCTAAAGAAATTAGGCAAAGTTAAAGAATGTTTGGTGGCTAGTGCTGTGGCTGGGACCCTATATGTACTGTTGATGAAGTTAGGTGCTGTTCTGAGCATTATTTGTGGCTATAGAGTGGCGTTTTGGTTGAGGTTTGTTTATGGCTCCTCAGACCGCTGTGTATTGCTATCGTGCGGTCGTTACTAAAGTTGGTATAACTAGAGAAGAAAGCGGTCGGCAACATTCATCTCTTGAGGGGGTGTCTAACTCAGTGTTGCAGTGTGTTTGACCCTAAATTAATTTAATTAATTTTACACCAGAATATCCCTTTAACTTTGTAATTTCTCAAGAGTACATGCAGCTGTTTAAAGCTCCCTTCTATCCATACTGATGGAAATTTTGGGACAGTCAACATGCTTGTTAGCGTTGATTTAGAAAGACAAAACCCAATTTGTAACCTTAAAATTTAAACTGAATATGTTAGCTTAGCCTAGTTTAGCATAACCTCTGTAAACACCATGAAACATCCAGCCTGGCTGTGACAAAGGTCTTGTTTCATATTCAGTATCAATATCAAAGTATTTGCTGTTCTCGCATGTAACATAAGTACAATTCACTGCGTGTCAAACCATTTCTCTACTTCAAACCATTTTGAAGTGGAGCTAATAAGAGATAACTGATGAAAAACGTATGTTAAAAGATTAAAGCAGACAGGGACCAA